GTTTTTAGCTCCTTGGAAAGTAAATATACGGTATCTTGTTATATTGAATTTCCAATTTGAAACATTTTAATCCTTGGAACTCCACTATTCACAAATTGTTCCTACAAAAGGGTAGTTAAAACTCCTTTAAAATATCAAAAAATATCTCCTAAAATCAATCACTACAGAGTTTCAAGTATTAAACACTTTATGATCACTTTAGGCTTCTTCAACACTTTGGAGGGTTTTTGAAAATACAATTTGAGCCAGAGCCAGACGAACAGAAGACGTCTTCACCCGTACGATATTCACATTTGAATGTTTCAATTGGCAAATGCGGCGTCCAACTTTAGTAGACTCGAAGCTCTGCCTCGCAAAAACGCTCGCAAAGCCACTGCAAAGACAGCAATCACAGCTTTAACAGCAAAGGCAAAGCCGAGGCGGACCAACTTGCCGCCCCAGCGAAGATCGCTGCTGCTGCCACATCTTCCTCAATTCCCAAAGAAGCCGAAGATGCCAAAGGCAGCCAGCAAACACAAAGCAAATGCAGACTGTCTTTGCAACCGGTCCAGCGATCAGCTGATCGCTGTTAGCTTGGAGCTTGGGAGAAGAGCTGGGGATCCGAAGACAAGAGCATAGTCTTCGGCTCCCGAAGCTCGTAACATCCAAGCGATCGGTACAGAAAAGCTTAACAGCTCTGTTAAAAGTGTTATTTTAGGAATTTAATCATTTCATCTTGGGGGGAAGGTAAGGGTATTATTTAGAGATTATTAGTCTGTAGATTCATAAAGAGTCTTCAGCTTACATGAGCTTATATATTCCCTTTTAGATAAAACCAAAGCAATAATTTTATCTTAGTTACTTGGAAACAATTAAATATTAAATCAAACTTGTGTCATCGTATAATTTAATAATTTAATCTTAAGGAACTTTATGGGTATTATTTGGAGATGCTTAATCTTTAGATTTATAAAGCTTACTAGAACTTATATATTTTCTTTTATATTTAAACAAAGCATCTCGGTTACTTGGAAACAATTGAATATAAATAAATCATTATTTACAAATGTAAATAAATCTACTTCTTTATGATGAACAAATTTAGTAATCAAAAATAAAAACTTGATATATTAAATAACAATTTATATTTACCCCATATAAACAATTCCGAAACCTCTTTCCTTTCCATTACTGACACTAATCACCATAAAAAATCGCATATGCAATAAGCCCTTAAGGGGGCTATAACCACTCAAAGGATTAACCTCCTTAGCGCCATTTTCCATAAATTGCATTAAATGTTGCACACAATCAGCTAAAGTCGATTTCAATCAATCAGCAAGATGACAATTTGAAAATCCATCACCAGTTAATGAGGAAGGGGAAGCACTTGTAGGGTTTTTCAAGCTGGGAACTAAGACTCTGGAGAGGATTGGAGTGGAGTAGAGTGAGTTGGTGAGTCTTCGGATTGGTGGATCGATCGCTCGTGGAAGGCATAACAAACAAAATCGCAAATTAAAGATTCGAAATGCTCGCAGTGACGACTTTTTGACTCGAGGCGTTTCTGGTTCCTCGTTTCTGGGCTCCAAATTTTGGCTTCTATTTTCTTGCCAAGAGAGAGACAATGGGCCGAAAAGGGTAGACAGCTGAGCTGAGGAGTTGACAGTGGACAGTTTTTATTATGATTTTGGGGCAGCTCCAACTCCTGTTGTTAGTTGCATAATATTTTGTTTGATTTTGCGCTGCCTCTCTGGCTCTGCACCACACGAAGCCAGAGATGCAGATGGCGATTCATTGGGCCTGCGATTATGGATTCGAATTTGGATTCGCTGCAGCAGCAAACAACAACAACAACAGCTAACCACAAAATATGCCCAAAATAATGGCAGTCGCGAAATTTCCCACGAATCTCCCAGCCAAGGGGCATCATCGCTACCCATCCAGCCGGCATTGGATCATCAACTATTGGAGGCGGTTCATGTAAAAATTAACTTGGGATTCTATTCAAAATCAGAAGTGATGGTCGTAATCACCCGCCGGTTGGCGCTTCTGCCTGCCTTAACGTGATTTTAATGGCCAAATTCTGAGTGCTTCTTGCCACAACTCCTTTTCATTATTATTAGTTATTGACAATGCTATGAAGATGACATTGAGTTTGCGTTTGTTCTCATTAGAAACGGCATGGCGAGTGGCATGCAACAATAATGAATTGCTCAATTGATAATTTACTGGAGATTTATAGGTTTTAGAAGTATTAATCGAGGCATTTAATTAGGCCTTGATTTTAAGCAGAGTGTTTTATCATAAATGCAAGATGCATGAAAGGTTTTGAAATTATAAAAACAATGAGTTTATACTTAATTAGTAGTCTAATAAACATATATATAAATGTATAAGAATTTATAGTATAAATACTGGTGATTCCCTGTATAATTTTAATCTATGAACTGGAGATCCTAGAGCATCCACCTGGAGTCTCCTAAAGATGCATTTAGTTTCAATCGATTTAAGATAATTCCAAGCATAAGAATCCTAAAAAAATATTCCCTTTCTTTATATATAAAAGGATGATCATTCTCATTGCCAAAACTAATTCTCTCTTGCAAACCAAAGCAAACACAATAAGACACCAATTTAATTGGAATGCACACACACTTCACAAAACACTCCCTTGGGTGCAAACTTAGAGTATGTTGGGCAACAACCTTAAAAGGTCGTCTCTGCATTTTGTGGAACACTCGGTCGGTGAGGGGGGCAAAGTGTCAAATCATTGTAGAAGTATCTAAGAAGCCATCTAGCCTATATTTAACCCCAAACTATCCATCACAGAAGCATGGATGGTGGTGGGGATTTGCCTTTGCCTTTTTTGTGGATTGAAAAACCATTTAACTGCCGTTAATTTTAACGCCCGTTTTCTATGCCAGCCCAGTTAGATTGCCACATAGACCCCCATAGCAGCCGGAGCTGAAAACAAAAGCGAGAAGCAGCCGAAATACGTAATGCAAGCGATAATTATTGCCTACAGGCCCAGGCCCAAGTCCGGACCCCCAAAAACGTCTCCAGACACCAAGAGAGAGGTAGAGAAGATGAAGTCGAAGCCAAAGCCGAAAAGCCCCGAAAATACAACAGAAGCCGCCGTGGTCTAGTCTTGGCTCTGGGGTCGTGTAGATGATTGAAAAGCGAAGAAGATTTGCATAGAAACGTGCGATTTTCGCCATGGCTAACAGGCCCCTGGGCCCCGATCTTCTCACCGGAGCCAAAGTATCTGCCAGATACTTTGCCACATGCGGCACTCTGTCAACGTGCTCACGGCCTGAGAACCGAGAACTGAGCGTACCCCTTGCCTTCAATTACTCATCCATTCATGCCGTCAAGTCCGTCCGTCATTCATTCAGCTTTCGGCTGCAACAATTTGTTGATTTAATTGTTATGTTTTTTCCCCCCCCATTTTTTTTTGGGAATCTCTGTCTGATATCTAGGCGCGGCATTTTTCTTTGGATAATTTGCTCACATTCTTGGCCCTTATGCGGCAGCATGCGAGTCTTTTTTGCCGAATTATGTTGTTTTGTCGAGGCTGATTTTGAAATTTTTTCTTTCGACTCGACCCGAATTTGTCAAGATCAATGGTGGAGATAACCCCATGATTAATGCTCGGGAGTTATGCCTTTTGGTAGCTTTGATAAATGCTTTGGTTTTTTGGATTTTGTAGAGCATTTGAATATGTTTACCTTTTGGGTATTTCTTTGCTAATCTTCTCGATCAAAGTCCTTGAAAGGTTCTCAGATTATATACATATATCTGGGGAAAGTCTAAAGTGGTATTTGTGTTTAAAACACTTTTAAAATTCTTTACTTAAATATATTTCTATATAATTAAAAACCAAGACATTAATATATGGTCTCTCCTTTATCTGGCAAGCCAGAAATAAATTAAGTTGAATCAGCCAATACAATAAGGTTAGTTAGCCAACCTGTTGGCCTGGCCAGAACTCTGTTTATATCTTTTTTATAATACTAAGTGCATCATCGCCCATGGAATGTTAACTAAACCAGATAGGCGAGTGAAAGAAAAGTGATTATATTGCCTAAAATCCAAGCTTGTCTCTGATTTTGGGGCCGCAATTTATCTCCCCCGACAACTGAACAAACGAAAGTGATATCTTTGCCTTCGAACTGGGCAGACAATTGTGTGCTAATGATGAAAGACAACCGGGATGGCCACCGGAGAAGCGAGTGAGCGAGTGCATGGATATTTATGGCCAGGCCTGTGTCAAAGTGCCAGAGCGGGCTATAATATGGTCACGGATCGTCGAGGATCGCCGGGGATCACAGATCCCAGATGCAAATGACATAGAAAAAATTTGATATTTTTTATTGAGCATTTTTTACAAACTGCACAACAAACCGCAGGGCATGACCTCCGCTCCTCAGCCACGAAAACCGACGACTAACTCGAGCTCGGGCTCATCCACAAGGAATCACGATGGGGCAAAGCCGTTTTTTATGCATTAAAATGCAGCCAAGAGATTTATGTAAGCCGCGGCCCAGACTGGCCGAGTTGGTAGCACAGGAACCCATCATTATCGATCGATATAGGCAGTCGGATGGCGATGAGAGACGACTGCCTGGGCTGAGCTGCGGATAATAACTTGATCGCAGGAAAATCATTTATTGTGACACGATCGCTGATTGGGCCCCGATAAATCCCCCACTCCGAGGCATTAACTTGTTGTCATGCGGGACGATTATTATTTGGCTCGTTTTCTTTTTACGATGCTTCAAAGATAGATAAAAAATATATAGTTCCGCGAATTTCATGAGTTTATGATGTCTGTTTCTAGCCTGGGCATCATAATCCGCTTAAGTAGAGCATTTCCTCATATAATTTGTTTGTCATTTGTGATGTGAGTAAACAAAGATAAAAGTTGTGATATATCTTTATATTTGCTATTGCGCCTTTATCTTTAGTTACTTTTATAGGAACCATAATTATATCTTTGCTGGATACTAATAACACTCACAAATAAGAACTACTACACTTTGTTTAAGCTCTCAAAAGAAAAAAGAAATAGGAAATGTTTCCCCATAAAACTTTAACAATGATTTGATGGTATTTAACACGGATGGCTTCCTCTAGCAAGCGTACCCGTTGGCAAATTTTAGCGACTTTGGCAGGTGGATGACAACTAGATGATCCTTTTAGCCAACTTATCATAGTTTTTCCGTAGGCTGTATAATGTCATTAACCCACGGCATTACTTTGGGCTGGTTCTCACCCACGTTGAACCTTCTCCTTTCCGACAAGAATCCTTTTGGTGACCCACTGACCATAAGTCAAGCTACTTTGTAAGTCAACGAATGCAGATGAATTTGTTAACAATTTTGGTTTTGACAGCGCTGGCTCAATCGTGGCTCTTGGCGCTCTTTTGGTCACTTTTATCCTTGGCTGGCCTCTTGATTTTTTTGGCCGAAAGATAGTCATGTACGCTACTGCCGTTCCCAATTTGGTAGGTAAAGCTGGGGATACTTTTAAACTCTGACACAACAATTTTGTCACAGATCTACTGGATACTTGTGTATGTTGGAGGTCATGTAGCCTGTTTATATGTGGCTCGTTTTATGGTGGGAGTTTCCGGTGGCATCTTGTTGGTGGTTCTTCCCATATTTATTGCAGAAATTGCTGATGATAAGTAAGCAGGTTTTAAGATTTTGTCTAATTCTTAATTAAATAATCATAAATTAATTCATACGTGCCGATAAGGCTGCACTTCCATGCTGAGCAATAAGCGATTAGATAGGAATCGGAAAAACAAGAAAATTATTCCACTAAAAAGATATAAGATGATATCGTATCCGATAGTGACAATGGGCACCCTCAAAAAATACTATAAACTAGAGAGTAATATTGAGTATTGATTACTTAAGAATATAGACTACTATAGATTATAGACTAAGTGTAACTCCTTTAACTACTCTTAAATAATTTCTTACCTAGTTTTGCTATTGGAACTTGTAATTTAACATCATTGTTAGTTTTGTTAGTCTATTTTTAGTTTGTCTTTTCTTATAATATTTGAAGTCAGACATTTATGGAGCTTAAGGTGCAAGTGCATCCTTACCTTACACGTTAAAAGGCGTTTTGATTTGCTAAAAGAAAAGACAAGGCAACACTTATTGAGTTGACTTTTGCAATACAATATTTTTATGATCCTAAGATAAACATTTTAGAGTGTCCTCTTAATTGATTTTTAAATATATTTTTCCAAAGTGTCCGTGGAACTCTGTCGTCCCTTTTGATGTTGACTTTGTGCGCCGGCATAGCTCTGGGGCTTATAATGGCCACCTATATATCCTACTATGTGCTGCCCTTTATCGGCAGTTCCATGGCCATAATCTATATGCTGTCAATCATTCCACTGCCAGAGACACCACAGTTCCTCTTGAAACGGGGCCGCGATGAGAAGGCCGAGAAGTCCTTCTATTTTTATAAGAACCTAAAAAGGAAGTCCCCGAGTGACCCAATCAAAGAAGCCGAAGCAAAAGCGGAGTTTAACACATTTCGAGAAAATGTTCTCGGCGGCAATAATACCCAGAAAGCCCATTGCAAGGATTTCTGTAAGTTGGTCTTTGTTATTAGCTACACTCTCTGGTTTAATCAAAGTTATTAATATCGATTTACCATTTTCTATGAAGTTAGCAAGGCGGCATTGAAGGCTTTTGGCCTGATCAGTGTGTTGCTTCTGGGCAACACTTTTTCCGGAGCCTTCGCAATCCTGAACTACGCATATGAGATCTTCTCCAATCTGGGCAGCAGGATAGACCCAAATACCAGCGGCAGCATAGTTGGGGTTTTCCAGTTGCTGGGCATCTGCTGTGCAGTGCTCCTGGTGGACCGCTTGGGACGCCGCTGGCTGCTCATCCCCTCGTTGGTGGGCACAGGTCTGGGTGAGCTGGGCGTGGGTCTGCTCAAGACCTTTGCCTCCAAGCAGTTCCTTAGCGACAATGGCTGGCTGGGACTGGCCCTAATATGCTTTGTGGAATATATAGTGTCCCTAGGGGTGATTCCACTCACCTTTACGATCATCGTTGAACTGCTGCCGGCAAAGGTGAGCACTGCAAGCTGAGAAAATTATGGCTAAGGATAGGTTTCTTCACGCAGATCATTTCCATTGGCACCTCTATCAGTGTGGCCAGCTATAGTATCCTCCTATTCGTGGCGCTTTTGTTATATCCGATGTTGATCAAAAACTACGGAGTGGCCTCCGCCATGTTCATGTCAGCCGGTGTTTGCTTTTTTGGAGCCATAGTCCTGGGAATCTTTTTGCCTGAGACTAAGGGAAAGCAAATCTTACAATAAAGCTAAAAAAGAACTAATAGATATATCATATAATGTAGCTATTTCACAAAATCTAGATACGTGAATAAACTTCCAGAATCGACGAAATCTTTACCTTGGTGACAGCTTAATGATGTTTATTTTTGCCCATATCTTAGCACAGCTGTGATAATTTCAAGACTCTATGAAATTTGCTTCCAACTATATTGATGCCATAATGGCCATAGTTTTGGTAGTAAACAAAAATGAGATAAAACATGGGACTGAACACAAAACAAGAAGTATTTTCAGAAATATAAATCACCTTTTTTAAATACTACTATCAAGCTTTCTGCCAAAAACTGAGATTCTGAGGTGTAAACTTTTAGATACAAGTGTTAATGCGATTAGCGTGGTAAAAACCGATTACTTTTTACAAGTCCTCTTGTCTATAATAACTTTTGCTAATCTTTGTTAAATATTGTCACCCAAGTCATGCAAAGGAATTTAAATTTACATTTACTTAGTGCTTAAACCGAAAGTTTAACAACAAGATTAACCTTCTTGTCAAGGGCTTTGTTTTCATAGCATTTTTTTGGTTTTAGTTTCCACATTTTTTGGCAACAAAATTTACAAACTTCTTTACCTAGACCTCTTCACATCAGACGTAGTGTATTAATCAGCGTCTAAGACTCTACGACTACTTAGTACTTATCTAATCTGTAAGTCTTTTATATAGTCGTCATTACTGTTTACGATCCCGCAAAGATAGCGAAGTGATTTGCACTACAAAAGCCTTTGCAGCAGACAGAAAAGCCTCTCAGTAGGCACACGACCGCCCCAGCGGTTAATTCATAATCCCAACCAAAATTGGAGTATATTAAAGAACGAAAGTATCCCGGAATAAGGTCGCCGATATGACTTTCGATTCCAGTCAGCCGCAGAAGTTGAGTGTTTTTAGTGCACGCTACCGATGGCAGATTATAGCCACCATGACGGGTGGGTAAACCTCTGGATTAAATAAGATTAAAATAATGAATGAATTATAAATCACAGTGCACATTATGACGCTGACTCATGGCATTGCCGTGGGATGGCTATCGCCGTCTCTCAGACTACTCGGCTCCGACCATAGTCCTTTGGGAGAACCCCTTACCATCACCCAGGCATCCTGGTTAGTAATTAAAAGCTATCTAACAAAAGACATCTAAACTAATCCTCTGAGACTTACAGGGTCGGATCTATGGTTGGCCTGGGTTCGCTGACTGGCAACATTATATTTGGCCTGCTGCTCGATCGTTTGGGCCGTAAACTTTGCATGTACTTTCTGGCCATACCCAATATGGTAGATAAAGATCCCTGAAAGGGGTTTCCCACCCATCTTGAGTCACTTTATGATATTTTTTTTTAATTTTTTAGATGTATTGGATCCTTATCTACTCTGCCCAAGATGTGACGTATCTTTATGCTGGACGCTTTCTGGCCGGGATGTCAGGCGGTGGCTGCTACGTCGTCTTGCCCATTTTCATTGCGGAAATCGCCGATAACAGGTTAGTCGGGCCTTTACCATGGGAAAAAAAACTGGCACACGGCTTAAAGGGTAATCGAATTGACAGATTATTTCAAGTTGTACGTGCACCCGATAAGGCGAAACGGAGTTCCCAGGTTCACATAACCTCCTCACGTTTGTGTCTGCTTTCCACGATTAGATAGAGGTCGGAGAAATACGCTCTATTTTTGTTTCCTTACGTAGAAATGAACACCAAACTGGGAAGATTATCTTAGTCATTCCTAGAAATCAATCGTTAGAAAGGTTGGAGACTATTTTGGATTTTTTATCAGGGATTTTTTTCTTTTTTTCTTAGCTGGGAAAAATTATGATTAGAGTTTTTAATCAATTTGTGGTTTATTTCAGACAGGTACTCGAAAGATATGGATATTATAAAACGTTAGAAATTTGTGTGCGGTAGGTCAAAATTGGTATTAAAACATAATGGGAAACAACGTTAAATATATGTTGCAGGTCTTTAGCTTATGTAGCTTTATCTTATAAGTTCTAATTATAATACTCCTACTTGTTGATATATATACTTTCATCTTCATTTTTTTTAACTGGTCTGTAATAAAGCTTAAAAACTATATTTCTTCCAGCGTTCGCGGTGCCTTATCTTCCATGGCCATGATGTACGTTAGCATGGGAATGATGGTTGGCTTTTCCCTGGCCTCGTACCTTTCCTACTATCTGATGCCGTGCATTATAGTAGCCTTTCCGGTGATCTTTATGGTGGCAGTTTTCGGCCTAGCCGAGACTCCTCAGTTTCTCCTGAGAAGCGGAAAGGATGCACAGGCCGAGAAGTCCTTCTACTTCTATAAGAATCTCAAGCCACCTACAGTCGGCGACAAGGAGGCATCTCACCATGACGCGGCCAAAATGGAGTTTGATACCTTCCGCCTCCAAGTACTCAGTGGCGGCGTCACCGAAAGCATTACCTGGCGTGATTTTAGTGAGTAATCAGCTTCTTTATATACAGATTATGCTGTTGGTTTAGTTAGCCATAAGTCAAACAAGAACAAAGTAGATAAGATGTCAAGCAGATTTGTTAACATATCAATTTGTTTAAAGTAAAGTGATTTAAAGTTGGTATAGTTTTTGAGAAAAATAATGATAGTGCGTGCAATCAAGAAATAATAAGATTATCTTGGAATAATATAAAGTACATTAAACTTGAGTTTATAGAAGATTATACACATAACCAACATTTAATATAAATATGGTATTTGAAGCTCCTTAAAAGTAACTTGTTTGTAGGTAGATTTTCTTAATAATTAATAACCAATAACCTTTCTATCCTTTTAGTCAATGTACCCACTTTAAAGATATTCGGACTTATCTTCGTGCTGATCATCTGTAATCAGCTCTCTGGGAGCTTTGCCATCTTCAATTACACGTCGCACATCTTTGCGGAGCTGGGCAATAAAATGGATCCCAACACTTCCACCATTGTCGTGGGAGCTGCCCAGCTCGTGGGCATCTTTTGTGCTGTAGCCTTGGTGGATCGCCTGGGTCGTCGTGTCCTTCTGCTCACCTCAATGGGTGGCATGGGCCTGGGTGAGCTGACCATTGCTCTGCTAAAGACCTTTGCTTCGGAGGAGTTCCTGGACCAGAATGGTTGGCTGCCACTGCTCATCATGTGCCTGGTGGCCGCTATTGCTTCACTTGGAGTTATAGCACTCATATTTATCATTATCATCGAGCTGCTACCAGCTAAGGTGGGTAGAGTTTTAGTATTGGTAGTATTCGTATCTAATTTATATTGCTTCTGCAGATTCGCTCCCTTGGCACCTCCTTGAGCATGGCCACCTTCAGTGGTTTCATTTTCGTGGCCCTGAAGATCTACCCCACAATGATTAACGATCAGGGCCTGGCAGCCACAATGTTCATGTCGGCGGGCATGTGTTTCTTTGGATTTGTGGTGCTGGGACTCTTCCTCCCGGAGACCAAAGGCAGGCTGTTGACGCACTGATCCCTCATCTGACATCGATCCAACTAGGCCCAGCGGCCAAAGTCAAAGAGTTGGCCGTCGCCTTTTGTTGGGAGATGAGTCCATTGAATAAGCTGGATAAGCGGGATCCATATGCGGCTCCATGTCAAGAGAGTATTCCACTCAATAATTTGTGGCACAAAGGCGGCAATCGTCTCATCCTGAACTCTTGAACCCACATAATTCAATTGCGGTTTCGTTTGGATATTTTTTTGTACATAGAAATTTAATTTAATTTGAATGGAGAAAGTCTTGGGGCTGTGATCTTGCTATTGATAAGTGCGAAAATTGTAAATCAATAGGTCTACGTAAATAATAGCTATTATATGGCTTAAATAAGTGTTAGTGTAAGTGTAAAATTGAAACCAAAATTGTGGATGGAATAAACTTGTATATTTATATAATTATCACTAGTTGGGAACTTTTAGCCTGGAGTCTAGTACATTAACTTTGGCTGTTATAAAACAGAGTTATATCTTTGGAAAACAGGAAATGAGAAAGATATACCTTATGTTAATCGATAATTGCAATGCAAACTAACATGAAAATATTTAAATTTTAACTCAAAACAACTCTTACAGTCGCGATTAAACATTTTTATATCATCTGATGATACTTACGAATTATATAAATCGATTTTAAATACAAATCACCATCATAGACCCTCCAACCATCATACCGATAAGCTAAGCAAAGACTTTAAAAGAAAACTCTTTTGGCCAAACCGATTTTCCTGCGATTATGTTATGGCGCAGAATTAATGAACTCGCAAAAGTGTAGAAGATAAAGGCACTGCGGTGATGGCAAAAGCCAAGCGGCACAACATCGAAAGAGCCAAACAATGACTCATAAATTCAAACACAATAAAAATTATTTATTTAGCTGCTGCGACTGGTACTTGTGGAGCGCTGCAAATGCAGTTTCAGCGCAAATTAAGCATCCCGCAGATACGAGCGAGGAGAAAAGAAAATTTGATCTCTATGACAGGACACACAAATCTCGCTCAGATCTCCAGAGACGACGACGATGCCAGGCCAAACAAAGCCAAGAGCTGTCAAATGGGCCAGAGACCTGCACAGAGCAAAAACTTTTACTTAAGTTAAGGTTGTAAATTGAGTCTTTAAAATATTTAAAATTTATTAACATTTGATAGAGTTGCAAGAATATTTGTTGGGTTAGACTAGAGATCTTTTAAATAAATATATTTTTTAAATGAAGCATGGTTCCTTAGAAAATTAAATTCAAATAAATCCTGAAAGTCCTTACAATTAAGCATCTTAAGCAGGAATTCCAACTTTGACTAGGTACAACAATAGATCTTTCCCTTTTCCATTTCCCTTCTCTGAAATTTTTGTATAACAATCATGATTTATCTTTCTAAGTCTTTTTCATAAAAATATTCAAAATATGTTTAAATTAAATCTTTAAAGTACTTATAAATAGACGTATTTCGGCAGAGTTGCTATTAGAAAAAAGCACCTTATGGTTGATATAAATCATTATTTAATTGTGGCAACATACAAATCATTGCGATATGTTAGAGTTCAAATTATTTTAAGTTTAGATTGCAAGCTTTTTCCTTTCCTAAAATATAATTTTCTATACAAAATCTTTGTTAAATCTTAAAAATGATTTTTTTTAAAATAGTTAAATAACTTCTCTCTCTGTGTACGCAAAATCCACAGAGGCACAATCAAATGCTCACATTTTAAGTGAGGGGGAGTTTCTGACTCGTATTTCGGGAGTCCATTCCGTTCCGTCCACTCACTCCTCCACTCATCACCGGCACAGACAGACGTTGCATCAAAATGCAGTTTCATAATTTTCACACGTTTTTCAGACGCTCTCGGGAAATGGGATCTGCTGACAGGCGGGCGGAAATTTGTAACAAATTTTCCAAACTTAGCTGCACTTACAGCTGAGTGCAAATGCGGCGGCAGACAGCAATTAGCTGCAGCTGATTAAGTTGATAATCACACACATGGGTCAGCCCGGGATGACTTGTCGGAAGTCGATGAGGTCCCCACGGGGAGGCTTCATGGGAGTGGGTGGGTGGCCAAGCCACTGATGCAACCAATCCCAAAAAGAGGCCGAAATGTTGGGCAAACAATTGCGGCTAATGCGAGCGATTGCTCATTGTTGCGATTACGAACGAGCATTTGATTTGTGGCCACACGGATGCCAATTGTTCGCTGATCGACCGACAGACCCAAAGAAAGCCCGGGGAGCAATCGCAATCCCATTGTGTGCCCTGCATGACTATTAACACGCAATTTTCTTCCCTCTGGCTGAAATGTCATTGATTTTTTTACCTTTTGTGGACTGCCAACGGTAGCGATTCCAATTTTTAACTTCCATATTTTACAATTAGCGCCGGGCGCCACTCACCCAGAGTGATCTCCGTTGATAACGATACACACATTTCCCATTGGGATGACAGACAGTTGGAAATTGTTTTTCGATTTATTTATTGTGTCATTGCGAATATTGAATTGCTTTTGAGCTTCTATTGTGTGTAATTTCGTTATAAAAAATTGCCTTAAATGTTTATATGCTCTAATTTCATGAATGGCCAACCGAATTCCGCATTTCTTTTGAGCTTAAATATTGTATTATACAATCGAATGGATGGAAGCCTGAAGGGCATTTAGCACGAGTGAATGAGTTGGTTCTTTTTCGTGGGGTTTACATAAGTCTCTCTCTACCTTTGCTTTGTTTTATGTTTTATATGCTAACTAAAATAAATAAATAGTTTGGTCTAAAGTTGACTGAACTTTGGCCAAAATAAATACCTTAATGTATGCACACAAACTGAGTATTTGCATTTTTAAGCATGGTTCAACGAAAATACCTAAATATTCATGCCGTTTGGCTCACTTCCAAAAAAAAAAACCTGACTGGCGGTGTGAAAACCTTTTGGTAAACAAAACGGAGATGAAAAACATGTCTGATTGGGTGGCTGACATTCGAGTTATGTGTGAAAACGTATTCAAATATCTAACTAAAGTGGCCTTGGTAAGCCAAAGTAATGGCCAAAAGGATCCAGACAGGTTGACAAAATTAATTAAGCAAAAATTGGCATGAAAAATGTACCTTTAATAAGCGCTTCCTGTCAGTCTAGCATTTATTAAGCGTCTGCCAATAATATAATTAATAAGAGTACCTGTGTCTGTGCCAGCATCTCAGAAAGGTCATTAAATCAACCTCAACTGGCGGTTGGCAAGACAAAGCCGTATATTTTTGTATCTTACAAAAGTGTTCGTTGGCCTGGCCTTTAAACATGAATTATAAATTTATGTTAGAACATTAATTTAATGCCTCCGCTCGGACAAAATTTCGCCACAGTTGAGATTTATGAAGTCCACGAAATTAGCCACGATCGTCAGCATCTCAAAGAATGGTCAAGTGTGTGGATGTTAGGATGTGAGGGCAAAAACACCATTTGAACACCATTTGGGTCTAACAAAGGCCGCCGAAAACCTTTCTATTTTCTATAATGCTAATTTATGTTAGCCACGACAGCTTTATTTCTATAATTATTATGTAAGAGCGCCTCTGCCCACCAATCACCGGTGCCAAAGAAGAAACCCTATTAATAAGGAATTAACTCTTTTTTTCTTTCTTACTAAAAATAAAAAGCGGGAACTGACGCAAGTTTGAGGTTTCTAAGAGATTACATAACTGCTGACCCTGAAGTGAAGAGGTAGAAAAGAAAAGGTGTTAAATCATGCCAAATGATTGATGAGAATAAGGTTCTTAAAGGTTTTAAGGGGAAAGTAGTGGGAGAAAGTTGTAGGAAAGTGATTTTGTTTCTTGGTTTTATTTTCAGGAAGCAGAAAACTGAAATTTTACTTGTCTGTTGCAGAGAATTTCGAAACTCTAGTGCTAAGTGGCTAACAGATGTTGTTTGTTCAAAGTGTTTAAATTGTTTGTTTTTTCTTTGTTTTAAAGTATGTATAAAGTGTGTTGTTTTTACTTTTCCGTATTTTATCAGTTTAAATGTATTATTTTTTAGTATACATTTATAAAAATACATAATATTTTAATGCATAGTAAGGAGTTTTTGATATCCAGGGCTTAAACCCAGGAATAGGCAGTTTAAGCTGGTATTAAATATAGAGAACGTTGTAGAATATCATATTGAAATTAGATCATTATATAACCAACTCCTCCATGTAATTGTTTTTGATAAAATCCTTTAAAAGAAAATTCTGGCAGTTGACAACAATTGACATCATTGACAGGGGACTGGAGCAATTATGTTGAGGGCCCGTAAGTCGATGTCACCAGTCAGTGGCAAGTTGTTGTAAATTTGGTTATAAAACAAAACCAAATGACATTATTCGCACGAAGGCAGGACGGTGACTTTGCCGAGCTGCTGTTGCAGCCGTTGCAGCACGACTTTCTTTAGTAGCAGCAACTGCAGCAGCAGCAGCAATATGCAACAGCAACAGCAACAATCAATTCGACAGCAGAAAAGACGACGACATTTGCGCAGGCGCAGGCGCCTTGGTTGCGCTTCAACTTCCGGAAATCACGCTGCTTGTTGTAATAATGTTTTTGTTACTGTTAGTTTTTATTTTATTTATTTTTTTCTGTTGGGTTTCGACTAAGGAATGGGTCAGGTCGTCGGCGCAGCAAACGAAATGTGCACGCGAGCGAAATTACAAAATGCGCACAGTTAACGTAAAATTTGTTTGCCAAAAGTTGTTAAATTTTTTCAATTATGCAAAAAATTAAATTTTAACACAATCTTTGCGGTGGCGGTGGCGGTGGCTGTGGGTGAAATGAAGACATGAAGGCACGAAGACGATAGCCAAGAGACTGGTTGCCAAGCGCAGTGCATTTCCGATGGGTTATGAAACTGGCCAGGCACAGGCCCAGGTATTCACCTCCTCGAAAGGGCAACTCTAGTTGAACTGCACGGATGAATGAGAGCGGGGAAGCCCCAATTAATAAGAGTATTTTAAGTAGGTTTTAAAAACCAATTAACATATTTAAATAGGTATAATTATCGATTGACAGGACGGCCTTGAATTGAGCAATTTATTTTTAAATTAAGCATTTATAATTGAGTGGGAGAGCTTGGTATAACAATTTAAAGTAGAGACATTTCTAAATGATATAATATATTGTTTTTATGTTATATTTATTATCATTACTTAATTTAAAAGCCCAAAGAAATGTATTTAGGACGAAAATATTATACCTTAGAAAATGAGTTATTAACTTGATAAAATATGAAGAATTGGTTTTATAATATTTACACCTTGATTAAGGATAAACACGTTAAACATTTTGTTATTATGACAAAATCTGAATATATACTTTTTTTGTTTTTTAAATTTACTTTGGTTCAGTTATTCTTATCTGAACATGACTTTAAAAGCTATGAATATATAATTATAAAGTCTTCTTAAAGGAAACACCTCTATTAACACTATTGTAATACACCAAGAATATCTACTTCTCACAATTTCAGATTGAGATAAGACTCAATCAAATATATTAAGTACATATATTTTCTGCAGATAGAGAAGCATAATCGACTGACTAATGCGAATTTAATTGATCACCGACTACCGAAATTCAGCCCAAAAAATAAGAAGAGACGACTCACCAAATTGACACCTTGATTCGTCCCCAGAGTGCTCGGGCACTCCCCGGGCAGATGGCTAATGTCAGACAAGAGTTTTGGGGGGCTGGGTCTTCCTCGGCACTTAAACCCGTGGACTGCAATTTTGAAAAAAAAAATTCTTTTGATTTATATGTACAAAGGCGCGAGAAAAGCAGCCGGAGTGGCCTTCCCAAGTGGCAATCAATTCTTTGTGGCAGAGCTCCGAAGACATAGAGATTCGCAACCAAGTCGCAGCCCCCAGGGGCATGGAACACTCTGCACGTGTTGACTCCCAGTTGAAGTCGATGATTTAGCTCGCCTCGTTACCTCAACGCCATTTGACCCCGCAGCAATTGAGGTAGCCACGATTCGTTGGCAGTCTATCCCGTCTGGCACTGGGCGGTAGTGATGCTAAAGGTACTTATTGATTGAGAGAAGGTACTGAAAGTTGACACAAGAAAAGGCTATTGAAAGGTACAAGGCAACTTATAGGTTAATGTATATAATAATTAAAAAGTTGGAAATTTTGATATAGATAATTCAGACGGAGATATAGTAGAAATCTTAAGAGAGTACTATGCCAAAAATGTCAAAAGGTACAACATAATCTAGATTACTCCACAAACAAATAGGGGATTATTATCTTTTAAAAAGAAGTCTAAAAGTATTCAATGTTACAACAAATGCAGCGTAAGTTATTTTTACTTAAATGTACAGTTGTGTATTCCCTACTTCTGATACATCCATATTGTATATAAATTTAGAATCTTGTAGAATCCTAGTGAAATTTGAAACACCAACAAAAATAAACAATTTTAAGATAAAACTTTCTAGGACATCCTTTTGGACACCATTTGAAGTGCTTTTAAAACTCAAGGGTTTTTTAAAAGAAGGCTTATTCATGTACAGCATTTATTTGTTGTTAACAATAAAATAAACTCCCCATTTCATTGAGTTAAAATTCATGAAATATTATACATAGGTACTTTTATCCTGAAACTTGGCCCATCACTGTTCGTCTGCCGGCAGTTAACAGTTGGCAGTAGTCGAGGGCCTATTCATTTCTTTGGTTATCAGAAAGGCAGCGATCGCGGCAATATGTTTTCTATATGCCTCATTTCTGCACAAATCGCTTGACCTTAAGCGTTGCTGTAATTTATTTGTCGTTGTCGCAATTTCCCACACACAACTCGACCCGACGATTTTCCCGCTCAGCTTTTTTTTGTTTAGAAGTTACAAACTGTATTACGTTGGTTTTTAAGCAGTTTAGTTTTGTATTTGATTTCCCTCCTTTTGGGCCCAGGCCCGGGTTCAGTCGGTTAGTGGAGGGAGTCTGCTGGCTTTTGTAGGTTATTGTGCCTGCCCTGGCATCTGGAGGTTATGTAATGTCTCCGCTGCCATTGTTGAATTTGGTTTTCCTCGGCTCAGCTCAGCTTGGGGGGCGGCTGGCCTTATCAGTTTGCCAAGCCACAACGAGCGTCACACTGTGTGCGGGGCATTTACAATTTACAACTTTGATTGTATAACCGAGCATTTGGTGTTGCCTTTTAATTGATTTTATCCAGCTGATTGAACACAATTTGCGGAAATCGAGCTTAGTTTTTTATTATATGCAGTGTGAAGGGTGAAGTTCTCCGAGTTGAACTCATTATGGAACAAATTTGTTACATTACGGAAGCAATTGGGAGTTCTTTTTTGGGGCTCTGAAAGAAATTAAGAGATTTATCGTTTGATAATTTCCTTAATACAAATTGCTGTATTACTTTAAATTAAAATTAAGTAATGAGAATAATCGAATTAATTGGTAAATAAATGCATAACTAGCTGATTCTAGGCCAAGGCCTAATTCCTCCTATAGCATCTATATAAATAATATAATATAATGATTAAGACTTACCGCAGAAGAGGACACATCAGTGCTTAATTCCATCCATTGTAAAGTTCGATTCTTGGTGGCTTCAATTAGGCTTTTCATGTTTCCATCAAAGTTATCTTCTTTCTGGTGATCCAGATGTATTGCATTAATCAGGTGGTATTTTTGGGGTCGAAGGGCAATCACTTCCACTATCACAATAGATGTAAACACTGGGGAGGCTGCGAACAGAATGAGGTCAGTGAGATGTCAGTTCCTCTATTTATAGTCTCCAAGTGAAGAGAACAGAGAAAGTGAGAGCGAGAGAAAGAGTGAAGGAGATATCCCTAGAGATAGGCAGAGAGAGAGATATAGAGAGGGAGATATCTCTAGAGCTCCACAGAGAGAGATGGACATACCAAAAAAGTTTGAGACAAAGAGAGAGAGAGAGAGAGAGAGACAGAGAGAGAGAGAGTGACAGAGGTAGAGAAATACAGAGTGACAGAGAAATAGAGATAGATTATGCTGCTCAAGAATAACTCCTTCACTGCATTGCCAACTTCTAACTAAAATTATAATACCCTGCAATGGTGGGTATAAAAAAACTAAACTAGACAAAATAAAGTCACTTTTGCTTAGCAAATTCCTTGGTAATCGCTTACCAAAGCCTTTTTATATAATGAGTCTCCCCCTTTTAGTGTCTATATAATCAAATTAGGGCCTCAATTTCCCTCTAGCATGCATCGTCGCCTTGGCAACTCTTCTCCAAGACCTCGTCTCGTCTCGTCTGCCTCATGTATAACACTTCCTGACTAATGAAGTGCCAGAGGTGGCATCGCTGCCACGGATTCGGTACCGACTTTCTGGGGAAGACATCTTCATTAGCGCTGAGTGATATGTTAGGCGAAATCCAGCGGAGAAAGAGACGTCCGTTCAAGGTGTGAAAATGGGCAAATGGGCACCGAAGATTCCCCCACACATTTCACTGAGGGCCGCCCATTTAAGTGTCCAATAATTCAATCACATCAAACGCCATGTTGATGGGCCCCAAAATGCCGTTAAAGCGTTTCAATTACACCAATTTCCATCGAAGACGAGAAAGTTGGGCTTATCATGAGAAATGCAGGGGAAATTAAGGGAATATATTTCCACAGAAACGAAAAAAATGCCACAATATACATATTGCAATACTAACATAAAATAATATTTGATTAAATTTAATTAAAATACAGTTAAGTAGGCTAGGTATATCCAGTCCAGAAACCATCATTCGAAATTAGTCTAAGGCATTTAATTGAGTAATTTGGTAGTCTAAATTTCAGTAATAACAATATACAAAATGGTTCAAAATTCTACGGCTACAAATTCTACGCTCATCGATGTTTCAAAGCTCGAGAGGCAAGCTTTAGGCGAACGGCGACGTCCGGAGGATGCCCATAATCTCAACACCTTGCTGCAGGACATTCTGTGTTTCTTTATCCTGCTCTCCTTGGGACTGCTTATCGTGGCCAGCATTTTCTGTGTGGCTCTTAATATCCATCATACGGCAACACATCAACATGGCCACAGGGAAAAATCTGAAAATATATCGCGGTTAATGGATGGAGATGGGCACACCAAGCAAGACCGCTTGAGCTTTCAACGTGGATCCATCTGGATCCGGTTCTTCCGTTGCCAAAAGCAGCCGCAGCAGCAGCAGCCGGAATTGGAACAGCTGCGTCAACCGGAACCGGATCTGGTACAGAGTGAGAAGCAGCCAATGAAGCTAAAGGAGCAGGACAAACCACAGCCTCATTTTGCTCGCACCTATGAACCCATCGACTATTCCGAAATGGCCGAGGCAGAAGCTACCGCTAAGGAATCAGACTCAGAACCTCAGCAAATCCTTGTTGGTGCGTATTGGCCTCCCTTTGGTATACTAATTTAACGCATTTGCACCCTAGACAATATCTAAGGAGACTTAGGGGACTGATGACTCGAAAGGTTTCAAATTTGATTCTTAAGACTGTGCGAGTTATAGAAAACTTGATATTCGCTGATTGATTTTTTAATAGATTTTTCTATATATATCAGTGGAAACCGAACTTCAAGAACAATTTATTTAAACTTCCCTTCAATGCGATCTGCGATTTCCAAACTCAAACAAAAATCACCGAAAAAGAAGTCAATCCTGCAGAACAACTGGAAAATTCAGAGGTTCTCGAAAAAACTTATTGATTATGTAATAAATGCCTATCAGCTGCCGTTAAAGCTTTTTAAATTATAAGTTTCAATAGAACATTTGGGGGGTCAGTGAAATTAAATGGAATTTTATTAAGGAATTCTATCAAAGGTAGGACAAGTTTTCCGAATATAGTTAAAACACTGTATTCTTGGTAAAGATTTTCTGAATAATATAAAATTAAATATAAATAGACTAAAGTTAATCTTGTTTCGAAATTTCAGTTGGAACCAGATTGATTTCTCATATTAAAACTAAAATCCACGTTTTAAAACTAAATCATTTGTGGTTTTGGTATGTTAATAGAAATTGTGCCTTTAGAAATCTTAAAGATCTTAAGAACCTATATTATATTATATACATAAACCTACAATTCAGCGCTAAAAGGCCATATCGAGACAAAATATAAATTTTATGAAAATATGATAGATTAAGTTCCATTTTGTAAAAACATATAAATCACTGTACACAGTAGGCGTAGATTTCCAGATCAGACTCCACTCAGTCACATCCCTTTATTCTATGTGGTCAGTTGAGCAGTCAACACCGTTCGGTTTCCAAAATTTTAATTTAATAAAAAAAAAATTATAAAATAATATTTAGTGCAAAATTTATCGGCTCAAAATTCTTTAATCATGGATCTTACGAAGGTCGAGAGGCAGGCGCCAGCCGATGATCGAAACACGGTGGCTCCAAACTATTTGAAGATCCTGCTCCAGGATATGATTTGCTTCTTCGTCCTGCTCTCATTGGCCCTACTGATCGTGGCGGGCATCCTGTACGTGGCAGACGATGTCACTCGGCTCCAGTACGGTCCGAGGGAACCCATCAACACATCGCGGATAATGTCAATTGAAGAGAGGCACAGGCACATGCATCGCCTCTTACGACCGGACGCATGGTTCCGGCTCTTTAGTTGCCAAAAGCAGCAGGATGCGAGAATGTTGCAGCTCCATGAACAGAGACAGGAACAGGAAAAGGTACTAGGCGAGGGAGAGGGACTGGAACTGGGCCAACCTATGAAGGAGAAGGAACTCCACGAGCATCAGCCATTCGGACCTAATTTCGTCCCTACATATGGACCCATCGAACATCCCGTGAATAACCGAATGCAGGCTGGCGGAGACCATGTCGTTCCAGATCCTGTTGGCAATCAAGTGGACTCCGAACCAAAGCCATCTTTTGAATTTTTATAATTGTTCTACTTGGGGTTTCCTCTTCCCGCCGGACTTATCACTGACCTGTAGGGCAAGTTCCACCTTAGGATTATCACTTATTTGGATTTAGCTCAAATACTTTCATCTGCCTGCCTGTCACCTATGTCGACCACTAGAAAAATGCAATAAATTACTAATTTAAGTAAGCCTGTTTTAAATTATCAATGATAGTTAGCATATATACATAAATTCTTTATATTTGCAACCCCAACTATTTGATAAAAGTACCCTTCCATTTCAATATTTTAAATAGTCGAAAAAACTACTTTACAAAGCTTTTAATTGAAATACTTTTAAAAAACTACCATTTTAAGTGGCGATTGTTGTATTTCAAGTATTTCGCACGGCCATTAAGCAGGTACTTCCTTATATACCTTATATATGGTAATGGAGTCATGATACCTTCAAGTATTCACACTCTCGCGGAACCTTTCAAATATTTGCAAGAACCTTTAACTGATTCACGACTCTTCAATGGCACCCCAGATTCTGGCTAACAAGCCACTGCTCGGTGGTTACCCACTACTGGCGACTATCTTGGCTCTTGGATCTCGGAAATTGTACACAGATCGACGTGTAAGTGTTGTTGGGCTCGATATTCATCTGTGAGATGCCAAAAACAAACGGAAAACAAAGCCGCAGACAGAAGCTGCGCATGCGCATGCCCATGATGGGTTAATTGAGGTATTGAGAGCCGCAGACCCAATGAAATGAAGTGTCTAATGTTTGCATTATCGCGCTCTAACTGAACAATTGCAGTGACTGCAGGCCTGCAGGTCTGAAGGGCAACTGCCAAGTTGCAACGTGGTTAGGGCGTGGATTTGGCTGGAATCCCGGCCCCGAGGTTGCCGGAGGTCGAACCGTGTTCTAGCCAACATGGCTGATAACTGCAGCTGGGCTAGGCTGGGTAATTGCTCATAGGAGAAGATAAGCCGAAAGCTTAGAACATTTGCATAGAACGGCAACAGCAGCTGGCTGGCGGATAAACAATTGCACAATCCACCACAATAACAATTCTTATTTTCGGGTATTTGTTTTGCCATTGGCATGTGGGCGTTGTTGGAAGCTTTTGTCTTTTACTTTATAATAAAAATTTAATTAAAATAATCGGTTGTTAGCTTAAGCTTGAGCCAGGCAGGCTCTCACAGCGACCCCTTGAGAAATCCATATTTATAGAGAGTGATTTCAAAACAGTTTCGGCCGGCCAGAGCCAAGAACCGAAGGCTTATGCCCCAGAGATGAAGCCTTAATGGCGGCACAACACGAAACGGAACGTGCAACTTTGAGGAACTGGCAGCGGTGGTTCTTATCTCCGATTCGCTTGAATATTTATGAAGCGCCCCGTTAATTAGGCAGATGACTGGGCCAAGACAAAATGACACTATTACAATATGCATGCCAGCGGATTTACAGTTTTTGGCCAAAACAGTCTGCCAATGCTGGGAAAGTTCCGCCGAGGGGAGACGCAAAACTCATTTGCCGAAACTTGTTCTAAGCTCTAAGAACGAAGAACGAAAACAAGTTTGCTGCCTAAGTCTTTTGTTCTGCGATTTCTTGGATCTTTCGCTTGCGTGCTTGATATTTTCATTTACTCCTATAAATTGCATAATCTTTATTGATTCGGAAGATGTATCAATTCGGGGTTCTCTTGTATAGTAGTGACACAGATTTATTTATAAACTCTGTTGTTCTGTTGCCACCTAAAGCCGGTCTGTGGGCCAAAGAAATGGGTGTGACATGAAAGCTAAACGATGAATATATGTATGATATAATACCCCCGAAATTGCTCGTGACTTTGATGTCTGCTCTAGACAAGCCAATTTATCCGCTAGATTTATGTAGGGCAACCCCAATTTAATTGTATTTGTACAATTTCTGCAGAAGCATTGACAAATTATAAGCTTCATTTAATGATGAGCAGTATCGATTTCCGAGATACTGGACCACATGCTGGGCCTCTTGAAAGGGGGAAACGAGTTAGGAAAGACACACATAAACGCGAACAAAAGATACAACTATCTGCCCTGCAAAAATCACCAATTGCAGGCAGATAGATAGATGGATAGATGAATGGATGGATGGCTAGTTGCCTGGAATCGATGTTAACTGTTACATGTGTACTCGATTTTGTACTCTCTCTTACCTCTTCGCCGTCGTCGTGTTTCTTGGTATGACTCTTTGGCAATTAAATAAAACATGCCGCATCAGTTGGGGCTGAGTTTTGCAATGCTTATATAACCATATGTAAATTATGCCAGCAAATGAAGAAGAAATATGGTTGAGATCATGCGCTTTACACAGGAACACACCTCAAAAAACGAGCTCTCACAACCCAAAAAAAAAGGGAACTACCGCCAGCCAGGTCCGGGCTACTGTCCATCTCAGCCAGATGCAGATGCAGAGAGGAGGCTCCGAGGTCCCGAGTCTGGACCCCATAACCCAATACCCAAAACCCAAGACCCAAGCCCAACAATGGCTGGACTGCAATTGAAGTGCAGGCATTGACAAGATAATTTCCTGGGGGTGCTGCATGCAATGCAGTAAATCCTACCATTTATACCCTCTACATACGGGGAGCTATGACTATACAATGGATATATACTCACATATATACGAATTGAAATAAAATGTTTAATATTTAATAAAATATCTTATTATTCCTATGAACAGTTTACAGATTATCTTATGAATCCCCAACTTTAAAGATGCATCTATCTCAAAACTGAAACAAGGGTAATCCTATTTCCATAAACTCATTGTCCCCGGAACTTTTCCTTCCTTCTTGCCTGCAGTTCGTCTTCGTTTTACAAATTGTACAAGCCAAGAAAAAATAAAATCCAAAAAGGGAAAAGAAGGAAAAACTCTGGCCACGACTCTGGCCGGCTGAAACGAACAGAAATTGGCTAGTTTCGCAGCAGACCGCGTTAAGTTGACTGACTACCAATTGTTGTTGCCACGATGCTGGGGCTACTATGCGAATAATTTCAAACACAAACTGCCGCCAAGAGCCAAGAAGGTTCATAATTATTGAACGAAAGGTTTGACGTCGTTGCTGCCGCTGGCTTGCGGTGGGCTGTGGCTTCTTGAAATGTTGCAACTGCAACTGCAGCAGGAACCACGGTCGTTTTGGGGCAAGAGTGCAAAGTGGCGGGTTAAATAGGTTTTGACTACTTGAAGACAGTTTCAGCGTTGCAGCGGCAATTTCATCGTTTCGTTTATGAAGATTTACGATGTCCAAATTAGCCATTTGTTAGCCCCAAATCACGTAGCTGATCCTGACTTGGGTCATGTGAATAGTTAGCCAGTCGGGTGTCTTTCCCTTCAGAGAGTCTCCCATTTGTGATAGTAATTACCCAGCTTCCACTACAGACGTTTAATTGACAGACTTCCATCTGATGAGACCCCCATAAAAAGTCGGACGAACTGATTTATTTCAAGTATAATTATTCTCATTGCCCAATTGGATTAATTGATTTTTGAGCTGCATGTATATTTCCGTGAATTTTTGATTTATTATAATGATCATGCATGTGGTCTCTGATTGATGTAGTTTTAATCGAATTAGCAAAGGCTTCTATTTGGTGTTAAAATAAACAGTTCTCAGATCTCACATAATGTCTTAAATATATGCAAAATAAATATAGATTTTTTAAATAATGTTTAATAATGGAAACACATTATTAGTAAGTAGAAAACCCCAAAACCAGTGACTCAAAAGATTGTCTAATAACAGCCAAAAATTAATAATACAAATTTGTGTCGACAAATTAATGGCAATTTGGGTTAATATACTTAATCAAAAGCATCGTTTTATTTAAATTACTTTATTTACACAACAAATTCACCGCAAATCCATACACTCAAAATATTTGTAAAGCGGCCAAGAAAAGCATTTCCATTCAAGTGTCGAAAGTTGACCACAAAATTAACTTTTAAGGGCAGCCACCGTAATGCCATCACCTTCGCTTTGGCCCGGCCACTTCCAGTGCCCAATTTGTCTGGCATTATTTTTTTTTCTTTTCTTAAGGGGGGAACAATGACAGAAACAGAAACCACACGAATATGTTCGGGTGTTGTGGATATGAATAAACATGGAGGCCCGCGAATAATGTGGGGCTTGCATAACCTCATTTGGCGGCTTATGGGCTCGCGTGCTCCCGTGCCGGGTTTGGGTTTCGGTTTTGGTTTTTTTCCTCCGAAGTCGGCGTGATATCGTGTACGCAGATATAACAACGATGATAGAAGGAAGACAGTGTTCAAGTGTGCCTGCACTGCACTGCAGCAGATCGAAGAGGGATCGAGTGTGCTCCCCAAAAGACAGGAAAAACGACGGGGCCATGGCACAACCCATCATCTTCAGTCAGCTCAAATTTCAGAGCGACAGACTGAACGAGTAACATTTGAGCAGTTTATGACAACGACTGACCTTTTTGGGCAGCTTTTCGAGAGGAAGTCGCTGTGGAGTGGCCAGGAAATGATTAATGGCTCTATTGATGCATTCGGTGGCTTACCCAGCGAATGCGGAATAATCGAATAGAAGGCTGTCCGCCGAAGGTTTATCTCCGCCATCAGCCCTCGACCCATTCACACCTTGCACAACCCACAAATCAAACTGGGAAAACTGGGCAACAAAGTAAAACCCCACCAATTATTTGATGGGGCAATGGAACTATAATTCTTCCTGGCCATTATTATTGCGACTGCCACCGAAAAATGCAGGGCGTCAACAAAAGCCAAAAGTTGAGGCAATCCTCAACCCGATCCAAGATCCCAGGCAGCGTTTTCAGCAATTTCGAATCAATTATATGAAGGCGACTACCACCACTTCCATTGTCTGGCTTTGGTCAATGCAAAACTCACGATTTATTCAAGTTTTTTTTTTTTTGAGCTTTTGAGTTTGCTTTTTTGGTTAACTTGTAGAATTTTGCTCAATTGGAGTACTTAAAATTTACAGCACAACTTTCTAACATCAACAAGAGGCAAAAGAAATATTTATAAATCCTTAAACTATTCATCACGTTTGGCCAGCTCCTCCAAGAGTTTGGCACTTTGGGCCTTGATCTGTTTGCGATTGGGCACATTGGCCATGGTCTTGTTCTCCTGCAGGATATCATCTTCCGGCGCCGTCTGCGGTTGCTCGTCCGTATCCACCGTCTCGTGCATACCCAAGGTGGCCAAGAAATCTGTATGATATTCCTCAACATTTCGCTTGATGGTCGCCGGCTTCAGCTCGATGGTGTAGGCCTTCATCACCTTGTAGATCTTGCGCTTCACCATGTGCATTATGTTGTCAACTGCGGAGAGAATGTTGGATTTATGATCTTATTTTTTCAAATGGCGGCAGCTTAACTATTTTCCTCGAAAATCTCCGGAGCAGCGGCTCTCATGTTTAGCATTTCGAATTTGAGCAAAGGCAGTTTTAGGTATGAGTTTGGATACAGGGCACGTAGCATCTTGGGCTGGCGATCCACATGGCGCAGGATCTCCAGGAGATTCCAAATGGAAAGTCTGCAAACATTTTTAATTCAAGTTATGAAAATATACTTAACGATTTTCTCTTACCTTAACATGACATAAGAGTCGGCACGATTCTTGAGATGTTGCAAGGTATCCTGCTCGAATTGCATATCTTTTTGCAGCATTTTCTTCAAGTCCTTGATGCGCTCCTGGCGACTATGGAAATTAAAGAACTATCTTAAGGTATTGTTTATTATTTTTCGTAAGAATAACCCACTTGATCTCTTCCTCCGAGAGATTGTTAACCAAAACTCCCTTTAGAACGCTGGCACACTTCATTTTGGTTTCCAGCATCTCGTGGGCCAACATGTCATTGACAATCATGCGATGCAGCTTGTCGTTATTGTCCACCTGGCTCTTCATGCTATAAAAGATGATCGTATATATAATATATATATAAATTAAAAGGAAGTAAGTACAAACCGAGGATAAATTTCCTTTGCCTGGGAGCAGAGAGTCACAAACTTGACCTCCTTTATGGTCTTCTCCACGGCCTTCAGCTCCAGTTTAAGTATCATCATGCTCTGGGTCTCCCGGACATATCGTTTCAAATTCGTGGTTGGTGGCGCCTCCTTGGCCTTGGTATAGTTCGCAGTGGATACGGCGCCCGGCTTCTTGAGTGTGGCTAACATTTGCAGCTTCATCTGCAGATTCTTGCGGGACTTCTCCTCCAGACTTCGGAACTCATCGTTCAGCTCCTTGAACTTGGCTATGGCCGGCATGCCCAGGTACAGGATGTGCTTGATGAAGTTAGTCTGATCGTCCATGTCGCTGCTGAGGGAGCGCAAGATGGGTTCGTAGAATATCTCGTCATGGACAAGCACCTGTATCATCTTCTTGTACGTATTGTTGATGGTCTTTATGGCCTTCAAACGCACATTCGAGTTCTCAATCTTCTTTAGGAAGACCCGAGATTTGAGCTCCTCGTCAAGAATAAACTCGTTCTGATACTTGATGCGATTCTCCAGCAGGGCACGTCGTAACTAAGGGATATAAGATTACACTACATTGTTTTAAAATTGTTTATCACCTAAAGAATACCCACCAATTGCTCCTTGTATTGCTGTTTCAGCTGTTCTAAGCGAAACTCCAGGCGATCCCGCTCCTTTCGCATCACAAAGGTTCGCTGATTGATGTTGTCCACCACCAGGTGAATGGGCATCTTCTGGTACAGTCGTTGCATGTCCTTGTGATTAATAAGGAAGTTGCGGATCTTATGGGTGTTGTCATTGACCAGGACATTCTGCAATTTGGTGCGTCCATCGCGACACTGTAGCTTCAATCGTTTGTTCTCGCGGAAATACCTCTGACGATTGGCTTTCGACTCATGATTCTTGAACACCAACCTGCGAGCTGGTTTAAATGGCTAGTTACTATATCGTTTTATATAGCAAAGTCCAGTTAACTCACTCAACAAGTCGGACATTCCCTTGAACTGCTCGGTCAGCGAGTTGGGGGTCCATCGGTCATCCACCATCACATGCTGGTGGACATAGGACATGCCGAAGAATCCATGAAAGCGCAGGGGGCGAGGATGCACGGGCCTTGGAGCCAGGACATCCCTCTCCCGGTTTTTATCCCGACGCGGGATAAAGGCCATACCCCTCTGACGTAGAGCACACGGCGGCATGATGAGTGTGTGTTATGTATCTTTGTATCTTTAATAGCTCTTGTCTACTTGAAAATAAAGTCTGATAGAGAAACTGTATTCAAGCGAATATAGTATCTGAATGTCTGACAATATCTCAACCGCCCACTCGAGAGAGAATAAAACACTTCAAAAGGTTAATATTTATTTTACACATTTATTTTGCACTAACATTTCTTTTTATTTTGTTTTTGGAGTTGGGCTTGTTTTCAACATAATTTTATAATACACAATATACTTTACTCCTAACTTGTAACTGATGATTAATGTGTGCTCTTACATACCCAAAATACGTTGCATAATCATGAGATTGGATCGAATTGAATTTTAAGAATTAATTGTGACAAAAATACAAAATTTTCTTGGTGTTCAATGGGGGTTTGATTTTATTTATTTTTTTCTAGAGCTAAAGCGCGAAACGATAGAAACACAGCAACAGTTTAGTTCAAACGTAAATAGCACTTAATTGTAGATAATCTGTATTGCACGATCGATCTATGGTTATCTACAAGATACATTTCGTTTTGGTAAGCCAACCCTCTAAGCGTATTCCATGGGAAATTTATGACCAAATTTAGCTCACTGTTTTTTTCTGAGTATCTTTAAAATCGCATTCTAAACGTTAAATCGAAACATCAACAAGTGGCGCAGTTTGCAGCGATCTAATAGTAAGATTTCGATTTGCTAGTTCCAGACGCACATATGCTTCGTATAGACAGTATTTGTAATTTATCTTAGTTAGACCTAAGTACGAGTATAGTTTTTAGCTCAAACACCAGCGTATAAATATTGTCATAAAACATGGTTTTTTCTTTTGTCATTTTCATGTATAATTTTGCTAAATGTACATTGATTTTGTGGGGAGAGGAGTTGTGTGTGTTTTCATTAGCTTTAGCTTTGATGAAAATTCCATTTATGATTGTTTGCTTCTAACGCTTTATTGCCTACGAGAGTTGACCCACCTAGCCATCCAAATACTAAATAGGAGATGCGGGGATCGCAGGTCCTGGTCAACCACCATCTTATACATGTATTCGTATTTTAATGTGGAATTATTGCCTACTTTTGTGAGCAATGGAATTGCATTGTGGCTTGTGCAAAAATATAGCATACTTTGCTGCTTCAGTGATTACGTTCAATGGGGGAAACATCGAGGAAATAACGATCTTACTGATCGGTTGTAGGTGAAGCAAGTTGAACCATCAAAAGAGAAGGAAATACTTTAAAGGAGTGGTGGGTTAGAGTTGATAAAAGAGCTGGAAGTCATTCAATTGCTTTGGCATTCACATTCCAGTGCCGCACGGAAATAAATTGATAAAGAATAAATATAAACAGAAAATACAAACTTATAATATTAATGTATATCATGTAAATTTTATTTAAACATAGTTCAGCGTGCTGAGTCAGTAGGAAGTCCCCTACACGCACCCCTTATGCTGTATGTACACAATTTAGAAATGAACTACGTATCTGATAAAGTCGTCAGCTTCGAAGCAAAGTGCCCAGAATGCTCGGCAATTAAATAAATGTCTAATACAAAGTACGCTCTAGAGTATAACACATTTTAAATAAACGTTGTGGATCTCTACATATTTAAATACATCTTCAACGCGTTTCATACATACAATCAATACAGTTTGAATCGTTCGTTAAATAATACTTAATAATTACCAATGTTTTCCGTTTTGTTTTTCACAAATTAAATTTGGACAAAATTGAAGCTAGTTTGGAATGCATTTACAAATAATTTCCATATTAACAAATCATAATTGGCTTATAACAGTCTAAAACATACGTACAATTATCTGGCCACAAGACCTGGCCAATTAGATAACAAAAAAGAACATAGATTTTTAATAGACGGATTTAAATATTGCAAATTATTACGCAAGCACTTGGACTGAGTTTGAAGGTGTCGTTTCTGAATCAATCCTCTTCGTCGTCCGCTTTGAGACAGTTAACACACATAGTTCCACTAGATATAATTCAACGTGTTTCTTTTTAGTGATTGGCGTAGGACACAACTACAGGTTTCGTAGAGACTTATTAATAGAGTTCATAGGTATATTTCACATAGGCTACTTTCCTTTAGCTATTTATGGAAATTGTTTCGTTTCTGCTTCCTTCTCTCTTCACTCCGTTCGTTTTAGCGTATAGTATATAAATTGGTGTATACATATAAATAGTCAAACTTATTTGTTTTTCATTTAAATAGTAATAATATAAATATATATATGTGTGTATATATATGTGTGTATGTATATAGCATTTGTTTTAGTGTTTTTTTCGCTCAATGTTCAACATTATAATATAATTTTCTTATCTGCATCCGTTTGTGTGTGTGCTATTTCCGTGGAATTTCTATTTGTTTCTTCTTTCAAACTTTATAATTTTCCTTTGCAAATATATATATATATATTATATATAATTGGTTTCCTTTTCGATTTAATATTTAATTACGCCTTTGTGTGTGTGTAGGGTTTTAATGTTTGCTGTCTATGAGGTTAGAGCCCTTGGTGTGAGTGAGTTAGTGGATGTGTGGGTGTTGTACGTATGAGCTCCTGGCTGCGGGACCGCTTATAACGCACCAAATGGATCGAGTGGGACGCCGACGCCTTTATTGCCTCCATTCTGCGTCGCCTGCATGGGCTGCATAATGCCCGATGTCGCATTACTGTGCGGCGCCGCCATCATCGTCGGCTGCACCCCAGTCAAAGGGGCTGCTCCCTGCTGCCCCATCATAGTTGGCTGCCCCATCACCGGCATTCCCTACAAGAGTCATGGAAATTGGCATTAGTCATCGTTCTCGTTCTTAAATCTTCAATTCATGCACTGGAAGAAGGGCAATACTTTTATTAATTGCTATTTGACAGACTCAAAATGCTACAAAAAATCAGTGGTGGGGTAAGATAGTTGTCGCTTCGGGGCCGCCGTGAGCTTTGGAAAATAGTTTCTACATTCTTTGGAATCATACGAAAGTTAGTAGTAGTGAGAGTGGTCTACGAGTAGTCTAGGGAAAATAATTGAAATATTTAAGAAACTCAAAAACAGTGCAACATAATAATGCAATTTAGTTCAGAGACGAGAATCACAGAGGAGGATTGCTGACTGGGCACCAAAACCAAATTAGAAATCGGTTTTCTTCGAAAGTTTAGGAGGAGAAGTCAACCGAAGTTATATAGTGCTGGAGAGAGATGATAGATTTCGATTGACAATCATAATTTAAACATAGAATAGAATAGAACATAAAGGATATCACAGAACGGAAACGATAATTTTGGGTTTTTAAGGTTTACAAAAAAAAACGGCAACTGAGGTTAAAACCAAAATGGTATTTATTTGTAGTAACACTTCATTCTGTTCTCTTTTTTTCTTCAATTTTAAAATTTGTATTGGTTTTGGTTTTTTATTGATCTTAATTCGCTGGTTTTTTAGCATCTTCTTACCTGCATATAATTTGGCATTACAGGATAACTAGCTTGTATATACGGATGATTGATTGTGATTGGCGCAGGACTTACGGTCATGCCATGTGCCTACGTTATATTGATATTGATATTGGTATATTGATAGAATATATATTGATATATATCACAAACACACACACAGACAGCATTAACACAGGCGCATCGTGAGTGGTCATTGGTGGTATGGTATCGTTTGTCGTTTGTTTGTTTGTTTTTTATCGGTTTCAATATATATTTATATATTTAGTAGTGATTCAATTCAATTCGATTCGGTTACGATTTTGCGGTATGCGTTGGGATAGTTGAGATATAAAGCAAACATAAAATAAAGAAAAGAAAGTAAGTGATAGTTCATATATATATCCATATACTTGGTTGAAATGCAAAATAAAAACGTAAATAATAATGAAATCAAGAAAATATTGTATGGGAGTACATGTGATTTTTGTCGCCTGCGTGTGTTGTGTGTCTGCCCGACGAGGTGTGCCACAAAAGTTAGTCCTAGTGCCTGTATATATCCAAGTGCTAGTGTGTTCTGTGGGCATAGTGTGTGACCCAGAAATAAAGGCAAAACTTACAACCCGCCATAATTTGGTTTTACACTTTGATTCTCTGGTCTTTTGCAAATTCACAAATTGTATATAATAAGAAAGGTGAGACAACATTTAGAAATTTAAAAAAGAGGGACTGTCACAAAGTAAGGATATATAAAAAATAAATACGATAACTTTGTTCCAATCCGAGTAAAGAAATATTCTTAAGCAAGCTATAATAAAAATTTGCATACAGATCAAGATTACACTGGAAATCAAGGAAACCAAGTAGCTCAAGTTGTAAATCGATTTGTGCAATTTATAAATAAACATTAATTTGGATAAGGAAAATAAGGTAGAACTGTGTGGTATTGTACATGACGACGACGTGTAGCCTAGAGTGTGAGGTGACACAAAATTGGTAAATAAAACTAAATGGAAAAACAATGCATTTACATAAGTACAAGAGTTCAAAATTAGTTTTGATTCTTTTCTGGCATTTGAATTATATTCGCTTTGCTTCGCTGCTTTTTCGCATTCGACATTCTAGTGATTTTTCAGTGTGTTTCGAATTATTTATACATTTGAATCTCTTGGCTAAGATCGAAGGCAACGCGTTATCGAGTCTTTCAGAGATTGTGACTGGCATTCTTAACGGATTCTTTGCGAGTAGTAGTTGTGGTTTGAGTAGAGTAGTTCGGTAGACAGTAGAGAGTAGAGTTAGAGTAGGCAACACTCACCATTGGACGATAGCCAGCACCAGTTGTAGCCGCCATTGGTTGGGGTGTCCAATTAGCACCTGGTTTCGCTGTATTTTTAGGTGAATTCCATTGCACGGGTCTATGAGATAATGGGGTAAGAGAGTAATGATATATAGACGAAATCAATGAACACGGCATTTGAATTTGGGGGATTTTTGTTCTATCTAAAAACAGATTCTCTGCGTGATTTCGAGCTATTTTCTTTTTGGATGGACTTTATGTACACACACATGGAGCATGAATATGGACATGGATTTATATGGACGGGACCGGGGACTCTTAGATTTTCAAGGATTCAGGGATCGTCAGGGTATACGGATAATGGCTAATCAAACTGAACTTTGATTGAAGACTCCCATCGATCTATTGAGAGTGTTAAGGATGACATGGGACTGATGTTCCTGACCTCACTTTCGAACACACGCACATACAACTATCGTATCGTTTTCGTTTCGATCTCGATTTACTCACTTTGCACTTGCCGTTTTATTTATATTTAAGTTATCGACTAGGGACATTAGCGAGCTATCCAAATCGCCGGTTATTATCTTCCCAGTGCCCAGTGCTGGGGCCTGCTGCTCCTGCTGCTGGTGCTGGTTCTGGTTCTGGCTCTGGCCCTGGAGCAGGTACTGCGGCTGGTGCTGCTGGTGATGGTTCTGCTGCTGGAGCGCGAGGATCGAACTGCTATTGCCGGCATAACCTGTGGCGACAACGTTCATTTGATTGCTGTTGCTGTTGCTGTTGCTGTTGCTGCTGGCGGAGGCCGGCTTAAGGACATCGCCCAAGGCATCGAAGCCTTATTTGTATACACATTTAAGATTTCACATTTCGATGTGGTGGGAGGACAGCCATAGCCAGAGTGCACCGATTTTAGCAGACATTTATACACAGAGACAAACACATTGGATATATGATGTATACAGAGATATGCATAAACAATGAAGCCGATGAAGCCCAGGGATATTTTGGTATTTGATGGTTTTGTCGAGTTAGCGTTGAGTTTGTTGATTGCCGTCGAAATTTCATATTTTCAGTTTCGAATGGATTTGATTATTTTTCATTTTCGATTATTTCATTTTGCCAGCGTAATTATAAAACACACAAATTGTTTTAGCGTTTTATAGAGATTGTAAATGTTCGAATATATGGATTTGTGCCACCAACATTAACATGAGACAATGTGAGGTTGTTTTTTAGTTTTGATATTTTTTTTACGAACATAAGAGAGAGAAAAAGAGAAAAAATAACATTTACAAAATAAATAACATGAATTTGCATTGTACTTATACATATATCCATATTTTGGAATTGGTTTGTTTTGTTTTCTAATGATTGTATTAATATATTAGGTTGTTAGCTACGAGCACATGATAAGTATATGGTAAGATTATTTACAAAAGCAACTCAACCAGGAATGTGTAAATGGTTATGGAATTTTCGCATATTTTTAAGTATAACTGAGGCACAACACTTGGTTAGAACATAGGATACAGAAATTAACTTGAATTTTATAGTTAAGTCATTTTTCCACACTCATTAGACAAAAAACATTAAGGAAAGCTCACAAAATTCATTAAACTAAACAGTTAGTATAGGTTACAGAAATACCACACATACCCACACCAAATTTAATAATTAGATCATTTTAAAATACAAAATTCCCATAAAAAAACGAACAAGATCATTTACAAAGCAAAAAACAAGTGGGAAGCAAAGACAGTGTAAACTTCAAGATGCATAACGCCATACAATTTCCTTTTCAGCTCTCAACAATTGAAATGTATAGACGTTATTGATCTTATTATTACAAGGACTTTGTAGAAAAGATATCAACGCAGCCTTCAGCTAATGACAGGACAACTTCAAAATCATTTGGACTGTAAAATATTGACAGGACACGAGCAGACGACAGACGAGTGGGCAAAGCGTGTTCTTTTTTGGTGTGGATGAGGACAAAGCTCGGAGGAGGAAACGCTGTGCCCGCTGCAGCACTACAAGCCAGTGACGGGGCAAGCTTTGTACAGAAACAAAGCACGAGCACAGAGGGAGATACATATGCTTGTTGTGGTCTATGGAGTTTGAGTTCGTTCGCATTGTGGAGCAGCGCCAAAGATTCACCTGGGGGAAACTGAGCTGATGCCGTCGTCGCTGGCTGCTGTTGCTGGTGGCTTTGCTCCCAATACTGATGCTGCTGCTGTTGCTGCTGCAGGTGGAATACTTGCTGGGACTGGTGCTGGTGTTGCTGATCCATGAAATTGATATTTTGGCCAAACGGCGCGGCAGCAGGTGCAGCAGCGACTTGCATTTGGGCTTGGGGCAACGATGCGTCATCGAAAAATGGATTTGGCAACGACATCGACGCTGTGTGAAAGTCAACGCAAACATTTACAGGAAATAATATTTAAAAAACTTAAGTAAACTAAATCGAATCTTGGTGCAAAACTAACATTGTAGGAGATCGAGAATAAGAAAAACGAATTCTGATCATCAAAACGCTGGATGTAGGACCCCCAAATCTAGCTTTAAAAATTAAATGAATTACAAAATCAGGCGTAACAATAAACATGCTAAAATATATTAGTCCTTATTAATTCAAACACACACCAAAATTAGATAGTTCATTTAGCTTAGTTAAAGGTTTAGTTACAACTTAGGAAACCGCTCCGATTTGCACTCAATTTAATAATAATAATAATTATAAGGAGTTAGTGACACTGCGTATAATATATTGTTAATAACTTGCTTGTATTAAAATCATAGCTTGCAGTTAGGAATGAATGAAGACTGAAGGCCGTTGGAGGGACTTACCTGCCGGTTCCGTATTACCAAAAACGGATGAGAAATTACTATCGGAAACGAATGCATTTGTAGCAGCAGCGGAGGAAACTGAAGCGCCATTGAAACCTATGTTTGTTTGTTTATTTCGGATTTATATATATTTTTTTTTGTGGTATTTGGTTTTGTTGGGTGTTGTGTGGGCGGTGGTCGGTGGGCGATGGTTTAGCAGTTTGTTTTGGTATTGATTATCGTTACCGTTGTCGTTGAGGTTTGGTGTCGTTTTTGTATCGGGTTGGAAAAAAACAGTGATGAAAAAATAAAGAGTAACAATACATTAGACAAGAATTCAAAAGGAAATAAAAACTTACAAAAATAATCAAGGAATCCAGAATAGAATAGAATAAAAATATATAGTTATGATTACAGTATAATGGATAATGGTGCGTGAACATTGTGTGCAAAAAGACGGCTAGGCCGGAGTGAGATAGGAAAACAGAGATAGAAAGAGAGAGAGAGGCAGTGGTGAAGGACGTCTAGAGCGCCCGAAAGGTGTGCTCCTCTTGGCTTCTGGCCCTTACGGATACGTAATATAAACACATAAGATCACTACACTTACACACCGATTCTTATATATGTACAGGACGAAATAAGGAGCAGGTGAAATCATAAACGCTAGTTTTTTGTAAACTCTAACTTAGGACAAAATAATAAGGAAATTATAACATGCTACCGTTATTATGCATCCATAAATTATTGGCATTGAGTGCAGCACCTGTTGCTCCTGCAGCGCCACCGGCGCTGGCCTCGAACATGTCGGCGAACGGATTACCCAACTGCAGCAGGTCGTCGGAGGCCTTGGTGGTGGCCTGACCCTGGGTCGCTGCTGCAGCAGCAGCGGGCTGCGCCGACGCGGCACCGAACAGATCAACTATCGGCTGGCCAGCCTGCGCGGCTGGCGGCGACGATAGAAATGGATTTGTTAGTGCAGCGCTAGCGCCAGCAGCACCGCTGCTGGTGGGCGACGATACCTTGGACTAGGCGGGGAACAGGCAGAGAAATTGATTAAACACTGGCTTCCAGAAACGCGCCATTGACTCACCTTGTACTGGTTCATAGCAGCCTCCTCCTCCGCCAACACCTGGGCCTTGAGCTGCTCGTCGATGCCATTGGTGGTATCGAATTTGGTGGAAGCAGCCGCTGTTCCGAATGCCGAGCTAGTGGAAGAGAGTGCAGTGACAGCGGATTTTACATTGCGTTGATTGCTACAGATTTGCAAGGCATCGGTATCGGGCACAAGTTACAAAAGAAATCAAGCATGAAATAAAAGAAATTAAAAGAATAAGTACAACAAATTCTAAAAAATAAATAAATAAATAATGAGAGTATTATCAATAATCAGAGTATATAAATAACATTGAATTATTTTTACATTTTGTATTAAAAACTTGATATAAATACTTAAGATAATATTAAAATGACAACGGAAATGATGAATTAATATATAAAGTTCCAAAGACCTTTAAAAAAGTGACCTACATTTAATAAAACTTGGAAGTCAAATGTTTAAACTCAAATTATGAATACAAAACGGAAGATTAAGGAAATAAAATTATTGGAATCTCTCAATAAATATCCTAAATCACACACCTTGATGATTGCGTCGGCGTATTGGCGGCGGACACCTTGCGACCCTCCAGCGTGGCCAAATGCTGCTCTAAAGCATCCAGCAGGGAGCTGGGAGCCTTGGTCAAGTCGGGAATGTCTCCCTTGTCAATGCCCACATTCTAAAATAGATAACAAATATTAAATTACATGAAGTTTTGTTGAATAGGCGACGTGACTTACCTCGGCCACTTTTAAGAACTCTCCAACACGATCCATGCGCACCAGGAACTTCTTGTAGAGATCCAATGCATCGCGTGCTTGTTTCTTGTTCATGTCAAAGTATTTCTCAAGCAAATTGATGATGCCATCGTTGTAGCAAGCGAACAGGCGTATGAGATCGCGAAATAGGAGCATAAAGCTCATGTTGATGACGCCTAAAAATGGATAGCAAGAAAAGTTAGTTAGTAATTCAAAAACAAAGTAATATGTAAGAGGTGTAAACGTACCATTGGACAAGTCATTGGACTGGCAGTCAAACTCCAGAAGTGCATCCAATTGTGCCTGCAAAACTGGCAAAGTCTTCAGAAGTTTGTCCGCGTTCATGCTGCGCAGCGAGCCCTCCTCTTTGCTACAAAAATAAATAGATAACGAAACAAATCAATTAGAACACAACTATATACGATGTGTAAATGATGTGCTATTAGTTACCCTCGCTTGACTTTGCAAAAGTCAAAGGCCATGGCTCGATAGGAGAGCGACTTCTCATTCAAATACTTGGCGTAGCGACGAATAAAGGGCGACATATCGTAACCTGTTGATTGATCAGATATTAGACAAAGTTCTCTTCATAGCATCTACGGAGAACACAGACAATTTAGGCAACGCCAAATGGGAAACTTAAAACGATAATTTCATTGTTAGTCAATTTGGATATATATTTTAAGCTAAAACAAATTTTAGTCACAACCAGAAAGGAATACAACGTCTACAGCCCGATAGAAAAGAAGTTATAGCCAATTGCCAGTAGCAGCTTCTGCATTATACTCACCCATTCTGCCACCCGGAACGCCCATGCCACCATCTGTATAAGGTTTACATTGTTCGATTTGGAATATTAAGATTGGATAATTGCATTTTTCAAGTTGTTTGTTAGCCAGCATGATGTTGTATGAGGGTCAGTAAGCAGCGCATTTCGGTATTAATTAATTTTTGATTAGAAATTATTGTTAATCGAATAAAAGTACAAATGAACAAGCCAAACGTTCGCGGAGCAGCATTCGCCAGATAAAAAGTAGAGAATGAGAGAGGAATGAATGTAAGCATTAGTTTATAATATTTAAATCTTTAATGCGTTTATGGGAACTTCTTAGGGAAGCTCAACAGGACGATGTTTGTATACCTTGCACAGTTCCTTTGTCCAGAAAGGAGCTGAGATTGAATGTAGAATTGCTTGAAGCCAGATATTGCATGAAACGCTGTAAATAATCAGAAAGGAGGGAAGAAATAGTTATTAAATAAACAACATAATTTGATTGGGCAGAGATGTTCTTTGGCCAAACCTATAATTAACTTTCTAATAAATATATATACCTAAAAATACCAAGCACTGGAGAGTCCAAGCTTGATAATCTTCCACACATTCAGCTAAATTAATTTCAATTCATTCATGCCTTCGGTCAGAGGAAGCTATGTAAATGCCTTGGCAAATACATATTCCCAAAAGATTGGGCTGAGCAAATAAAAGCAGAGGAAAAAACAAATGACGATAAGCTCTGTAAGAGGCAAAATACTTATGAATAAGGCGTGAGACATAGCAAGTAATCATTAAACATGAAAGAGAGTCAAACAGAAGAAAACAAATAACAAGATTCTGGCCATAAACGTGACCTTTTCTATGGACACTGTCCACATTCCATAAATGAAATGCAATGAAACTAAATAGATTACCTCATTACGATACCCTCAATGAAAGCAAAAAGGCGAGCAAAGCTTTGACAAAATCATATATATTTAATACAACGCCCCTAAGCTGCAAAACAAAACACCAGATACAGATAAAGATAAAGACACGCATACGAACCTCATTGCCATATGCCATCAGATGATGTGTGGTTATCAGCGACTTGTAGACGACCACCCAGTTGGCGTTCTGGGAACGCTCGATAAGTAAATTGGCCAGATGGGGTATCGATACATTCGGCTCGTTTGTGCAATGCACCAAATCTGGAGAGAAACAAAGGTTTAAAAATCAATTTCAGTTTATTTAAGATGTATAAATAATAGCAAACTAACATCGTAAGTTTTATTTTGTTTATCTAGTTAATATTTCAACAAAATGTGTGTAAGTTTTGTATAATCGCAGTAAGAAATGTTTACATATTTAATGCTGTATTAATTAAATCTATAATCTCCTAACTTGTAAATACAAAACTCAACCTAATACTTAAAAGCTTTTAGCTTTTGCATTCATATATATTCATTTGACTTCTAGTGTGACTACAAAACTCCCATAAATTAAATCATCTTGTTGTTTGTCTCTTATCGGTCGCGACTCGTGCTTATCTTTAACTTTGTATTGAAGCCGCTAAACTCAAACTCGATGCACAAAATCAGCAAAGACGAAACATTTGAGGCGGAATAAAAAGAAATAAAGCTATGATAAGCGCTGAAGCTCATTGTGGTCTTTATCATGCTGTTTCTGTTCGAAGCAATTTCCATTTCACTTGGCGAGTGTCTGTCGCTGAACGGAATATGTATATACATAATTGCCAACCAAATCGAGGGGCGTTACACAAGCTGGAGCAGATGTTTGCCCGCTTGGATGAACGGATAGACGCCGGACCAGACCTATCAGTGATTCATGCGGGAAGGGGACAATTTCCAATAAACAGTAAATGTGAAAATTGATAGGCCCTTGTAAGCAAGCTGGGGAAATATACACGAACACAATGATCTGTCTCTATTTACAACGCTATTTCTATTCATAAAGAACTCAGTATTAAACAAGAAAGGAAGCTAACCTCGGCACGCCGAAGTTTATATACCCTTGCAGATAGAACTTCTATGAATAGGAATCCATACAATATAAATTATATATATTTGTGTTAAAAAAACAATGAAGTAATACCTGCATTCATTTCATTCACCTATACATATTATATTTGCAGTTTTACATTCACAGATTTGCATTTTTCCTCTACATCAAACGATCGTTTGTATGGCACCTATATGATATAGTCGTTTGATTTTCATAAAATTTTACACAAAATTTTAGAATAATATGAAATGGCTATATCTCAAATTTGATTAAATTCTGTTGAAAACTAAAAATGTTATCGCCACCGCGATTGTCAGTCTTCCGACAACAGCCACCGCCATTCTCATTCCTCTCAAATTTCTCGATCGTTCCTATGGGAGCTATATGATATATTAGTCCGATTTTCATAAAATTTTACACAAAATTGTAGAATAATATGAAACGGCTATATCTCAAATTTGATGAAAATCTGTTGAAAACTGAAAATGTTATACTTATTAATTGAATTAATTTCTCGATCGTTCCTATGGGAGCTATATGATATAGTCGTCCGATTTTCATAAAATTTTACACAAAATTGTAGAATAATATTAAATGGCTATATTTCAAATTTGATCCAATTCTATAGAGAACTGAAAAAGTTAAAATTTTTTTTGTAAAAATTTTCCGATCATTCCTATGGCAGCTATATGATATAGTCGTCCGATCCGGCCCGTTCCGACATATATACGAGTGAGAGTATATAGAAGGCTAACTACAAAGTTTCATTCAGATAGCTTCAAAACTGAGAGACTAGTTTGCGTAGAAACGGACAGACGGACAGACGGACAGACGGACAGACGGACATGGCTAGATCGACTCGGCTGTTGATCCTGATCAAGAATATATATACTTTCTATAGTCGGAGGTGCCTCCTTCACTGCGTTGCAAACTTCTGACTGAAATTATAATACCCTGCAAGGGTATAAAAAGCTAAGGTACTCCATTGATACTTTATTTAATAACTGCTTACATCTTTTGGTTAAACTGAACACTATTCTTATGGTTTAAATTTATCAGAACTTTGTTGGTTCTGTGAATTCACATCTAGTTTTATTTTAAAGCCGAAAGTCGTTAACAAAAGAAACTAGAGAAAGAGGTAAAACAAACACATTCAAGTTGGAAGATTCTACCTGTTGTGGGTATTTAAATTGTTTATATGTATTCTCGAGATCAGGTTTAATCTGAGGAGTGCTTAGAAACTATTGATAATTGGAAGCTAAAGACAAGTAAAGGGTTATACTTCAAGGTCTTTTCACAACTCATTTAAAGCATTTGTTTATATTTATATTTCATCAAGCCCTTAGAAGAAAAATATCATAATTCTATGGAATTCAATCAGATGTGTGTGTAAGCTTAATTTAGGTTACATATTCCGGCGATTGTCTCTGCTCTGTTGCCCACAATCGAAACTCATTTATTTCCAATCGTTGACACACTCCCAATTCGCTGTCAAGTCTGTTTTTGTGGCAAATGGAATACAATGTTTATGTGGCAAGTAAAGCCCCATAGGGTTTGTTGTTCTTGTTGCCCTCTTTTATTCCCATTGAACTGATGAGTCATCTCAGAAAAGTTTTGCAAAACCAGCGCAAAAACCAGGTCACCACGCGCATAGAACTAGCCAAAAAACCAGATTCCAACAGGAATATCATCAAGATATTGAGTCTCATTAGAAATCTAAAGGCTTAAGCAAAATCCGGCGAATTAATGGGAAAAAGCTTGTGCATAAATTTGGCAAACAATGACACCGCAACAACACAACGTTGGGTGCTCTCGTAGGCGTTTCAAGCCATTTAAATGTCCTACAACCACAACTACATACACGTGCTGCCGTGGGAAAGTGACGTAACATTAGAAAGAGAGCGCTAGAGACATTGCGAGAGTGGGGAACAGCAATCAATGACGAACGGAGTCCACAAACACCAGCAGCTGAGGCACAGGTGCACTTGGGGTGGCGGGTGGTGTTTTCACGGAGGCTCTGTGGACCGCAATCAGCGGGCTCGTTTCCAGAAAACTTTGTGATTATCACATAAAAACAAAAATATATGTGAAGATGGTTGTGGCTGATGGAGGGAGACGCAAACTGGTTGTAACTGAATGGGATTTGTTTGACTTTTGCAGCGAGTAACTGTTGTAATCGCGAGGGCACTGAGAGAAAATATTTGTTATCAGTAAAAAACTCTTGAAAGGGACTGTAGATATAGGAATTGTACATGGGCTTGGTGTACAAGATTTTAATTAGTAAGCCCAGTGTTTTGGTGTAAATTATAAATGACTCTGGGACACGAAATCAGGTTGTACATCTCTTATCATATTAATTAGGGCTCATTATTTCTCCCTGTGTGGTAACTAGGAAATGTAACGGTGATTTTACGCAACGAGAGAGGGCTTTTGAAAGCGAGAGAGGAAAACTCACAGTCCAAGTGCTTCTTCTTCGGGCCAATGCATTCCTCCGTGGTGGCCTTGCAAACGGACTTGGCGAGTCCTTGGCCCGCAAGGCTGTGACGGGCAGCCAGCAGCCTGTCGTTGATCGTTTGCCCTGCCATGGTCATGATGAAGCTGTTGTTGTTGTTGTACCTGCTCCCGCACGCTGGCTTTTATTTACTTGATTAATTTAATTATGCACCCAAGGAGCGGACCACACCGACAGAACACACACACAATCGGAGGGGGACACAAACACCGACACGCAGGCACAGAGAGACACACGGGCAGAGCGAGCAAGCAAGAGGGTATTGATTGATTGAGAATAATTCCAAGGGGAAAATTCTTGTACGCGAGCCCCACGACAAATCAAACGGTTCACGATAGCTGCTACTTATGCCACGAGCACTACACAATTTAACGCCGCGTTTGATGCGCTCTCTAACCGGTGCCAAAAGCTGAAACGCGATTTTTTAATTCTATATTTTTTCCCTGCCACAAATCGATAATGGCGACCCTGTGTGTGTTGGAGATGTCGCTATCGATTGTATCGGATGGACGTTACGAAAACTATCTAGGTATCGATATTCAGCATCGTATTATCGATGGTTCCAAACATTGGCCGCATTAATATTGATAAACGCCGAATTCGATCCGATTTTTCTGTTCACAAGAATTGTCTGCCCATTGTTAACCCGATCAAAAGGTTAATGTGTACAGAGCGAACTTATGAGCAAGTTGTTATCGATTGACATTTCTAACGTAACGAACGAAAAATATCGATATCACTACGTAATAACGTATAATAACGTATCTTAAGAAAATTACCATCGACAAAAACAAGGTGGTGTCATGTTCCCAATGTTTTATTTATTATTAATTTGGATTTTTATTGAAAATGTAAATAGATATGGCTTTGAGCAATTATTTTTTGTGCTGCGTATACCATAAACATAAAATATACATATACATGTAAATCGATATTTTCACTTTTCTTCAGGTAAGTCCTATGTCATAACTAAGCCAAAACAGAAATAATTTTAATTTGAAAAAGCATTTCTATTCTAGTTTTTATTATTGATCAATAATATATATGGCTATAGGATCGGCTATGATTTCTTCACAGCGTTGGAAGCTTCTGACTGATATTATAAAACGCGGAAAGGCTAAAATAATAATCATGTTTTTTGTTTGGTTAATTATTTAGTAATTTTCTGTTATATTTAAGATCTTATTTTTATTAACTTAATTTATAAATGGAAAATTTCAAATTAAGTCAGAATTTGGTTAACACGCGTTAGACCAGACCTGTATTTGTTGGCAAAAACAAATGGACTTAAGCATAATCTGTTTTCAAAGGGATTAGGAAAATAAACAAGCAGCTGTGGTTTTATGACCTGACCCAAATTTGTTTTTAAATTTTCCGCGCACCTGGAAATTTTAGTGCTCTAAAAGGTATGCGGGCAATTAATATCAGGTAGCAGCCCTGCGCTTCTGAGGATGGCACAAATGGCCAAGGTGCAAAAACATCGATGAAACATCAATGTCTCCATACATCGATGTTCTTTCACCTCTAAGCCCTACCTTCTAGTTAATGTGCACAAGCGAGACAGATGAACCACAATCGATATGCATAATAAACTATCGATGGTAATGGTACTAGTTCGATTCCCCATGAGCTACAATCGATAGTTTTCCTGCTCTAATAAAAACGGCGAGCTAGCGATGAATTTCGTGAGTCATGGTGGAAAATTCGAGGAAAGCGTACCGATGCGCAAAGAATAAGAATAAGCGAAGAAGATAAAGTTATTGATTAAAATTTCTGCTACAAAAATATATATATGTAATTGCATATTGTAAATGTCTTAAGTTAAGTGATATAAACCAGATATTTGTGTAACGTTTACCATTTTAATACGCGTCAGAGTCAGTACAACGAGTGAAGCATTCGCACACAAAGAAACGGAGTACTTGGCCAGCGAGAATACAACAGAACAGAAAACGCTGCGCAATAGACGGTGGTGTACATAAGAGTTTAACAAAATCGAAATCAGAATCAGTTGAAAGTGTGATTTTTTTGAGCCTTTGTCTGTAAGTGAAGAGAAAGCTTTAAGCGGAATTACATCTATATATAAATAAATACGAAGCCAGCCCGTCGCCATTTTGAAAGTGATTTTACAATACATACATATACACACAACCACAAATACGAACACATACACATCCAGCGAGAGCATATACGCATATAACCCCATCTAAAATCCGTGGAAACGCAAACCAAAATCCAATTTCCGCAACATTTTAAAGTGAATCAACAAAATCAAGGCAACTTTTAACCAAACTCAACCCCAATTGTGTATATATAACGCTTGTCGAAACAATCGGAGTCTGTATATCAAAGTGGCTGAGAAAACCCCCGCAGCTGCACCAATCGATAACTGCGACATACACACAAAACACATACACGTTCGTGTGGAAGGTCTACGGCGAAAAAGTAAGTCGCAATTGTATTGGTTATCGCTGCGCTGCTCTGCTGTGTCTGTATGTGTCGATTCATTAATTCAGGTATTCTCGCTGTGCGCCTGAGTGTGTGCGTCCCTCTGACGTCCCCAGACGTGTTTGCAAGAGAATAGCCAAACAAATACAAAAAACAGAATACAAAATACCTTTTGTTGACGTAAATGGCACATACAGACATAGTACATATGCACGATAATGCAGCCGTTACGTTGTTAGCACTACGTTACAGGTTGTTGCTACCTGGAAATCAACTCGTTACAAAGTTACATTTCCCTTAACTGTTTTCCTTATTATGCATAATATGTGTACCTACAGAAGCGGTCAAGATAATAGAGCAGCTAATGGTCTCTTTTTATTCGTTGAGTTTAGGGGATGTTTTTATTCCTGTTTTTTACATTTCCTTTGAGCGAAAATTCTTTGTTTCGTGTTTTTTATTACAATGAAATATTTATATTCATGTTTCTCTTGAACTGTTCTGCATTATGCATATCTTTTGTGCTGCAGTTAAAAATTAGCATATAAATTGATCCTTTCAAGGATTTTCAAATGATTAAAATTAATTGTTTTGAATAATTACAATGCATTTTAACTATAATTTGTATACAGATTTAAGGCAAATGTAATGTTTTCCCCAGTCATATTTTCAGTACATTTAAATCTTTTAGTTTGTAGTACATTTTGCATCTTCTATAACACACAATAAAAATAGTCATATTCCTTTGCTCAATAGTATTCTTCGATTTCTTTTTATTTTTTCATAAAACCAATAATAGGATCAGCACGGCTTGGAATGCAGTATCAGCAGTCAAATCAACAGAGTACCGAGAAGAGTTTGCGAAATTATAGCTAAGGATAGCGCTTAACCCAGAGTAAAAGAGATAAATCAACAGACTGATAAACAATACATAACGTTACAAGTTAAACTATATAAAGTAAAGTAAACAGCAGCTGTAAATAAGAAGAGGAGGAGAAGAAACGACGCCAAGCAGCAGTGGACGCAGCTACGTGCTCAACCGCCCGTCGTCGCCCTTTTGCTCGCCGATTTCATTTAATTTTTGAATTTTTGGAGGAGGAGCATCAGCATCAGCGATTAGAACCAAAGAAAAGCACGGAGAGCGGTGGAAGCTAATCAACAACAACAACAACAATAGCAGAGCGATCGAGTTTGGTTTCGATTTATAAAGAATTGATTTAAGTGCGTGTGATATTTAACGTTAAGCATTAATTTAGCGAAATAACCAAAAACAAAAAAAGGCAAAACAGCAGAAATTTTAATAGATAGAAGGAGGAGACGACGAGAGTGATCAGTGATCCAGAAAGAAAGAGAGAGAGATCGGCAAGCGACGAAATTACTATGACATACTCGCACAATAGCGTTAGGAACAACATCAGAATGACAACCGCATCGGCAACCAAGTCCATACGATTGAAAAAGGGAGCCGCAGGAGCAGCGACCTCCGCATCCAATTCATCCACCCCCTCGCCCACATCCCCGACATCCGTATCGGCGTCCGCCGCACCCCTTCCCGTATCCGCATCCGCACCAGCAACACCCTTGGTAACTGCACATTCCAACAGTATTGCCAGCAGTACAAATCTCATCCAGAACAACTCCCCCCACTTCCTGAGCTCCTCGCCGACGAGCCTGGGTCTCTCCAACCTGGCCACGCCGCCCAATCAGAGGCAACGGCCACTGCAGTCGCAGTCCCAGTCGACCGGAGCCCAACGCAGACAGCAGCAGCGTCACTCGCCGCAGCAGCAGGGATCCGCCACCGGAGGAGGGGGTGGCTTCTTTTTCGCCAACAACAATAGGCGGACCGGAGGAGGACGTTCGCCCCAGGGAGCGATGCAAGTGCGCCAGTCACCCGCCACCATTCTGGGTGGAGGCTTCTCGCCAGCTGGAGGATCGGCTCGGAAGCAGAGGAAGAGCCCGCCGCTGGGTGGCAAGATCTCGCCACAGCAGATGCAAATGCAGCAGCACCCACTCATACCCACCGCACTGACGCATTTCGCGGGCAGCAAGTGCTTCGATGCACCAGCTCCAACGGCGCTGCCCAAGCCGCCGCAGCACTGGACGCGGTCGGAGGAGAAGCTGTCGTCGGTGTCGATGTCGATGTCGCTGCCAAAGTTCCAGATGATGCAGACGGGTGGCCGCTCGAAGCGGAATCTCCTCGACGACTTCGACACGCACAACCTGAAGCTGCTGCTCAATGTGCAGTCGTAACCCTGGTGCTGGAGGATCAGGATCTGGAGCAGAGGAGCAGGATCTGGATCTGAAGCTGGATCTGGATCTCGAGGACCGACTTGAATGGCATGAACACCCGGAGGACCCCGAACCCGTCAATGAGTTGCAAAAAATACAAAACGAAATGAATATAAAAAGTAAAAAAAAATGAACAAAAATTATAAAAGAAAAAATGCAAAATGAAAAACTAAAAAAAAAAATCGAAAACGAAAATATTTCAACTGAAAAATTTAACTTTTTAAACAAAGCAAAACAAAAAAAAAAAGAAAAAACAAAAACAAGAGTAATGTTTGTGATCTCAAGTGTGTATCATAAAACAATAAAACCAATTTGAGAAGCTATAAGGAGAAAAGTGAAAAACTGTTTCAAGGAAAGCTGAAAGTAAACAAAAATTGAAATACACAAACAAATGTCCTCACACAACCGATACAACAACAACAACAACAACACCAACAACAACGACAAAGAGAACAAATAAACACAGCGAAAAAGATGCAAAATTCCCCGCTATATATCAGCAGTTCCCTCCCCCTATATAGAGAGCCCCCTCTCCCCCACTGTCAACTTCAATATGCAAACTTTATGGAAAAGAAGCTGCCGCCAATCGACAAAGTAAAACCAAATCAACAACAAATGGCTAACAGAGAGAAGATAATAAAAGAGGACGAAGATGATGATGAAGAGAAAGCGGAAGCGGAAGGAAGGAAGAACTTTATATGTCTAACAACGGATACTTCACAACTGAACATTGTTTTAAACGTGATACGCAAATAGACTTGAAAATTAATTAATAAGTAAAATTATAAATATAATAATATTTATGAGTAATTCAACAAAAAAAAAAGGAAAAATGGACGCTAGAAGCGCAACATAAAGTACAGTTTATGTTTATCCCCCGAAAAGCGGACAAAATGTGCAACGTACCTTAAATGTTGATAAAGAGAGAACGAAGCAGAGAGCACAGAGTATATTCAAGAGACACGATAATACCTATAACTAAAATACAAATAATAATAATAATAATAATACAACTAATATAAATCGTATACCCACCAAATCACAAAAGACTAATTCAAACAAAAACTCAACGACAACAACTCAACGCGGCCGCAGCAGCAGAGCAGCAGCGCAAAATGCATTCAACTTGCCTAGAAGAAACGTTCATCTATAACTCTACAAAACAACTATTGTACGGCCTCTCCTCTACCTTAAGATATAGATTTCACTATTGTATTGTAATTTTTGACTTACCTTATAGATACTTCCATTACTTTTAGTTAAACGTCGCGCGAGAGAAAAAGCAATTGCCCAAAAAAACAATTAACTGAGCTACATATGCGTACATGTGTAATTATTCTTAATCTGTAATTGCGAAATGGCTTTAAAAAATTCTAATTTAAACATTCTTGAATTGTACATAGAAAGGAACAACGCTAAAATGTTCAAATAAAATTTTTCGAAAATCGATAAATCGATAAACAAATACGAGAATAAGATCGATCAACACAATGTAAATGCAATCAAAATGCGTAGTAGCAAGCGATCGGCCGGCGCAAGCAAGATTTTAATTTATTCCAAAATATGTTTGATCTTGCGCTAAACAACAGCGTAGTAAACAATTGTGAAAACAACTAAAAAAACGAAAACTATATAAGTTGCAATCCCAAAGCGAAGGCTTTACAAGAGAGTAAGAGAGATAGATGTCGCGAGAGAAGAGGATGGGAGAAATGATACTACTTTATGTAAACTATTCGTTGATGCTCAATACTGAAACACTTGAACCCAGTACCTTATTTTCATTATTAGCATTACTTATTAATTGTTAACATTAATATGTATGTAAATTATTTAAGATACCACACACACACACACCCTACCCCCTTAAGCCTTCCCATTACCCCCTAATACCCAAACGTCCAAATCCAAAGTTATTTGTATTTTGCGTAGAATGAGGCAGCGTGAGTTTTGTTATGTGTTTTTGCCAACTGAATTGGCCCCTAAGTGATAAGCCAAAAACAAAAAGCAACCCCAAAACCTAATTGATAGTGGAAAAGCCCCAGAAAGAAAGAACACTTGAGTTGTGTTTATGCATATTGTTTAACTTCCCGAAACAGCTAAATTACGAGAGAAGAAAAAAGAGAGAAGAGAAGAGACAGAGAGGGAGAGAAAGAATAAGAAAGATAAAGAGGAGGAAACTACAAGAAAACACTCGATGATAGTTTTAAAAAAATGTTGAAAAGCCAAAAAAGTCAAGTACTGTTTAGGTTTACTGAGCAAGTTGTCATATATTGGTAGCTTTAAAGCTTGTATCTTCAAGTTACACTACAAGTACCCCCGCCCCCCGCCCCCCCATACACACCTACATACATACATATATGTACCCCCCCACAACTACTTAGAGTATTGAACGGAGCGAAGGTCGTTCGAGCAGTGCTCGAGCATGACCCCAGCTCGACCTCATCCTCCCCGCCACCCCCCAAACCCCATAAACACTATATAAAAAAAAACTTGTCGCGCAGAATTTTGCATTTTTTTTAAGTGTAAGCCTAACGTTTGTTACTTACTGGACGTCAATTTAAGCGAAGAGGAGCAGAGAACAGCTTAGATTTCTTTGAAGGAGAAACCAACAGTCCCCCCCCCCAAATATTTGTAAAAGTTAAAGAATATTAAAAAAAAGAAAAAGAGACCAAAACAGGGCCAAAATCCGTCTGCTCTGCCTTGGACTGTGGGCACAATCGTTGCGATTCGCCGGATTTTTTCAACACCAATCAGTACAAATTAATTTCCATTTCAAAGTTATGGAGCTCGCCAACCAACATCATCAGCGAGGGCTCCCCGTGCGAGTCCAAGGCGCTTGTGCCCCCATCCAAGGCAACTGCGGATTTACTGGCCCCCGAAAGAGAATTCAAATTCAATTTTAATTTACATTTAAATTTAAAGCGTAACGACGACGATTCGACCAAGTTCGAATATTAATTTTAACCCTTTTGTTTTAAGCCGATAAATGATTCGTCGTTCTAAAAAGAAGAGGAAAAAAAGGAAAGAAGAAAACCAAGCACTATGTATTTTTTTTTAATTTCTCCATTGATCTAATTTACAATTTAATTTGCAATTTTTTGTGATACTTTGCTATATTTTTAAACCTGGTATATATACAAATTATAAAAAACAAATACAACTGAAGAGAAAATGATAAATTACTACCCACACAATTACCATAAATGGACCACTAAGATGAATATGAAGAGAAGCAATTTCGCAATTCAATAATGTGTAATTAATAGAAACGAATGTGAATAAAAACTGAAAACAATTTGTAAAGCAATATTGGAATTGTGTTAAGTCCAAGTCAACTTGTAACATTTGAGAAGAATAACTAAAGAAACCCCACAAAACCAACCAACCATCAACAAAACAATAGAAAACTGAATACCGAAAACGAAAAAAAAAACAAAATAAACAATTGTACATGGCTTTCGTAAAGTAATTTATTAAAGCTTTGTATAATTAAACAAAAAAAAAGAACCAAAAATTGTGTTTTATTTGCCTTATCACGTACACTTTTTTGTTGGCGATTTTATTTTCAGAAGCTAATCGGCAAATTCCAGAAAACAAAACCCCACCACATTCCAGAGGAAGCGAACATGTGCTCCAAAAAATTCCACTCTAGCAAAGTTCTCACATGTTTCAGGCTTTGATTTGCGGCACGAATTGTAAGCGAGAAATTGGAAACACACCAGAATCAAGTCTCAGACTCAGAGATATACACATTTAAAACAAGATCCAAACAAAGGCAGCTGCATTTGTGCAGCAAAAATACAAATTAAGATACAAAAAACGAAAAGAAAATTTTGCAGAGCCGAGGAGCAAAACACCCTTGCGGGTCGTCCAGGCCAGAAACCAAAACAATTCCAATTCCGTTTCAATGTGAATAACTATCCTGATTGTTCCTACGTTAGTTATGCCTAGATGTCTCCTATATATTTGTGTATTCGTAATCGGATCAAGTAACGGCAAGGCAAGGCAATGCAATGCAAGGCTTGGCAAATGCGAAACACCAAACACTCACACAAAACACCTTAAGCAATAAGTGCGAATTGTCATTGTGAGTTTCGCAAAAATTTGTATACAATGCAACAGTTTAGCATTTTATAGATTCTTACACGAAAACAGCATGATAACGATAAATGTTTAAAGGTTTTACTACAACACCACAACACATAATATAAAAATATATATATGTATAGAGAGAGAGCTCACCAAACATCCAAGTCAAGTTAGAACGTAAGAAAAACCCAACAAATGCCTAAACAACGATCAAACAATCAATGTGTAAATCCCCTTCCCAAAATCACCCTAGCAAATCGAAAAGTCCCCTAAATCCTCATCCCCTATCCACCTTCCCCCAAGTCCCCTAAAACGTGAACAAAGAGATTGAGATATTTTCAATGAAATCGCGCTAAGAATGGATCCAGATGCAGTCGAAACTCTTTAGCTCAAGCTTTTGTATCTTAGATTTATACTTCTTAATTGAATATCCAAGATTGGGGATTTTTACTGTAATGATTTATGTGGAAAATTATTTTTTGTGGTCAAAAGAATTGTTTGATTTATATGGAAAGTTTATTAGTGTGTTCAATATAATTGTGAATACATTTATTCATGTCTCTTGGATATGTATTAATGAAGATATATCGATCACTAAAAATGAAAACCAATATCCATAACTTAATAACGTTGAATTGATCATATTCCGGAACGAGTTCTTCTTATACCCTTTAAAAACAAACTTAAAACTTAAACAGGGCATGCTTAAGATAGAAAAGAATTTTTAATTAACAATCTAAATTTAGTTTTGTGGTTGAAAGAATTTTTAAAATTCAAGGTTGTTATTTTTTTGTTTACTTGGGGTTTTTATTTGTAAATTTGAATATTTGATAAGGAATAAATATGCCAAGGCAAACACTTTGTGTTGGTAGCTCTAAGCCTTTCGAAACTGTGATATTTTTAACGATCAACAACATTCATGATTATTTAATTCGATCCAGACTTTTCTGATTTTTACTGATTTTGATTTAACTTATTGAAACCAGTAAGGTTTTCACTGTTGATTCACAAACCTATGAAGTAAATAGTCATTGTGACTAACAATGAAACTCCAAACTTCCAACAAAAATAGGCTTTAATACATATTTTGTGAAAATAAGTCTTGGCTATTGAGAAACTTTGAATTTGAGATGAAGTTGAGCTAGAGAAGTTTCAATTGTATTTGAAAGGGGATCCCCTCAAAAGATCCTGGATCGAATCCCGCAGAAGAAGGACTTTGCCGAAACACACTGAGAGAGAGCGGTCTGGATCAGTTTAGTTCAGAGGTAAGTGGGCAAAACACGAATATGACTCACTGGGCAGAGTAAACTAGTATTATCTAGGTGGATTTCTCTAGAGGTTGCTCGAACAACAAAACACAGAAGAGACTCCAAACGACGGGCAAATGGTGAACGTGCCTCGAATCACCTCACCTCGCACCTCCCGTTACACGCAGAGAAAATTGAATTAACAAAGTAATCAAAGTAACAAGTTTGAAATTATATAGTTTTTCAGAATTTTAATATTTGATATAAACAAATTATATTGTTCTATATATTTTCCTTCCAAGAAAAGTTGGAATAATATCTCTTTTAGTTTGAAACAAATCCAATACTTTGATTGATCATACACTGATCAAAACCTTTTGTTTTCTCTGTATTCTCTTCATTTTATGTTGTTTTTTCTGTTTTTACCTCGACTCTTTGGGATTTCTTTATAAACGATGTCGCAAAAGAAAACTGGATTTACCGACAACATACAAAGTTGGCAATGGGCTTCGGTTTTGAATTCGGTGTCGTTGTTTACCGCTTGGCTACCTCTTGAGGGTACATATGTACGTACATACATAAGTACATTACTATATATGTAATGCTATATGCACAAAACCTATCTTCGATCGGTCAGAAACGGAGACAAAAAGAATACAAGAGAATAACTGTATGGGTTGTCCATATTTGTACATTGAAAGCCTTTTCCCCCCTGCCGTTGATTTCATTTAATGCTGAGGCCCGCAGTCTTTAATTTTTCCACGTTACGTTTTTAACGATTTCAGGCCACCCCCGACAGACAGACAGATACATACATATATATAAATTCAAATATATATGTACATATATATGAACGTATTTTCAACACACTCAAACTTGAGGCAAATCAAAAGCGTAAACAATTTTGTTTTTATTTCGCTTTCTGCTGCTACTCTTTTATTTTTATAACGCTCGCAGCTCGAGCTAATTGCAAACGATAAATGGCGACGACGATAGTGGATTTAACGGGGTCCCCGCGGTATGGGGGCTCTATATATCTTGGCCTCTCGCTCTCACGTTCGTTTAGATTTGCGGTTGCGAGAGTTTCCATTGTTGTTTTTGAAAAAATAAAACAAAAAGTAAGAAAAAAAACAAGAAAACGTTGAAAAACAAAAATCTAAAGCTTACTAAAAAATAACAACAACTATAAATCATGAGAAACGTGACTTTATAGAAAACTATATACCCTTCATTTAACACTCGCTGGAGTGAATTCATTCAACTATTTCATGTTCAACAAATGATCCAAGGCTCTGATCTCAATTTCATATTTCCACGATATCAATTCAATACCCTACCATGAATACAACACGTTTAGATCTTATTATCGGAGAAGTTTGTGTTTTGTATTTCAAGTAAACAGATTCAGAAGTGTTTTGTTCGGTTCTAGGTATGAATCTGAATGTTGAAAAATAACAAAGGTTCTGAGAATATATACTAGTTATGCTTAATTTTGCAAGAATTATTTTCATTGACATTACTCTAGTTTCAAAAATACTGAGTTTTCTATCTAAAGATCACAATATTTTTTTGGGTAATACAGACATCTAAATAAAAATTTAAGTACCCTGCAATGATTTACGGGATTCATAGAAACTAAGTACAATAATCATTTTAAGGTATTCAAACTTAAGGTCCCTTTTTGAAAAAGGTTTTTTATCGGCTTTCTTAGCTTATCTTGTTTCCATCTTCACCCAAAAACCCATCATACTCTCTTCTCTTAGACAGGTTATAAGTAAGGGGTATCAAAACTGAGACGAGGCAAAAGCAAAAAGTGTGCGTGCACTGGTCTCGAACTGGGCCTGGTAGATGTATCTACGCAATTGGTATCTGTAAGATACACACGCGCTCACTCACACACATCCCGAGTGCGCGGAGTGGCACAGAGATACTCGTTTGAGAGAGACGACGGATGCCGTTCATATTTACAAGTTTTGTGCGTTGGTCTCTGACGACGACGACGACCCCTTGGCCTCCTATCTCCCTCCATTCTCCATTCCCCACTCTTCACTCTCCTCCCAGTTTTTTTATATTTTTGTACACCCCACTGTGCATATGCGTGCAAAGTACGCAAATGCTAAAAAAATACAAAAAATAATATGAAATATATAAAAATAAGTTGAGTACACATAGAAAAATATGAATCTGAAAAGGTTGGGCTTGTGGGATGTGTAATATTACATTGAATTGGTAAGAAACCTAATGATTAATATAAATTTCTTTACTAAATTCATATTGATGAAGATTTACTGATCACTAAAAACAAATACAAAGTTGCCTAGCTTATTAGGGTTAAAATTACTTTAAAAATTTCCTGATTAAATATACTCAAACCCAATAGATCATCCTTAAGATACATATTTTTCTTCTGTGCACGCACATATTTTGAATATGTATGGGATAGGCAATCGTCATGTGAGTGTATTTTGTTGTGTTGTGTCAACGGTTATTTTATTTTATTTTCTTCTTCTTTTTGTTTTCTTGTTATTTTTTTTCAGGCTATGGAATAATTTCATTTTGCTGCGCAATTTCTACTATTGATTCGCATATTTGTTTTATGCTTTTCTTTAGCCTGCCCCTATCGGCGTGGCTTCCATGAACTGCCCCGCTTTGCTTTGATACAATTTTCTAAATTAAGGCATACTTTTGCACAAACATGTGTATATATGTATGTGACTAAATATATAGTACAAGTATATATAGACGGCGATAGCATTCGCACCTTATCGCTATAGTGGCTCTGTGTACATTCTAATTATTATTGCACGCGTAAACAGAAAATAGCGATATGAATGGTTGTTGTTACCTCAAAGTACTTGATAAGCGGAGCAATATATAAAAGCAGATGTTAACCCTTGGGCGAGCCCAAAAAATTTCGATGAAATTCGTAACGGAAATGGCTTTGTGAAATAACAAAACAATAAAAAGGTGGATGATTCACGGATTCAAAATAACCATGCGGGTTATGCTGGTGCTCCCCCCTTAAACAGGGAGAAACTTTTATATCAAATTTGTTAACTTTACAGTCGCATGCACGTGGGAACCGATGTGGGAATGGGACAATCTAAAGTAATTTAATAAATAATAAACGGGGAGAGTTATTTTTTACCACAAGCTATGCGGAATGTGTATTTTTAAAGGAACATGTATGTTTAGTGTAATTGCTAGCTACACTCTTCCACGTGGAATTTTATTTCGAATATTTTCTTTACATATTGTTCTGGGAAAAATTTTGTATATATTTCTAGCATTTAGTATAAATATGTATCTTTATGGTTCGCTCTTTTGTATTTGGCCCTTCCACGTGTTTACCACCTTTCATTTAATATTGTCATTCTAATAGAAAGATTCTGTCATACAAAGTAAAGTCGTAGGAAAATTACTATTGTTAGTTTGTTATTAATTTGACTAACTAGAGCTAACTAATTAGACTAATTAGAGCTAACAGAAAACAAATATAATATATGAAAGAGCCCACTTGTGAAGATTTGTTTTGTAATTCAGCATGTTTAATGATTTTAATAATTAAAATAAATAATAAATATATTTTTGTTTTAAACAGAATTAAAGATGTGAACATATTATTGAATAACTTAAATATCAAAAGTCATTCAAATGGCCTTTTAGCTGAAGAAAAAATTAAAATACCAAGAGAAAATAAGAGTATTCTTGAATCTATTAAATACATTTATATATCGTAACCTTCATTTCAGATAATTTGGATCAGCATGCTCAACTCAACTGAATACAGTTTAAAATGTTAAATAATTGCCCCTATTTTCAGGACCTTGAAATAATTTATATTTTACGATTATTCACTGTATACACTTTTCATAATCGCAGCGACCACGTGACTTGCGCTTTGTCTGGCTGTGGAAAATTCTTCCCCCCGTCGCCAGATCCCCTGGCCATTGGCTGAAAACTCATTGAATGGATCTGTTATCGGTCAAGTGAGTACACGGTGGTGATAACCCCGCGGTTAGATAAGCCTCGGATCCGATCGTGGATTGGATTCAGTGGTGTGATCACCAGATCTCGGCTTGGAATCAGTCAAACATTTTCCAGTTCCCAGGCAGCATGTCGTTCTCTTTGAGTGTTTGCATTTTTCTAGGAGTCTTTGCTTATGTCCAGGTACGTCGTTCAGGATGAAGTTCTTCCAAATTTCTGGCCAAACTCATCTGTTATCCTTGCAGAGCAATGTGCGCTTCCACTTCTCGCTGGATTTCCATGTAAAGCAGCCGGCCAATTCGACTGAAACCATTGACAAGACCATCATTGTGGAAGATAATAAGGTATCCATGGTGGATAATGAAGTGACTACAAAGTCTCCCATTGGCCAGTGGACGGATCAGGAGCAGTTCAATGCGCTCACCCTGCAGAAGGTGATCGATACCAGGAGTTCGGTGCAGCAGCTTAACGCGGAGCTCTCGCCTCTGGCGGGCAGGAGCAACGATCTGGCCAGGAGAGTTAAGCACAGTCTGCGCTATGTCAACGATGTGGACGCTAATCTGGAGCATCTGACCAGCTTTGGCCAGCTGGTGGAGCTGCTGAGGAAGTTTGTGACTCTGGTGGATAGCTTAAGTGAACCTAGTGCCGCAGGTGGAATCCGCAGCCTGGAGTATGTCCTGCTAAAGTTAGCCCTAGAGAAGTACCAACTTCTCAGGCAGCGACAAGAGCTTGGGGAGCTCTTGGAGCGGGCGGAGAGTGCCTGGCAACGATACCGAAGCACGCAGGTGGTCCTCATGGATAACTCCACCTGAGTCGGGTGTATATGTACATAGATTTAGAGATACTTTGTTAAGAATAGATTTTAAAGGCAGGGAAAGGACAAAGGCCAGAATCATCGGGCGAAGCAATCGCTGCACCATCATCTACCAGGGAAGAACGGCCCTTGAAGGGAATAAAAGGCATCGAAGGGACTTCCTGTCTATTATTCGGTTCCACTGTAATACCCAGGATTGCTACAGGTACCCTCCTAGGGAAGACAGGAGAGCGGGGCATTGAGCTCAGGGGTTGACCTAAATCTCCTTTGAATCCAGAGTTCTCTATGGATGGAAAATACGTTACACACGCAGGGAATGCCTTTTTGCACTTAGAAAAACTTAAGTATTTACTTTTCCGTAATTAATTTAAATACTAATTCTAAAATGTATATATTTTAAGGCTTATTTTATGGATATTCGGTTGAAATTTATAAGCATTTTTAGCTTAAAAACAGTTTCAACGTAAAATTAAAACCTACAACTTTCGAAATTCATTCTCTCTTTTTTTTTAGAGTGCACACAGCTAGGCACATCCATTGAGCAGATGCAGGTAGTCAGGATCGAGGATGTAAGGGAGCATTTAATACCAAATAACATCTGCCAGCGCCGTTGCTAATGGGCGAGCGAGTGAGCACGCATGAAGGAGGGTAGGGTAGGGTCCCGATCGCAGACCCAAAATTCCTGAAACCCGAAACAGCAACCCAGCCATATGCAGTTAAGTGGGAAAGTGGTCGGGGATACAGCCATTAAGGCGATACGAGTACCATTTGTTGTGTGGAGTGGAGTATGGGGGCGGGTTCAGTTTGGAACCCCCTGTTGAGGTTCTCCGGGAACTCCGGACAGCGTGGAGCTCATGTAAGGCGACACCGAATCGAAATCTGTGAGTTACCCTTACGGCTTCCTTAACGGTCTTCACCGATTTCTTTTTTAGGGGTGCCGTCTGAAGTGGCGACGACTTATAAATACACTCGTACCGACCATAATTTTGCCTTTGTGTTGAGCAAAAACCATGAAGAAATCTGTATACATAATGGAAACTCGATTGGCATAAGAGAGACAAGCAATACGAATACAGGTTTAAGCTCTTTTTTTATCAACCGAAACTGGTCGAGCCGCTTTGAACCGATGTCTTATGTATCTTTTTGACAGTTTATGTTTCCACCAACAAAATATCACTGCAGGCGGTAAATACTATGTATCGAGGCCCGATTCGGGACAGCCAAGGGATTACTCGGTGGTAGGGAAAGGGAAAGTGGAAGAAGAAATATTATAGATTAATTACAATGAATACTTCTGTTGCTAGAAATTATAGTAATATATCACTTTTATATAAAATTATTGTATTTAATTTTAAATAAATTCGAGGCTAAACCTAAAACTTTTTAAATTCTATTCAAATTTTTTATATGTTTACATTTTATATAAATCCTAGTAAATTTCTGATTGGCTTACTATAGGGTAATTTTGTATAATAAAATAATCAAAATAATAATGATGGTAATGAAATCTAGGGCCATATGAATAATAATAATTTTTAATCTTAAGCTTTCATTAATAGGTTTTATAAATACATTAATTGAAAGCCATATTGCCTGTCATGTTGTCATATTTTAATAAAGGCTGGTGCTAAGATTCGCACAAGAAATATTAATTTCCCAATTCAAATTAATTTCTTATTAAAAATATTTCATCAATTATTGAAATTTTGAAGAAATCAACAAACAGCATAGCCACGGTCTTTCAAATTCCGCGCATAATGATAAAATCCGATAGCCGATAACGATAACTTGCTTTGTTAACAGCTCTTCTTGCACTGTTAAGCCACTGTAAAGGAAAAGCCAAGTAAAAAGAAAAAAAGATTTTAAAACTTACTTTAATTTGGCTTAAAATTACGAAGTATCTTGAGAACCTCGATCTGAAAGTCGAGCTTTCGGTCGGGACACATTCTTTGCATATGCGGCTTAATGCTGTCAAAAAAAGCTTGATCGGGATCGGCGGATAAAGATGAGGAAGAATTTGTTGCATTTGTACAATTTGAATCTCTCGAAATCGGAGGGACGGGAGCCTTTTCCACTGACGCTGGATCCTCCCTGGTGTAGTTCAGATCTTCCAGAACGAAATGCAGATGATCCTGAATAGATGGTTCACTGTTAGCTGTTTCCAAATCCGATTCGTGGCCTGAACCTCTTCGCTTCCTTGGAGTTCTTTGGACAGCCGGAAGGCGTTTCCGTTTGACTGGAGGTTTGGTTTCCCTCTTTAGGGGGGGTTCCTCATCGTCATCCGATTCGGTTTTCACATCCAGCAGGAAACTGAGTTCCTTTTCGTAGATGTAAGAGGCCCTGACAACCTCCTCGCCAGTTTGACGCAGCCGGTGCACCCGCAAGTAGCTGTCACGCGTGTTTTTCCATCGCTTTAGCAGTGTTTTCACTGAGATTAGGATGGAGATATAGTGAAGAAATTAATATGTATTGAATCACTCACCAATTTCCTGCTTTTCCGGCTCGCTAGATGTCTCAAAATTCTTGCACAATTCCTTGCCAATCTGTTGCCAGGCTTGATCTCTCAGCTCCCTATTGTGGAAGTTCGGGTGGCGCCTTTCCCATATTATTGAGCGATTGTGCACCGCCTCAATGAACTCGTACATGGAGTAACGCAAGTTATTGCCCGCCGATCGAAGAACCTTGTGGTTTCCCATGTTTACTTTTTGTTTTGTTTATTATTTTGCGACGGACAACAACTAAGACTAGCGCCTTACAGCACCCAGCGGCCTAACAGCACTCGTCAGAGCGTTGCCACCTGGTATCGATTTAAATAACACACTGTTACATTTAATTTATTAGACAATCGTAAAAATTTTAAAATTATTCATCTCGACCTAAAATATCAATATTTTGTTAAATAAACCTTTAAAATACTTAAATATTGACTTTTTAATTTATTTCCCAAGCCGCGTACAAATTCCAAATTTTTGTTGGTCAAATATTATATATTTAACATTCTTTTTAAAAGCTATTAATTTGTTCGTGCCTCATTTAAACGCATTGGATTGTTATGAAACACATTGGATTTGTTATGAAAATATGAGTTTCCAATTTTGTGTTTATTATTAAACATATACAGATAGGTCAGTGGATTATAGCTGGTGTTGTTGTTCTGAAAAGCGCCACTCGAAAATGCGAGAATATGACCGAGTAATACGTGTACGTGTTAAATTAGGAGAGAAATGTGAGTTTTGATGATTAGTTCTGAAGTGCTTTCTGGATTTCTGGATGAGTTCTATTGTTCTACATGGGCCTGCCCATGCCGCGACCCATGCCCATGCCGCCGCCGGCCATCGGTGCCTCTCCGGCCTTGGGACTCTTTATTGTCTCGTCCACGGACAGAACCATGCAAGCAGCCTCGGCAGCCGCTGTCAACGCGTTGATCTTGATAATGGAGGGCTCCCACACGCACTGCTCGTAATTGTCCGAGATATCCTCCTTGGTGATGTCCACGCCATACCACTGACCTCCTGAAATTTATAAACGGAAAAAATTAGATTTTGTTTCAATATACAAATATACAGAATTAAGATTTTGAATCCCCCAACGACTTGAGACAGTTAACATTCCAAACTAGGTGGCAACTCTACCTATAGCCCGCGCAACACACAAATCGCTGCTGTGCGAAAGAGCACACACTACAGCTACAGTTCTTGGAGCGAGAGAGAGCGAGAGCATAGGCTGAAAAACACGCGTTGCTGCAAAAATTGCTTTGATTTGTTTAAATTTTCCAAACCAAGCGAGATATACAATGTCTAGCTCCGGGAGGAAGCGCAAGCAGCAGCTAAAGCCACGTCTGGACGAACACCGCTCGCCGGTGAAGCGGGATCGTGCCGACATCAAGACGGAGCCCCTGGATCGCTATCCGGCACTGGCGGATTATGACCTGAGTACGGCAGACATCAAGCCGGACCTTACGGAATTGCAGCTCCAGCTGGCTGCCGAGCAGCGGGTGGTCACCAATTCCACCACCCACACGGAGTTGGACCAGCAGGAGAGCGACTCAGATGAGGATGGCTATTCAGAGACGAATTACCACGCGGCCGATGTCTTCTGTCAGGGTAAGGTGGTTCCCCCACCCATAACTCTTTCCTCGCTTATGTAACTTTCCCCCCGAAATGTAGATGAACCGGATGACTATGACCCGGAGTGGAGCACCCAGCAGGCGGGCAGCAGATTGCTATTTAAGTTCCACATGCCATCCCCTCAGACGGCACTGAAGGGCGTCCAGTGTCCGCTGCACTTCTTCAACCAACTGCTGGGCTACCGCTCCAAGTTCTTTGCCATGATGGCGAAAGGTTGCAACCTCAAAGGAGGATTTCTATCCACCACTGTCGAGGAGATGGAAACCTTTGTAGGCCTCTCACTCCTCTTAAGCGACGTGAAGCTGGAACACCTAGCAGATTACTGGAGCAGCAACAAGTACTATGGTTTTGCCGGCTTCGGCGAGAAAATGAGCATGGATCGTTATCGCCAATTGTTGCATTCCCTAAACTTTGACGTTCTCCAACCTCAAGCGGGAAGGGCCAAGGACAAGAATGATTTCCCTCTGCTGAATTTCATCAACGAGCGCATGGCGGAACAGCACATATGCGGCCAGCACCTGGTGCTCAATGATCCCATTATTCTTTGGAAGGGAAGATTTAGCTACCACAAAGATCTGCCCGACAAGTTCCGCTGCAACGCCCTGGTTCTACACTTGCTGACCGAGCAGAATGGTCTGGTAGTGAAGCTCCTGCCCGAGATTGTGCGACGTGAGGATTCAACCGCCTGGGTACGCAACTCCCGGCAGCTGGTGGAACACCGAACCAAGCTGGGCTTAAAGCTTGTGGAAAATCACCAAGGCGGACGGACTGTGTATGCGTCAAAGTTCTACGGCAGCTACGGCCTGGCCTATGAGCTGACCAAGAGGAGCACATACTGTACTGGCATACTGGACCGGAATAGATATGGAAATAGTAAGGCTTTGGTTCACCAACAGTTGGCTCCCAATAGCATCGCCACCAGCTATGCCACCAGCCTGATGATGGCCAAGTGGCGTCGGCGGGAAAAGACCTTGTACTTCTTCAGCTCCGACTGCCTGGCCATCTACGCCAAAGAGATGTCCATGCAGAAGACGAATGCCAGACCCAAACTGATCCAGGAGTTGGACTGGCAACTACGACATAGCAGCGAGAGTCGTCAGCACCTGATTCACTATCAACCCGGCTGCCAGGACCTTCCCACAAACCAGAAACTGGCCATCTTCCTCCTCAACATCCTCGTGTACAATGCCTATTTACTATACGTAGCCAATGCACAGAACTCACGCAGTGGACGCGTCAAAAGCTATTCGGAATTCCGTGTGGCCATTATTAAGTCACTGCTTAAAGAAGAGGCCGCCAAGGAACCGCTGCCGGTCAGTCCCCAACTGGTAGAGAAACCCGAAAAGGGCAAGCAGAAACAAGTGGCAGATGAAGCGATAAAGGAGATTGAGCATGAGCCAGCTCAGATCCAGCAGAATGGGAAACCAGCACGAAAGAATTGTCGCTATTGCCATAAGGGCGGTATGTTGCAGTTCAGCAAGTTTATGTGCAAAACCTGCCCGGACAAGCCGGGACTGTGCTGGGAGCCCTGCTTCCGTCTCTGGCATGAGCAGCTCAAAAAATAACCGAATTTTAAAGTAAATTTTAAATAAAATTGATTTTTAAATGTACAAGTGTGTGGTTTTCATTAAAAAGTATGGTAAAAGCATACCCAACTTTATATTATTAAAAATTGCGATTGCTTGAAGGAAAGTTTACTGAACATATAATATATCTAAGAAAAACGTTCATGTCAATCAGGGTCGGCTATCGCATGCCAAGCTCGGAGCCCGACAAAGAAAACTAATAACGAACCACAAGCATAAGGAAATGTAATTGCATCTCCAGGTGTGTTTTGCTTTTGTAAGCCTGACTTGAAAGTTCTAAGCTAATAGCTAAAATCTAACGCTACTGCGTATTATATTTATTTAGTTTCATACACTTACCCTGAGCGTGCTTCTGGCGGAGCTTGTTGAGAATGTTGGTGGCATCGAAGCCGGCATTGTCGCACAGCTGGCGCGGAATGATCTCCAAACCCTTGGCGATGGCAGCAATAAGCAGCTGTTCCTTGCCGGCAATGGTGCGCGAGTAATCGCGCAACAGCTTGGACAGCTCCATTTCGATGGCACCGCCACCGGCAACGACAGAGTCGTGCTTAATGGTGCGACGCACAATCATGATGGCGTCGTGAAGCGAACGCTCTGTCTCCTCCAGGAACTGTTCGGCACCACCGCGCAGGATCAGGGTGCTAGTCTTGGCATTGGGACAGCCTGTGAAAAAAAGTTATAGTAAGTCTGAGATCTGCTTCGATTAAAAAGAACAAAAATAAATTCACCTTGGAACAAGTTGAATCGCTCGCCGCCCACCTGGCGCTCCTCGAAGTGCTTGCACAGGCCCAGAACGCTGGCGTTGATGTCATTGGCCGTGGTCATCACTGCTCCGCCGCAGGCCTTCATTGTGCGCTTGAGATCCTCCTCGGGAACGCGGCCGGCACAGAAAATATCACGGTCGGCGAAATACTGTGTGGCAACATCACCGATGGGCAGCTTAGAGAGCACAACATTGGCGCCGGATTCGTGGATCTTGGCCAGCTTGTTGTAGAGGATCTGCCACTCGACGTCCACCACTTTTTGGTACTCCTTAACATTGTCCACGCGAATCTCGGCATTGTCGCGCTCCGCCTTCAGCTCCAATTCGATGTTCAGCAAGGCAATCTTGCAGTTGTCGTATGACTTCGGTGCCATTTCGAAACCTGCATACGAGAAGGTCTTCTTGAAGGCCACACCCGACACCAGCTGGGACTCTTCCAGGGAACCACCGGTCACCTTCTTGATGCCAATCATGTTCAGGGGCAGGAGCTCGTCCAGAGAAAGGACGGCATCCACGACAATTTTAGAGAAAAAGTCCTTCTGCTGGTGAATCAGCTTGGAGGACATGGCGGTGGCCGCACACTTCTCCAACAGAGCCCGCTGGTCCTCCTTCGATTGCTCGACAATCTGCACAGCCATGTCGTTGATCTTCTCCATGCAAAGCTGCAAGGCCTTGCGGATAGCCTTGATGATCACACGGGGATGGACGCCCTCCTCAACGAAGGGTTTCACCTGCTTGAGGAACTCGCCAGCCAGGAGCACCACACTGGTCGTGCCATCACCCACCTGGTGGAGGAGAAATAAGCTTGAGCAAAGTCACGTGCTTGGGCGCCGCAACTTACCTCAGCGTCTTGTGACTTGGCAATGTCCACCAGGGTCTTGGCCGCCGGGTGAATGATCTCTAGCAACTTCATGATGGTGGCACCGTCATTGGAGATAGTCGCCTTGCCCTGCGAGTCCACAATCAGCTTGTCCATACCGCGGGGACCCAGAGTGGTCCGCACCGCGTCCACAATCGACTGGCAGGCATTGATGTTCGACACCAGCTGGGGCTTGCCCTGCGACGTGTCGGTGCCTTCCTTCAGGAGCACGATTTGCGGTTGCTGGATAGGTGGATATATGGTAAACATATAGTAAAAGCCGCCAATTAGTCATCAGATGTAGGCGACTTGCGAGAAGCTTCTTTGCAGGTTATGTTTACATTCGCATGCCGCTCGCAAAGGAATTATTGTTTTTACACCCCAGGTCGCCTCCGGGTTTATTTGCAGCCTCACTTACCATATTTGTGTGATGGAGTTTGCCGTTTCCACGTTAATACAGTTTAAAACAATGAAATTACTAGCAGACAGCGGCCAGGTGCTTTTTCGTTCACGTTTTTTTTTTTTTATAATTCAAAATACCAATGTACCCATATTTTTGTATATATTTACTTTGGTCACTCTGAATTCCGAGGCTGTTATTAACATTTTACGTCTGAAAACACATTTTACATGTTTAAGATACAGGGGGTCGAATTCTCGTTTTTGGGTCCGAATTCTCCTTTGATATTTTGTGTCTGGTCACTGTGATTTCTGCGGCTGTTATATAACATTTTACACGTCTATAAAAAAAATTTTACACGTTTACAGATACTTCCAACATAGTATTCTGATTTATGAAATAGAATTCTTTAACAGACCTAATCCAATTAACAGAATTCTTTCTTTTTGGTTGTCGGGTATCGATAGGTAGGTGGCCAGATCGAAAAGCCGCCAGGGCTTCAAAAATATACTTTACCATATACTAACATATGCTTTATCGAATATTTAATTAAATTTAGGAGGCAACTAAATTTACCATATTTGTATATGCATTCTTATTATTTTTCCAAATTTTCTTCAGATAGACCGCAAATTCGAGCCTACCGTTAAATTATACCACAAAAATATACTAAATTATACCGATGCAGTCACATTAGAACAATTTAAAATTAATTTAACTTTCATTCTAAAGATAATTAACCAATTTTCACTAAAACCGTAAGATTTGGTATTGTTTTTTAAATTTTCAGATAATATAGAAAAAAAATTTGCAAAATTATGACTTATAACTTAATAACAGACCATTCCCTTTCTTGCTGAACATAAAAAAACAAATACAAAAATCTTAAAATTTGTCTAAATATATATAAATATTACGCCATTAAATGGTCTCTCAAAAAAAAACTATTATTTAAACTTTAAACATTGCAAATGGAATTTTCTAAGTAAATCACATTATGCATGTTTTAATTATGTTTTTTTTAATCAAATAAAGTATTGAATTGTGAATCTAGAATACAGAGTCAATTTAAATAATAACAAGCGTGACCGATTATTACAATCGATGACTTCCATCGATAGCCGTGTGACGTCACAGTTGACCTGTTGAGCGGTTTTTTGAAATCGCTCCCAACTTCAAATATAGAATTGTGATTCTTTCTATTTATATAAATTTGGCGATGCACACACGCATGCCTTATTCCATTTTTGAATGTGCGCCGCATCTTCAGTTTGTTCCGACCGCTCAACTTGAGTGAGTTGTGCACCGAGCAATAAGGCAACAATTGGATGAAGAGAGTCGCCAAAAGGCCAATAAGACAGAACATTCAACAATAATTAGGTTCAAATGGAATCGCACAGTCTAAATCTAATTCGGTCATGTGGAATTGGAATTTTAGTTGCTCAAGACTCCTCCTAACGACGACAACGGACCACAAGTAATGCCAATGGATTCTATTTCGAATATTGCGGAGTGATTACGAAACATTTCAGGATCCTCAACGGAGATCACCGACTATGAATAATGCAAATACTGAGTGAGTAAAGTGTTTTGAAGCTTCTAGTAACTACTAGATGATAAGGCAAAAAAAAAATCCCATTGCATAGAATGTTCCCCATTTCTGCGATCGTATTTGGATCTCGTTTAAACGTTGACAGACTGGAATCTGAGTGTGTTCTAATTGTGTCCATCATTCATGGTGTCGTTAAGGCGATTGTCAAATTTATTTGTGATTTGTGGAGTTCCAGCTGTTGGTGGGGTCATTCAGAGGAAGAAACAGACATACGAGGTTAAGAAAATAGCATTTATTATATATTTATATTTAATTTTTTATTTTTCTATAGAGATATTAAGATCTTATGTTTTGCATGATATTAATATGTTTGATAATGCTAGTATTCATTCAGGTTCAAAGCAACAAACAAGTCAGTAAATTGCAACAACTTTAATGTCACGTTTTGTAAAATGCACATTATCTTCAAGTCGTATAAATGCTTAATAAGCTTTCCGGTGATAAAACAATATATTAGCACACTTCTTCAACACGGAAGTGTATGAAAACTTAAGGGAAGTTAGATTTAAAGATATTTAATGAGATTATCAGAAGACTTTACTAGGTTGGTCTGATAAATTTATTTTAAATTATTATTAAAACTTTTTTTTGAATGACCCTTTATACTTTGAGTTGTTAAACTTGATCTGTATTGAGTATAATTTAAGTTCTTCAATCACAACCCTTGTTTAACCTATTATTCTGACCAAAATTGTTCCTTAAAGTTCCCATATTTTTGGTTATTAATACGCGAGCGGCATGTTTGTTATTGTTATGAATTTGGGAACTGTGAGGAAAACGCAATAGGCTTCCAATAAATGGCCTCTTCCGGCTCCCGGTCGGGTTGGGCATATTCTTCTGGGCACGCACGCACTGGGGCCAGAGCTTTGCCCGAGCGCAACCCCAAGAACTGCATCAATAAATGGCAAAGCTCTCTTTAATTAAATGGAAATGGAGGCGAATGTGAAAGAGCTTGCCAAAGCTCGGGAGGCCGAGTTAGTCAATCGGTGTCCGGCCGAAACGAAAGATCTCTGCAACCGCCGAGCAAAAACGAAACCTTAGCTAGTATAGAACGCTTCTTTTAATTTATAAATTTAAATTGATTGCAACTAATTAACATACGTATATATAAACATATTCCCAACGAACCGAACATAACTACTCACTTGAAAATCGACGAAACTGTGTTATATATTTTTGTATACCAAATTGATACTTCCTGTAACGAACTCTGTGAATAATTCGAAATCAAATAAAGGAAGGAAATTTTGCGAAATAATTGTCGAAGAAGAGAACTGCTCCACATACCGACAATATTTTACTTGGTCTGTGCGCGAAACAAAATAAATGAATTGACGTCATTACACTGCAAGAAACAGTGGAAACAGTAAATAAACTGTTTACAATTACACACAGAGTGGAGTGAGTGAGTGAGTGAATATAAATACAGGTTCGTGTTAACAGCAAGGCATGCCAAACTTTGGTCTAACGACGCCAAGGATTTCACAGCTAATGGTGCGTATACGTGATCTTCAATGAATCAGCCGCGCGAACTGTACACTCGACGGCTGTCCGACTCATCGTTTGGCAATATTTTCTCAAATTGATATATGTCTGAAAATATACATACATAAAGAGCAAAAAGCTAAAAGAGACTTTCATCTGCCCATGTGGATGATGTTGGATGGAAAGCGAGTGGGTGGGCAGACTGGCTTCGTTTGAGCAGAAACCAATCCCCAAACCAATCCAAGCCGGTCACACCAAAGGCTGTGATGTCACCATGGCGTGTGTCGACCCCAAAACACTTTATTATTGCGTTGACTTTAGCAGCGAATTTTAATTTAATTAAATTGAATGCAACATGAGAGCCTCAAACTTGCCCCCCCTCCAACTTTTAATGAAAATTATATCCCTCGAATTACGGATGTAACTAGGTTAGGGAAACTGTCATCATTAAACCCTTTACTTTATTATAAAGAAGAGTTTATAATGAACTTGTAATAATCATAAAACTAAATATTTCAAGACTTAGTTAAGTGAGTAAATAAATATCAAGAGAGATGTAATAAATTTTCCCTGGAATTAGGAAAGAATTCATTTCATTCATTATTTCTTCATATTTATTTCTTCACAATTTCGAAAGTAACAGAACCTTGAGATACAAACCACCACTTTATAGAGGCCCAAGCACTAGGTACTCCTAATCACTCTATAGTAACAACCAAAGAAAACAAATCATCTGCCAATTAAGCGCCATAAGGTTGCTAAGTACACACATCTGTCGCTCTATATATACACCTATGTACCTACATATATACACACAGATCGTGGCCTTGATAAAGATGATCGGCCAGAACTCTCGCAGAGCATTATATGAACTGAACTGAGGCCCTCGTGTGTGCACCAGAGCAGACAGTATATATAGATGCTTTGTTATAATCTTTCGGGCGGATGTGGGAGCAATGCAAAGAATTCTGCTCTAGAAAAAAAACTAATGAAAAACGCTTTTATTGCGTGTAAAGAGCCCCCGTGGGGGGAACCTGAAAAAACACATGTACCTCCTCCTCCTTCCATTTAGTTCTACATTTTCCAAAAAGGCGCGCCGCATGACGTCAGTAGGAAACGCCATTCGGGACTAGTCTATCCATCGCAATTGGCATCGTAAACTATTTCCCAGTCCCAGGGTGCCAATATGTTTCTTTTCATTCATGTGTGTGGCCCGACCCATTATGGCGAAACGAAAGGAAAAGCTCTGCCATGGAAATCAATAACGGGGGGAAAAACTTGTTGATTAGCCCAGAACAGTGAAGAAAAGCACTGAAAAGTCAACGGCTAAACAGAAGCCATGGAAATGCGACCAGACAAAGGGGGAATCTCTCAGACTGAGAAGAAAGAAACAAAACGCCTTGAGGTTGCACGCAGAGATTTAGGGGGTTAAGATGAGAGTCTAGGGAGAACTCTGAATAAATCAATTAATCTTATATAATATGCATTACATAGGGTGGATTTTAGTCTAGAATTGAATGTATATTTAACACGGCTTTAGTACAATCAATCAAGTAACGTGGTTGCATTTCCCAGACAACTAATTTATGTATTGCATATACTTTATTATATATTCCGTATATTTGAAAACAAAATAGTGAAGGGTCATGATAAAGGTATTTAAAATAATAAAAAACAGTACTCCTATACAAGTAATGAATGTTTCAAAATATGGTTTATTAGAGAAAATAAAATAAACATTAGCCATATCATATGAAAGAAATTATTGTCAATTTACAGGTGGTTATTACAGAACAAAAATTAGATCAAATGTGTATGATTTATAGAGTCGATATCGACTATTTCATTGTGTTGCAAACTTTTGACTGAAATTATAATACCCTGAAAGGGTAAGGGTATATAATATAATACTCTGAAAATGTATAATAATGTTGTAAAAATTGAAGTCAAAGGCAGATCAAGACTATAAATATCTATTAGGTGTATTTTGGGTGTTCGAAAATGACTTCATCACTGCGATTCAAAATTTTCACTAAAATTATAATATCTTACACTAGTATAATGAGTGTCAATATTTTTTTTTTTATGGCTAACATAATTCATTTTAATTTTTTTATTGTTAACATAAAAGCAAGTAAAAATTAACTTGGCTACCAAACAAATGGCCAATTATGCAAATACCCCTATTCACTAGTTATTTTTGCTTGGCTTGCCACGAGCCACAATTAAAAGCATAAGCATAAATATATAATAATAATTTAATTGCCCAACTTTCTTGCTTACAGATTGAGGAGAATCCATCGATGACCAGGTGAAGTATAGCAGGGACTTTCGGCAGGGTCGGACCGCACCGCATATGCAGAAGCTTGAGAAAATACAGAAAAAAACCAAAACAAAAAACGACGGCAACATTTTTATATACTAAAGTTACATAAAAATGGCTGAAAACCAAACAAAAACGACCTCTGGCAAGGGATGTAATGAGAGCAGGTCCTCCCATGTCCTGGCGCCCCACAACGGGACTGTGGCGCGCCGGGTGGATCCTGGCTCCAGGCCCAAGGACAGCTTCCGAGCAGAAAGGGCGAGCAGCAAGCACGATATCGAAGACTGGCAAACGATGGCCAAGAATAAATTGAAGCGCAAAAAGAAGTTGAGCGCCTCCCTGACCTCAGTGGGAGACACGGTGAATCAGGAGAAGCGCACCCGCATCGAGGGCATTCAATTGCAATGTCGCGGGAAACTGCGTCCCAAGGACACACAGTCCTTCGAGGCGGCCAAGGCGGTAGCGCCAGCCGCAGGATCAGCCAAGCCAGCTGGCAAAGTGGACAAAGAGCAGCGGGAAAGGGAACGTCCCGTCATAATCGGTGGCGTGACGACCACAACTGTGATGGCAGCTCCGCCACAGCGGATCAAGAGGAAGCTGCAGGAGAATCTGGACACCATCCAGAAGCTGAACGCCCTCACCGAACAGCTCCGGCTGGAGGTCAACGAACTAAAGTCCAGCCTAATTACAGAACGAGGAGCTGTGAGGGCCCTCAGGTGAGTTTCTATGGCAGAAGTTAGTGATTTTCAAAGTGATTTGATTACACAGATTTATGAAATAGTTAAAACGAAGTTGTCAATCATAATTTAATATATAAATATATAATTCATCTCTAAGTAGAACTGTTTTGCGACATTTATTGACCTTTTTGTGTGCTGATAATTAGAATCAGATGACGAATCTATAGAACTACAAATGTATTTGAATATATATTATGATTTATATTACTTATATATATTAGTTTTAGATTTGCGTAAAAGAACTCTCTGGTAAATAAAGAAATTAAAACAAAGAAAGCTCGTTATTTTAAAGAAACTAAAAAGGTTCTTCTTGGAGAAATAATATCCGTTTGTCGGTGAAATATAGGGTTTAAGTCCTACCCATAATTAAACATTTCTTACCATTTCCAGGGCACAAAACGACGCGGATAGCCGCCGCTGGAAGAGTGAAGTGAAGAAGCTCCAGCACACGCTGGATATTGCCAAGAAGAGCAATGGTGTTAAGAAACCCATCGAATCGGGCCCGGAATCGGCCGGCACACTGGTGACCGCCGATGGCCTAATCAACTATGAAATCCAAAGACTGACAAACGAGATCGCCGTGCTAAAGGAAGCAAATCGAACCAAGGAGGAGAAGACCCAGGTGAGTTCTTAGTTGTGCCCAATCAGCCGTTGCATGTTGCATGAAACTGTGCGTGAGTTAGTGCCGCCGCCTCGTTATAGCCCAGTTGTAGTTGTGGTTCAAATGCTCCCAGATGTGCACCAAACATGCCATCCCGATCCCCACTAGCCACAGAGAGAACACGGCGTGAAAGTGTTGCAGCTTAAGGACCACCGGATCATCGGTGCTACCCCTACGACGTTTCACCATATTCACTCCCGCCTTTATGAAGGCGGAGTTCATGATACGGTCCCAGTAGCGCTCGAAGCCAAACTCATGAGAGCTCCGGATCAGTGAGTCCAGGAAGCCCAGATAGGGTGAACCGTAGGGCACAATATAAACGGCATGGAACGGAACCAGGCAGCTGTTCATCAGGTGGAAAACCGGACGTCCCAGCTGCATATGCATCCGGTTGTTTACGTGAAAGCGGGCAATGTGATACTTCTCCAAATAGGCGTATCTGGGGAGCAGGAAAATCATTAGAAAATAACATGTCACTATGGATCAAGTAATTTTCAATATAATTATCGTAAATACCTGCGATCGTTGTTCTTTAGAAGTTTGTACATCTCGGCGTCCGGCATTTGTAGCATTAGCTGTCGTATTCTGGCCTCGTGCTTGTGCCCGAGGGTCAGGAAATGCCGGATGTGCTTCAGGTGCCGCGGACGGATCAGGATGCGATAGTCCGACCTGGCCAGAGCTCCCAATTTATTGATATCCGGCAGATATGGCTGGAACACCATCATGCTAGTCAAGTTGCCCTTAAACGCGGAGCAGATGAGTAATCCAAAGTACAGCCAAAAGATGAGGAAAAGTCGAAGAGAGTGATTGCGTGGAATGCCAGTCATAGGCAGGGTTAAGGCTCCGGCAAAAAGCTGCAAAAAAACACCGCCCACACCTTCCCTTAACAAATAGCAAAAGATATTGCCAAGTATAACGGAGGCCAGGATGAGGGACCAAACCAATGGACCGAACGACCTGAATATGTTCCAGAAAGTAGGAGCTGTTTTAGCCTTGGGCACAATCACACACAGATCATCCCGCATATGGGACACAGTGCTCTCCGCCATATTCTGAAAGGTATCCGGTGCCAGGAAGCGGATGTTCATGGCCATGTCCACAAACTCCTTGGCCACCTCCAAAAAGCAGATGTCTGAGCTCAGATTGTGGTTATTATAGGCATGCGGACGAGTTATCATCATGGTGGCATTAAGTCTCTCAGCCACATAGCCCGCCATCAGGCCATCGGTGCCTAGGACGATTCCCTGTCGCCAGAAGATGGCCCTCACGTCGTCCCTATAGATGCACATCCTCAACGGCTTTCTTTGCATATTGGGAATGTTTTTGGGAAAGAGTTGCTCCAAGCTGGGCACTCCATCCGGTGCATGATCCACAGGTATCAGATAGTTGTCCGTAAAGGGATTGTAGCGATAGGAATGCAAACGATTGTCTCTCCAGTAAAGGATCACTATGTTCAGGAACCAGAGTTTCCAGAATTGCCGGAAGCTGGCCCTCATCCAGGCATCGGAAACGGTGTCCGCATCTCTCACCAAGAGGAACACATGTGACCGATGTTTAGCAGCGGATTTCTTACGTAACAGCGACAATTCCAAGGGCTGGGAGATGTTTGTGATAATCATCACCATATACATGAGTATTCCATCATCCCTGACCACCTCCAGGGGACCATTTTGGTTTCTTTCAAAAGAAAATCATTACATGTATTACAAATGTAAAATAAGAGAGGATTATTCTCAGATTACCTCAGTGAAATGTAGGATATGTCGCATTTGGTCACCTCCTTAAGGATCTGGCCTGTGTGCTCGTGCGATGTTTGGTTTTCAAAGTACACGAATAGCACCTTAATCTTGGCCCTGCACAGGATCTCGCTCATCTTTACCATTAAGTTCGAGCTCTTCTTGGTGCTCAAAGATATGTGATTCTCACCTGCCCCGCACAATTGGGCCACGGTTAGGATGAGCAGGAGCTGTTTCAGCCACGGCAAGGACATGACGATGCCAACTGTTTGTCCTGTGCGATGGCACCTTTGTTTTTATACCCAATGCCAATTTCGATATGGCAATTTCGTTAATGCCCGCCATATCAGGGGAGGACATTGGGCAAATATTGTGCCATATCTATTCTGCTTTCCCTACCTGTTAACGTACATTTCAATTAGAGTTCGTTAGGTTTTTTTTTTGTTGGTTAATGTAGGGTTGATTTGTTTATAAATGTGTCTAGTATTATTAGCTTTATAATTATTTAGATGCCTTAATAATCTGATAATATATTCAGTGCTGCTGCTTTAGCTTCTCGTTTTCAAACTTTGACTAATAATTGATCAATATATGTGATTCTGATTTATTCTTATTCTATATTAAACCATGACTAAAAACCTTAAATTTTGTTAAAATTTGTAACTCTTCATCTTACACAGACACTTCTTAGTGTTCCAGAATATATTATGAATATTTAACACATTGTTTTTATTTACCACTCTAACTTTCTCATAGAGTGAAAGTATATTTAGATATTCTCCATATACATCAAGCTGTTCTAAATTGCTGTGTTCAAATTAATATACCTTTAAAGGGTATCATTTCGTCAACTTTCCTTTCCAGTTATATTATCTATTTTTTCATGTTTTTGTGTATATTTTTTTTTGTATCTCGTTTGGTTAATGGATGTGCGACCTAATCGCAAAGTGCAAACTAACAGCATGGATTGGCTTTAACCGCCGGCTTTAACCCCTGAGCTCCTGAGCTCCCTTATTCCCTGGACTCCCAAGCCAAAAGTTGCTGTATGACTTGACAATTTCTTGCAGATTATGGGGCAAGCTGATAGACTCAAGGCTGCCGATATGCGGCAATTGAAGAACGCGTATGAAAACCGATTGACTCACATACAGAAATCAGCCAAAATTGAAATAACACGTTTGGTAAGTTGTGCGTAGCGGCAGCGGCTAACGGGTCACCGAAAATAACGGCCAAGAGAGGTAGGGAGGGGGGAACGGAACCCAACGGCTACGGCGGCGGTACTCAGAAGCGGACCGGCAACTTTTCATAGCACTCCGGAGACCATTGAAATTCATACATGCAGTTTTTTTTAAGATGGATTGGCACAGTCTAAAAATCAAAAGTCAAACCATTTTTAACTAGCTCAAGAGGGCTATAAATTGTCTTCACTGATCGTTTTATTCCTTTTTTTTATTATTTAAGTAAGCTATTAGTTTTAGTTTTTATAGCATTTAACTTAAAGTTCATTTCATTCATAAATATCTTAGATATTAGTGTACTTCCGTGATTTGTAGCTTTTTTTCTCATGGAATTTGTGCAAGACTTCTTTGAGAAGTAATTTGTTTTAATTTCATATACTGAAATTGTATGGTAATTTTATTCTAGTGATACAAAGTATATCCTGTATAAATTTAATGAATAATATTTAGAGGTATAAAGAAGAAATTTCAAGAGGCCACCTATCGTACTAAGCAAAACATTTCAGATTATAATTTTACATCTTAAATAAGTTTCCCAGACGATAAATATACTAAGATAAAGCATCGTTCTCTCCTTTCACCCCTCTAATCTTTCACAACTTTAAACTTAACTTGCAGCTAGAGGAAATCAAGACCAAAGAACGTAATATAGGACAGCTTAGGAAGGACTTGCTGGCACTACAGAGTCCCAAGAAACAGCAAAGGCAGCAGAATGAAGCCAAGGTGCCACAAGCAACGACAAAACCCAAAACGAATACAAACGAAACGAGCCAAAAGCCAAAGAAGAAACCCACTACGAACCCGGCGAAACCCACAGGAGAAACCAAAGCCGAAAACGAACCAGATACAGATATAAAAGATATACAAAATCCCATACGCCAGGCTCAAGTTACACCTGAGGTGAGTCTTTCTGTTTTTCGTGCTTTATTTTCTTTATTTCTTTGCTGTTTATTGCTGTGTTTTTGCTTTTTTTTGGAGTGGGGCCAGGCACTTGAACTTGTCCAGAGGCTTGGGTTAAATGCTAAGAGCCAGAGTATCGTTAGCTGTATCTGTGCTCTGTATCTGTATCTCAAGCTCAAGTATCTGTATCTGGCATCTGTCTGTTATGCACTATTGGCATGATCTATGATATAATTTTGCGTTAGTTATGAGAATGGCAGAGACAACAATCGCCGCGACGATAAGCGGTGGGCAAAAACCAAACTAAAAAAAAGTGCAGAAGAAAACCTGCTCAACTGCGGCAATTGTTGCAGTTGCAGCAGCAGCAGCAGTGCAAGTGTTGCAAGTGGATCGCCAGTGCCCTGTCTCTCCCTCTCTCTGTCTAGAAAGAGAGGGTCTGAGCGGACCTGAGCCGGTTTTTCGCACTCACTCACTCACTCAGTCAGTCAGTCACTTTCTCTCCCGCCGCTCGAGAGTGTACCGCTCGCATGAATGGTTGTCAGTTCGGGTTTTCAGCTCGCCGAAGTCGCAGGTGTCTTAGCAGCAGCAGCAGCAGCAGCTCAGGTGTGCCGTATGCACCCCACAAACAAACAAACAAACAAAAAAGAAGCAAAATAAATGAATAAATAATACAAGAGAATCCCCAAGTGAAGTGCACCAAATCAAATGGGTAAAACAGCGAGTTCAAAGAGTGCATAATTAGGTGAAATTTGTGCTGCTAATTCTGGGCCATTCATTGGCCCAAACAGTGAGTGCATTGTCTTCGACTTAGTTGCCACAAAAATGAAGGAACCAAAAGCCGAATACAATAATAATACACATGCCGCCGGATCGGTGGATACATACCATCATACTTACAAACAATCGTTACTTTTGAATTGAGTTTCGGGCAGCCACAAATCATAATAGGAAAACCCATTTACAGCTTGTCTTTCACTTTTGCATTGTTTAACGCACACACACGAACCCATAATTTCACCGCGTTCGCACTATAGTTTAGTGAAAAAAAAAATATGCCAAAAACGATCAAAATTAATTGCCTTTCACACCGCTCCCCCGATTTGTCCATTTATGTGGCCGTTCGTTCCGTTCCGTTCCAATGATCGAATTCGATTTTACAGTTCATTAATCGCGCCTGCAAGTAATTGTTTTTATCTCGATGCCAAACTAGTCGAGAATTTGTTATGTCCCAGAGATGGGAGATTCCCCGATCCCGAGATCAGTGAGCCATGACAACTGATTCCAGATCGAGATCAAGATCGGGTTCAGCTCTGGGATCTCGGATCTCAGATCTCGGATCTCTTTAATCCAAGCTCGTATGTCGGACAGTGCGCACAAGTTTCTATCGGTCTGGCTCACATTTGCATAGCCAAGTGCAGCAACATCATCAACATCGGGGCAACGATGTCATCTAGCAACAAGAAATAGACACGGCATCAATAAATACACCCAGAGAAAACTATATAAAGAAAATTCTGTATAAATTTTACGACCCCCCCACAACTCCTTCGAGGAGTTCAACCACCTTCAGAAGATCATAAAAATGTGTGAAGAATTAATTGCCCCATTAAACTGACGCTGACTTTTTTGACACAATTAAAAAGGTGCATTAACTTTTATAATAAACACTCAAGACATACCAGCAAAACCTTCTTTGTATCTACCAAAGATGAGAACTTGCAGATTTTTTTTAAAGAAAATGTAATTAAATTCAAGGATTTTAAGTGATTAATTTGTTGGTCTTCAAAAGAAGTAATCATTAGAACAAATAAGCCAAAACTAAAACTCTAAAGAATTTAAGGTTTCTCTTTAATTTCCCAAGCACTTCTGTGACTTCCTCATTATTTTAATTATAGAATTGATAGATCTTAAAGTATTGTAAAATATTTTCATTAACTATTGATTAATATTTTCGCCTGTGTAGCTCATAGGCAGCACTCTCCCCTAAGAGTCTTTAAGGAGAAAAAAAGTGTGTGTGGCTTGTGGGGAGTGTGTGTGCGCACACCTCCAATTGGGGTCAGTGAAAAGCTTTTAAAAAATGTTAACGCTATTTTAAATACGATATGTTGCTACGACTATGACTATGGGGCCTGCAGAAATTTAGTCATCCCCAACTTCCCATCGTTTCATCGCCAAACGACAGTAAAAGCGAAGCGATGCCATGATGATGATGTTGATGATTATGGTTTTGATGTAGTTGGTGCTGCTGGTGATGCTGATGATGATGATGTTGCTAAAACAAGACGCTACCAATATGCAAAGTAATCACAACACAAAAAAGTGTGCAGACAAAAAATAAACGACATGTGAGAGACGAAAAAAAGGGGTGTGTGAAATGGAAATGTGAACCATATGCAAATCGCGAATCGTTTCGCCGAATGTGTCTATAAATTTCGATGTTTTAGTGAAATTACCACGGTGAAAACTATATGCCATCAAAGAGACGAAACGAAAAACGGTTGAAAACCTGAAAATTGCGGTTAATTGTTTTTTATATTGTGTGAGTGTATGTTTTCTAAACACCTACCTCCATGTGTGGGAATAATGCATAAATACGCCTGACAATGGATTACTACTACGACCGGAGGGATGTCAAGGTAATTGACCGATTGACCAGTGCAAATAGTAATAGCCACTTGCCAAATCTGTACTTTAAGCCATGTTTAATAGACGTCTATTTTCTGGGAACCCTTTGTTACTCAGCTTGTCTCGCCACTGACATTGCTCATACGACGCGTACGCCATAGTCAATTAGCCGAAGGGAGATCGATATATGATTTATGGGAATGGAATGGCGGGGGCCGATCGTATGGCAGTCTCGTCAAATTGGCGCTAAATGTATATATTACGATTCTAGAATAAATAAAACCCAGAAAAGTTTCATTCTGCGAAAAGGGAAATCAATTTCATAATTCGATAATTGGTTCTAGAAGTGCTATAAAATATTTGATGCCATTTTATGGAGCGACATAAATTTATATAATAAAATACGAGCATAAAAAGGGGAAATGGGCATAAAAAAAGACATAAATAGTTTATCAATAATTATATTTATTTCCTTTATGAAAGAAAACAGACTCAGGGTTTGAATTACCTCTCTACAAATATTTAATTGAATTCAGTTCCCTGGTTTTTAGGAAGGAAACTGCTGAGTAAACAGATGATTAAATTACATTTCCTACAATTAAATATGTAATTATTAGTATTTGATGTGCTTTATCAGAAAATGTAAACGCATTAACGACAGCCTAAATATACAATTATATTTCGAAAGCTGGCCTCCAATCAATAACCCACTTATTAATTTAATTTAATTTAATTTTGTTTAAAAGATAATGCATAATAAACAACTTAAGTTAAAACTTATAAAACTGGAGCTTATCGGCCCCAATTTAATCTACTTTCGAAAACCATTAAGAGATCATCTTGGATGATTGACTCTTCCATCGGCAATATCAAATGTTTTTTTTACAGCCTGACATTTCTGCCACACGGCGGTGGTGTCTATAAAAATTTAGCAAAATTTTTAGTTAACCCACAAAAGGGGGCATCATTATCATCATCAAAAAAGCAGCTGAGGCCGCGACGGATGAATAATTACCCATTTGTGGTATCTCAGATCGAAAGGGAAAGGCATCGGAAATCGAGTATCGCCACAGTTGGATTCCCCGGTTAAACCGCGGGTTCGTTGTGCGATATCGATGCAAATTAACGGTCGGCAATGCATATATGTCAACAGGGCCCTCCGAGTCCATTCATTAGTTCAATTAGCTTATCCCCCCATCGCTGGCGAGGAGTTACGCTCGGCTGGCCCTCCTGACACACCAGCAGATACCAAATACCTACTGCCTCGACCATATACCATATACCATCTGCAATACAATACAATATAATTCATTAGCGCATATAAACTTTCGCTTTCGCAAGATCAAATCAAGGCAGTGCCTTTTGTGCGGAGAGGTTTAAACCTGAATTACAATGCCAAATGCAAATATCATACCAACTAGTTGGTATATACAGTCGGGCTCAAGATGGTAGCAATAAGAATTTGGAATTATAGAATATAGTTTAAAGTTAAAGGAAGAACTAGAGGATGAGTATGAGTTTGGTTAAAAAACCATATATTCCGACGTACTATCCTGTCAAAATATAACCCCATCTATCACGATTCCTCCCCCCCCCCAAATGACAAGTGTCATGTTCCGGAAGACACATTTTAGGTCTAGTATTGTGAACGCAGCTGTATGTAAGACACCGGCGATGCCTTTTGATGGCTGCTGTTACACGTAATCGTCCACGGACCCGAACCCGGAACGCTGCATCTTGGGTCTGGTTGCAGTGGCAGTTGTTGCACCGATCGAAGTCGAACTCCAAACTCGAAGTGAAACCTGTCTGCAGAAAGGAAAATCATTTCACACAATCACAATCACAATCACTTGGCCCGCGGCTTGTGCAAACAAACCGACAGCGAGACATAAACACACCTACATAGACAGCAGACGGGGCATCCGAGTATCTTGGAGTATCTCCGCGTATCGTATATGGCTCAGCAGGTTGAGGGGACTGCCGACAGATTTACAAACAATCCATCGAGATCGAGCGTTTGAAATCAACCCGATGGCGCATCTCCGTCTCGCAACGTCGACGCTGCATTTAGCGCAATCTGCATATGGCATCAATAGAGCCATCAACTGGTAGTTCCCCGGAATCGCAGGGGATTGCGGATAGCAGACGGTAGATAGTAGTAGATGGTAGATGGTAGATTGAAGATGGGTTGATCGAAGGCCTGGAGCCACTTGCTTGCTTAATCTTGCCGAGCACGTTGATCGAGTTCGTTAACCGGCCGTTATGCAAAAAGTTCTCTTTGGAATCGAACCAAGAAATTACCATAACGGTTAGCTCTCCGGCAGAAGTGATCACCATCAAAGGCTCTTGACTCTTTGCCACAGTCGATAATTTCAATCGAAGACGTGCAGGCATGCGACACCAACGCCGGCAGCAATAATTCCAATCCAACACCAACACCAACACCAATCCCCAACGGCATAAGTAAAAGCAACGCCGACGCCAAACTCCATTTTGGGGCCCAGACCCTGGACTCTCATATATGAAATGGGTAGTGAATGCATTCAGAGAAATACATTTCCAAATGAAGACCATAGAAAAAATATAATAGTAATAGCTTCTTAAACTGAAGAAATAAAATATATAAATATTAAAAAAAATCATGGGAAGAGTCATAAATTTACTTATAATATATATTGCAATCAGAGTATTATCATGTCTTTTAACGATTTCTTAATAAAAACAAAGTAAATTTCTTAATAAAATCAAAGAAAAATTATGTATATTTGCTTCAATATAAACAATTCCAGTTAAAAATTAAAATATTCAACTTAATTTAAAAAGAATCTACCAATTTTAATGAGAATATATAATTTAAATATAGTATGTTGTAATGTTTTCTTGTACCTAAAATGGTATTTAAGCTAATATGCTGAAGAAACCTCAAAAATGGATACATCTTAATGTAAATGTTAAATAAATTAATGTTGAAAAAAAGAAAAATAGAAATAGTAAACGGAGAAGCTATAAAAGTAAACACAATCACCGAGTACTTAGTTACTTTTTTTCAATAAAAAGTTTTTATGGCAACATTTAAAGTTCATTAATAAAGGTTTTAAAATGCAGAAAATCACAAAATAACAACTTCAAGCTCATAAAAATAAATTTGTATATATCGTTTACATTTAAGAAACAAGTTTTTCAAGCAGATAATTATCTAATATCCTCATGAAGCTTAAGAACACTTATTTTTCCAAGTGTTTGCAGTTGTGAAATGAATGCGGTTGGTCATTGCACCGACTCTTGGGCATCGGGCACTCTGGAAACCTTTTTGGGTGTACCTCGTTTCACAACTGATTAATGATTTCTCTTCATGTCCGATGGGGCACACAAATTAGCATAATGCAGCATTATGCGTATAATAACACTGCTATTATGGGTGTTATATAAAACAAGCGATTGACATGAAAGCAAACATAACTGGGCGTTGCTTGATTGGAAAGTGATTTGGCTTTTCGAATTGGGGCCCGGCTTTCGGGGTTTGGGGTTAGGGCTTAGAGTTGCAGGCTAATTAGCTGACAGGCCTGATGGATGGCATCGTGACCATGAAAATCGTGATGAGAGCGAAAATCTGTGAGTTGGCTTAAAGATTGTGCGTTGTGTTTCATGACTCACGACCAGGATCGGCTAGCACTATGTACATACATACATATATCCCGATGCCTTGGGCCCTGACTAAGTAAAACTGGCAATGCCACGCACCTCACGACCATGTCATTGAACCCACCTTTTAGAGGGGAGATGGAGCAGGGCAGGCAGCATTGTCCGGATCAAAAGCAAAAGCAACCTGTGTACCAGTCCGACAGTCCAACAGTTTACAATGGCAGTGATTTGGCGCTTTTGGCCAAATGTGTGTCTGTGGCAAGAAATCAAGTCATAACTGTTAACACACATGTAAAGAGCACGCCACAAAAGCGGAGCGTTCTTTTCTTCTGTTCTTCCACATTCTACACGAAACGCTCTGCGTTCTAGGTTTTACTAGAAGAACAGATAAAAAACAGATTCTTTTGTTAACTGCCCCGGCCAGTTAGGGGCCAAAGAAAACGTGGGGAAACGAGAGTGCTGGCACAAATGTAACTGTGGCACGACATTTTCTAATTTTTCCAACCTCTATACTTTTCTTCTCCGCTCTGCAGATAACCCAACTCAAGAACATTGAGCTAATCAACAATTCGAAAAATGCGCATAAATCAGCGCTCGAGATGCGCACAACCACAACAGCCACAACAACATCAGTGAAGAGCAGCCAAGGCAGCAACTTGGATGACGAGATGCGGGCCACCACCTGGATGACGACGCTCCACAGCAGCCATCCGGCCCTCAAACCGAAGGTGAGTATTCTCTGCTCTTAAATGCTATATAGTTCCATCCTAATTGAATCCCCTCGAAATCCCAAGGACCACAATTCGGACACAGATTCGGCTCTGTCCTCGGCCCCGCCCTCCATCAGCCCGCAGCCGCCTTCAAGTGGATCCGACAGCGGCGTCATCTGGCAGACTGTAAGTACCCATGGCCATTGATGACTGGGATGAGTTGGCTCTTAAATAAAATAGGCAAAAATGATTAATGAAAGTCTTCTGTCTACTTTGATTTATTTTGGACAGATTTATCATAAGCTATGGCAAAGATTTCCTTAAAAAGAACCAGAGCCATTAAAAAAGTGATTCAAAGCTTAGTTTCACTTATTTATTTTTCTGTGAATAGCTTAAGCATTACCCTGCAACTAAAACAACTATAGTGTTGCCTCTATTGTCAAGTTAAAATGTTCTATATATATTTAGGGTATGTGCTTACATTGCAGGAACTTAAAATTAATTACATTCCACTTAACTAGCATTATATAAAGGGAATCTTCCTTTATTGATTCTGGGACCTTGAAATATTTTATAATTATTTTATATATAAATTGTGCTTATTTTTACGGCACTTTTTTATTTAATAATAAAGCATTTTAAAACAGATTTTACATATTTGTAGAATCTAAGAGTAATTTGATACTTTTTGTATTTAACTTTTGCTTTAACTTTAAAATAATAGTCAAACAACTTGCCACTTAAAAGAAAAACAAGTGTGAGTGTTTTGAGCCTAGAATTTCAGCCATAGTTTTCGTTAAATGTCTTCTAAATCCACCCCCATTCCTGTTTACAGCTGCAGGATATGGACAAGCTGCAAAAGGAAGCGGAAATGTACCAAAAGGAGAACGAGCGCCTGCACAAGGAGGTGCAGTTGATGAAACAGGAGCTGGAGAGTGCGGAGCAGGCGGCCCTGTCTAGTGGCCGGAAACAGACACAAATCGGGGAGTTGGTGCAACGCATCAAGGAGCTGGAGGGTCAGAGATCGAGCATCGAGGACGAGTCCAGCGAACTGCGCGAGCAGAATGAACTCCTCGAGTTTCGCATACTCGAGCTGGAAGACGATAGCGATAAGGTAAAGGTAAAAGAAAGATCTGAAAACCACTCAAATCCAGTTTTCGGAACCACTCAGGCGAGTGACTCACACCGGGGGCTCGTTTATGAATGAATCGAGCCATTCATTCGAACCGAACTCGAGTTCGGTTTGAGCCGCGATCAGCGCTTTTGGCCAGCTCCGTCTGCTTCGCGAAGTCTCTCAGTTTTGTTTGGCGTCTAAGCATGCGCGGAAATTGTTTTTGGCTTTAACGGCAGCAGCAACAAACAGTCTTACTCTCTCTGTGTTGCTATTGTAATTGCAATTGCTGTGTTTTGTTTTCCAATTGAAATTGTTTCAGTGGAGCAGCCGCGGTTAATGGCAAACCCATTACCCTGTGTTACCAAACAGTCAGGAATCGATAACTGTGGTTAAACTTTCCAATGGTTAGTGTCCACTTGAGAGGTTTATGTCACCTCGCATTTCGGTTTTCGTTTTGATCTGTGCTTGTGTCACTTTACATAGCAAATTTAGCTTTTGATTGACGCCTACAATTTTGCCTTGCTGGCCTTATAAACGCTTTGGCCTAGGAGTTGTTTTAGCCAAATCAGAGAAGAGTGCTTAAAACGCTGCTTATAAGGGCAGCGTAGCGCCCTAAGTGGAAGCCATCTACGAATCTTGTTATAGTTGCGAGTGTTTTGTCATTACTCATAGACAGCCAAAGTCAATTCGAATAGAGACTTTGTCTGAGCCCCACACCTTAATATTTCCCATTACATACACCGAGTTCAGGTATTTTGGGCCATTTGAGTCAGTTGGGGAATTTAAATAGATTTAAATGTATAAAAACGAGCACTTTTACCTCTTAAATGCAGTGGGAAATAATTCAAATTAAAAGAATTAAATAAAGGATACAAAATAGGGTATGTTTAGCTCAAAGAAAAATTATAACTGCGATTTAATAACTAATAAATAATTAAATAGACTCAAACCTTTAATAGGTATAAAGATAAAATCAAAGTCAGACAGTTATAGCTGTTCTAATTCTATTAAACCTTTTCTATTTATCTATTAAAATTGTAATTAGAAGCTTTAAATAATGCGAAGGAGTCATTTCAAACTCTATAAATATTGATCAGCTTCAACGACTTAGTCAATCCACCCATCATAATTATAATTAATTAATTGTCAAAAACCTTATTTTTTTAATTGCAAATTGAGTATGTAGATTTTCTATTTTTCTAAAAACTAAAATCAGAAAGCGTTAAGAATTAAATTTAGAGCTTAGTTAGTTCTTTCAACTTTGATTTGTTTAATAAATTGTCGTATAAAATATTGATTCAAGGAATGCAAATATTTTAAAATATCTTAAAATATTTTCATAGCTACTAAAGTATATTAGTAATGACTTAAATAACTTTACTTTGCCAGAGGATATCCCTAGTTCGAGGCCTTGGCCGTATCTCGATTCTGTTGTTATTCAGTTTCGGTACGTTTAATTTCTAGAGCCAGCAGCCAGTGCCGGTGAAGTCGTTCAGCTTGAAAATCCAATTCACTCGCCTAATTGCAATAACCAAAAGTAATTATGCGAGCAGCAACTGGCAAAGTGAAATTAGTCTGTGTTCGCTGTGTGTGCACTTGCGAGGGAGCCATCGTCTGAAGCGGAGCATTAATTCGATGCTAATTCTGGCTCTAACTAACTGTTAATCAGCCTTTAATATACATATATATTTAATCTGTGTGTTCTCGATTCCGCCACCTGACAGATGGAGAGCACCTGCGAGGGTCATTGCCAGCGACTGCAGGATCTGTTGGAGCAGTCTTCGGCCCAGGATCTGGAGGATCGGGACAAGCGGTGCCTGCAGCAATTGCTGCAATGTGTCCAGCAACTGGATCTGGATGCTATGATGCCAGGGGATCAGGTGAGTTGAAATATAGAATAATCTTGGGATCACAACAGTTCCATATAGGGTCTTTACTTTTGGGTTGCTTATATATTATTAGGTGTCTGTTTCGGATGATTATTGATAATCTATAAAGCTTAAACTGTTAAGATATTTAGATATTCTTGTGATTTATATAGTTTTCTTTGAAATATGGTAGATATTTTCTTATATTCTAAGCCATCTACGTCTTGTTTGTCAATAGAAAGGCATTCGTACAATGTGTGGTGAACAGATAAATACCATCTATATTTAGATATATAGACACACGGATATCCCAGAGTTATTCCCACACTTTTCCTTGTTTTAATGACTTTTTGATGACATATCGCGATCGCTATTTCCGCGCAAAAATTTAAGTTTTATACTTGTTTTTTCTTTGCACCCAGAACGCGCATGCCCGGAGGCCAAACAATCAAGCCCAAAGTCACAGTCACAACAGTCAGAACAGGATAGTGGCCACAGTGCAGCCGTATAGCAACTGTGCCACGCCCTCGTCCCCGCCCACGCCCAGCAAGAGGCACTGCAGCCAGGTGAGCTCGTGGCAGAGCAGCAGCCTCAGCGAGAGCGGTGTGTTCGTGGAGTGCGACCTTGCCCCTCTTACGCCGACGCATTCGCAAGGCCATCCGCATCTGCAGTACTACCAGGAGCGACTGGAGCAGCTGGAGGGGAAGCTGCTGATCTACGAGAGTAGCGGCGATACCCAGACCCGTCACCTGGCCCAGCGACTGCAGAAGGAACTGCAGCTGGAGAAGGATCTCAAGGAGCTGCTCGACAGGGTGCAACAGCTCACCGACCAGAACGCGCAGTTGGAGGAGGCCAAATGCGAGTTTGAGGAGGCGGAGAACGACACTCGGCTCCACTTGCAGCGCAACGAGGTGGAATTGGAAATCCTGCGGCAGCGCAACGTTGAATTGGAATTCGGGAAGGAGGCACTGGGTGCCAAGTACAAGGACTGCCGTGCTGAAGTTATCATTCTGCGTGAGGATCTCGCAGCTGCCGAGACTCAGTTGGAGCACCTGCAATCGGAACGAAAGCAGGCCCGGAAGGAGCTGCAAGATCTACGGCAGTCCCTGCCATTACTCCTGATCTGGCGTCTTCTGTCACTGGCCAAGATGGGCAATGAAATCTCCACCCCAATTCACACTCCCCGGCTCGAATCGGGCTACCATGCCCAGGCAGCGGAGGAGCCACAAGTTGGGGACAAGCTACACCCAACAGAGTTTGGCCTGAGTCAGGCGGGATTCCACCATGCCCACCATGACGATGGTCGGGAGGTCACGTACCTCAAGGAAGAGATTAAGAGCCTGCGATGCCAACTCAAGGAACTGAATGCCCGACACTACGAGGCCATGGAGTCGGCCGACTCGCATTGGGTCGATCTGGAGCAGCAGTACAAGGAGCGTGAAGACGCCTGCCAGTCCAAGGAGGCCAGTCTGAAGCAGAAGATATCCCAGCTGCAGGACTGCCTGCGGGAGGACTCCCGTGCGGCGGCCGAAAAGATACAGCAACTGGAGGAGGCCGAGCAGGGCCTGAAGTCCTGCCTGGTCCGCCTGACCAAGGAGCACCGTGATATTCTCACCGAGAACGTCACGCTGAAGAGCAGCTTGGAGAGCTTGGTGGCGAAGATCGAAAGTGAGGCAGAGCACAAAATGCCGCTCACTGAGGCCTTGGAAATCGAGCGAAGACGCAACCAGTCGCTCATGGTCGACCTATCCTTTGCCAAGAAGGTACAACAGAACACGGAGGACCAGCTGAGGCAGGAGACGGACGCCTTGCGCTCCCAGATCTTTGATATCAAGAAGGAGTACCTGCACATCGAGGTGACCAACAGCGAGCTGAAAGAGGAGGTGGGCACGTTGGAAAACAAAATCCGCCAGATGGAGAGTCAGATGAAGGACTCTGAGGAGCGGGCCCGTTGCCTAGAGGACGAGCTGCGTACCAAGGACGAGCAATGCCAAATATTGGAGCGGAAGCTGGGCGTTATACCCGAGAATTACAGCCTGGCCGATGAGCTTTACGACAGTCCGGCCAAGCGGGCCAAGAAGGATGAAGTGCCGGATCTTCAGGCGGCCAGCCAGGGATTGGGCATTGCCCTGCTCGACATAGAGGTGAGTTGGGAAGCCTTTTTCGTTACCTCGCAATAACTCTTAATTTCTGCAGCGTCGTGAACGAGAGCTACCTACTCACAAGGACTTCCTGGCGGTTGCATGCAGCGTGAAGCAACTGGCGGACACCCTCCTCTCCCAGAGTCCATCCGAGGTGAGTCTCGTTGGCCGTAAGCCGGTCAAGTCGGCTGGATCCGATTCAAAAACTAGCTGGGCCTCGGTTCACGATGAGGATTCAAAAGAAGCAGGTGTTGCTGATGAACAAAGTCAGGAGGGTCAAGTCAGTACAGGGGGAGATGTCGGTCAAGTCGAACCAGAGAGTGGTGTCTGTGAAGCTAGCCCAGAGACTGAAGATTTTAAAACTATTCCAGAGACTGATGTCTCTCCAACTAATCCAGGCAGTGAAGTTTCTCAAACTAATCCAGATAGTGAAGTATATGAAACTATTCCCGAAATTGAAGCCTCTCAACCTAATCCCGAAAGCCAAGTCTCTCAACCTGAACTGGAAAATGAAGGCACTCAAGGCATAGCAGAATGTGAGGAGAGCGATACGATGTTTAGCCTTACGGCCACTAGTCAGTCAGTCATCCAAAAGTTGTCATCGCGCTCCAGGAGGTTAAGGGTAGCTAGATTACGGCGATCACTTGGTTCGTCCAACAGCCGCATAAGTCTGGGAACTACCAAGCAAACCGAAAATGTCTCTCGAGAAATTACAGAGGGTGAACCTTCACAAACTCAAGAAAGCCAGGCGGGTGAAGTTGTGCTTCATACATCCTCATCCAGGACCATATGCCTTAAACCATGTTCAGGAGAAATTGATGAATCCAGCAGTCACACTATTCTGCAAGATCTAGAAACTGCCAGGCAACCGGATGAGAACATCAATGAGAATGTTGAAGAGCCTTTGCCCATGATGAAAAAGCGAGCGAAGGTTCAGCAAGAGGATCCGAAAAAAGAGCAAGAGATCACGCTTCCTCGACGGCGTTCCTTGTTTCGGCGCTTCATCTACAAACGCATCTACCGTGGTCGACTGCGTCTTGCGTCTGCGAGGAGAAGATCGGCATTCCCCCTAGAGATGAGTTCCTCCTGCAACAGTTTCCACTCGGCGGCCTCCTTGCATACACTTCACTCATCCAGATCTAGAGTCTCTATGCATTCCCAGTACGCAAACATGTTCAACATGGAATGGGAGCGAGTGTCCACAGTATCCTTTGTTCAAACCGATGTGGTATTGACTCTGGAGGTAGGAATACAAAACTCTCTGGACTGCTGCGAGCAGGAGGCGCAGGTTCAGGTTGAGACCACAGAGTGTGGTTCTCAGATAGAAGAGTCCGTGGAGCAGCGTCTGTTACTGATGCCCCTGCGAACCCGGTGCTTTGTCAATCTCGTCCAAAATGCAGTAGACACTGGCTTTGATCCGGCAGCCTTTCGGGCGCGTCTCATTCAGATGTGGGAGAGTGACGAGGAATTTCGGGAGAACATCGAACGGATGCAGGACATGTGGACGGGAAGGGAACCCACGGGATGGGTGGAGAGCTATGAGGGATTTGTGGCTGTGTTGGGTTGTGTGCGAAGCTTGAAGCTGGCCGTGGAGCCCTCTTCATCGGCGCTGCTGGAGGAGATTGAGCAGCGGATCAATGCGCGTGTGGTGCAGTTTTACAGTCGGAAGATTGACTCGGAGCTATGCTGCACCGTGTATTACCCCGTAGAGCGTCAAAACTCAGTATTCTTCAACGTCTCCAAGTGAGGCCGCATTTCTTCTTTTGGATGTAATTGAACATAAATGTAAATTACCGAGTGGATTGTTTATTACTTTTGGTTCAAAGGTTGCCAGCTACCTATGGTCTAGTTTGCCTTGAGCTCTCTGTACCCCAAAAGTACGTAAAAAAGTTCCTACTCAGATTTTAAATTTCCAAATTCGTAATGACGACTACCGAGACTGAAGACGTGGACACCTTCCTCGACTGCCTGAGTGATGATGAGGAGGTGGAGAAGAAGGAAGTGGCGTCACCCGAGTTGACAGTGGGCCATGGCGATGAGGTGGTCTGCAAGCAGGCTCGGCGTTACGATGATCCCGTGGAGATTCGCGCCGTTCTGGAACGAGCTGCCATAGCCACCCAACGGATGCTGCGGTGCTATGGCGGCACCGATGGCGGACCCACACTTCCGTCCAGGTCACGCTTCTATCCGGCGACTCTGGAGGTGAGCGCCCGCCTGCACACGGACGACAAGTGTCCCTGTCCCAAGGACAGGCAGTGCAAGCTGCGCGGTGATCCGGTGACCCTCAATCTACCCATCGAACTGAATCCGGAAAGCGGTCAAGTGAGAGTGAACATATTCCAGCCAAAGGCAATGGGCACCATTTGCGGCTGCGATGAGTCCGGTGATAGGACCAAAACCAAGAAGAGGGCATCCAATCGAAGTGTGCGATGGTGCAGCCAGGAACTGCTCTGTCCCGGATGCCAGGAACGTACCTGTTCCTGTGACCGCTTTCCAAAAAAGTCCTCTTAGTGATTTCTTTCCTTGCTTAATTATTTGTAACCAAAATTAGCAGTGTAAATTCATTGGATTTTGTGTTTTATTAAGCTATTTGCTAGCTATGCCTATACGTATTTTATAATTGATATAGGAACGATTCTGTAGAGATTATAGGATTGTACAGATGTTGTGAAGAATAAATCCGTACGATATATCGACAATAATATGGAGCTCAGTACTATTTAAAAAAAATGATACAAAAAAATTATGTATATATTCTATTTCACTTATCGATATTATCGGAAATTGATTTAAAGATGGAATTTAAAGACGGATTGCAACTTTTTAGAAATATTAATTACATCTTCTCATCGATGTATCAATAATTTCTTTTACTGAGTGACCTCATCAATCAGCTTAGCTAGATTTTTTGGTTATCGACTATAACATTTTTATTTTCTAAGTAACTTAGCAGCTCCAAAGGTAAACAACATGAAAGTGTATTTTCTTAACAAGTTGATGTGTTTTTGGTATAAGAACATTTGTGCAGAATTGACAAAATTAACGGACTTCGACTTAATTTACAATTACCATTTGCAATTCACCCTAATCAAAAACAATAGTAGGCTTATCATCCAGTGCTCGTTCCTCACCTGTCAAGGTGCTGAACTTGCTCAAATCCAAATACCAGTATTTTAGAAACAACCGAGCCGGCAGCACACACTTAAAAATTTAATGTGACTTTGGAACTTCATACGGGGAAAACAGTTCGAGCCGTTCTAGAGTCATGGATGAGGACTCAGAAATCCCGCCTGATGAAGCATGCGCTGCATTCAGCAGCGTTAACACAGTCGCCAGTGTCTCAACCATGGTCGCCAACTCCATCGTGGTTACGAATCCAAGCAGTGTGACGCTCTCCCGGAACTTGGGAATCGAGTCCACGCGACTTCTCTTCATGGGCAATAACTTTCAAAACGGCCGCAGTGACCAGGATATCTTCTATGATTGCGAGGATATGCCTGTGCCAGCGGTGGGCGTGGGCCGGGCTGCCGGGCCCAGTCGGTGCCAGCTGGACGATCCGGCTGCAATACGAGAGGCCCTGGAACGGGCGGCCAATGCCACCCAGATGTTGTTGAAAAATTTCGACAAGTCAGGCGGCTGGAATCATCCTACCGGCGTCACCCTGGAGTTGACCGCGCGCTTGGTGAACCCAAAGAAATCTAAATGTGGCCGTCTGATGCACGGCAAGCCGGTCACCGTTCAGATGCCGCTCGAGTTCAATTCGCAAGGTGGCAAGATACCAAGTTGCCAGAAGAGGAAAATAGAGAAAATAGCACCACCCAAGGCCCGAGCGGGTCCAGTGTGTCAGTGCCGCCCCCAGCATCCGGTGCAACATGTTCCGATGAACGATTGTGCGGCCGATATGATGGCTCCCAATGCAGGTAAATCTAGCGAACAGTTCCATCCCTGTGAATCTGCTATGGCCGAACGCTCGCGATCGACTGCCATTTTGGGCAGCTGCGGTGACTCCTCCTCTCGCTCCTATGCCTGTCAGCGGAGCACATGTTGCTGTCGCTTCGATCCTGACGAACGCGAGGTGATATCTATATGCTATATACCGATATCCGAACCGCAATCGGAGTCCGAGCAGGAAGTGTCGTTGCTGGAGGAAAGGATAGAGGAGAAGCCTGTTGTGGAGGAACTAACACACATGGCCTTGTACGAGTCGGAATCTGCGTCCGAAGAGTCCGAGTCCAGTGAGTACAGCTCCGAGGAAGCGGAAAAGACGGAAAAGACAGAAATGCCAGAAAGGGAAATAGCGGCGCATCCACAGCCAGAGCCAAAGTTAGAGGTTCCGCCGTCCAAACGATATTACCTGGCACTGCCCCAGAACAAGGATTTCTCCAACTGTTCGCCCTGCCGATTCGACCCGAGTCCCATCATGGACGAGGACGGCAATGTGTTCTGTCCGGGCAACTGCGGTTGCTGCCTGTGTCCATGGATGAAGCGCTCCCTCGCCACCAATTGGGAGCACATCAATGTGAAGGTCTGCCGCTGTGTCCAGCGTGGCACGATCTTCACCAAGTTCGAGGACCGTGAGGTCTGCAGCCAGACATCCTACTTTGACTTTTGTCCGTGCCGGGAAAAGGCGGAAGCCAAGTACTTGGAGCTCTATCACCGAGAGATGTGGAGCAAGCCGGATGCCATCCGCGGTCGGGAGATCCGGCTGGCTGAGATTAAGGAATTGCTCGTACCAGTGCCGCACCCCACCGAATAAAATGTGTTTCCCCATTCAAAATTCGAATCGCCTGTGTGTTCTACCTTTTCGGTCGGTTTTCGGTCGAATGTCGTGTCCCAAATGCCATAATAACGTAAGCGATGTAGAGTTTAAGAATTCCTGTTGCTCCTCGATAATTTTATGAAGTTTGCTATAAGCCAGTTTCATGCTTGGATTTCTTTTTATTGCAACTTATTGAGAGAGTTGTGAGTTTATGGTTTCAATAGAAATTTCTATGTATTTGTTATATAAATTAGTTGAGCTGTTCTGTATAGAGTACATTGCTTACGTTATTTGAGCAATTAATAGTTGTCGCTGACGGATTCTCCATTAATTTATAATCTCCTTAATTACAGCAAAAAGTCTTAGTCAATGAATAATATTTCTCTTAAAACTATAAGACTTGTGATTCAACCATTATTTTTTATTTTTCATCCCCAGAATACCCAGCTCTGATGTATATGCAAGACGAGCGACATTCCAGCAGCGACCTCAATTCCCGCCACCAGCAGACCACCGAGCCATCCTACCTGCAAGCCCACTGGAAGCCATTGAATAAACCCAAGAGCCGGAGCACTGAATCCGATGATCCGCATACCAAGCCCTCGCAGACGGTGAACTCCTGGCTGAAAGACCACAGTAAGGACAAGTCGAATTCAGACCTTGAGTCGGGAACATCCTGCTCTTGCTCATCAAAACGATCCAAGTCCGCGGATCCGCCACCGGTCAAAAATCACGTGTGCCGCTGCTGGTGTCAGCAGCAGACAGCCCAGCAGACAGCCCAGCAGACAGCCCAGCCGTGTCACTCGAAGCCCCAGCCGACCGCCAAGCCATGCCAGTCGAAACCCCAGCCGACAGCTCAACCATGCCAGTCGAAGCCTCAGCAGACATCCAAGCCGTGCCAGTCGCAATCCCAGCCGTGCTCCTCGTGTCAATCGTCATCTCAGCCGTGCTCCTCGTGCCAATCGGCAGCAGAGCCATGCTCCTCGTGCCAATCGGCAGCTCAGCCATGCTCCTCGAGCCAATCGGCAGCTCAACCATGCTCCTCGAGCCAATCGGCAGCTCAACCATGCTCCTCATACCAATCGGCATCTCAGCCATGCTCCTTGTGCCAATCAGCAGCTCAGCCATGCTCCTCGTGCCAATCAGCAGCTCAGCCATGCTCCTCATACCAATCGGCAGTTCAGCCATGTGGGAAGCATACCAAGAAGGTCAAAAAAAGAAGAGCGAATCTACGCGGACATCGATCACTGAATCCGAGCCCAGTACGGCAAAGGCTTCGATCAAGTCTGCGATTTGCAGCTGCACCAAGGAGCTGATCAGCAAGCCCCCATACTGGGCTGGGCAGAGCAACTTGGCACCGGGTCGTAATTCCTACCCCAAGACCAAGAAACCCAACCCATTAAAGAGTCCTTCGGATCGGAGCAGCCAGTCCCATCAATCCGAAAGTGGTAGGCCATGTGGTTGCCAGAGCCCAACGAATATTCAAGGAGAATCAATACAAACTACCGATGATCAAAACACCCAAAGCTGCATGACCTGGGTGTCCAATTTGCAATCTGCGTCTCCATCTCCATCTGCATCTGAATGCTCGGACTCCCTTACCATGAAATCATACCAGGATTACAGCGAGAAGCAAACGGAAAACTCAAGCCGGAAGCAAACGGAAACCTCAAGCCAGAAGCAAACGGATAGTTCGAGTCAGAAGCAAACGGAAACCTCGAGTCAGAAGCAAACGGAAACCTCAAGCCAGAAGCCAACGGATAGTTCGAGCCAGAAGCAAACGGAAACCTCGAGCCAGAAGCAAACGGATAGTTCGAGTCAGAAGCAAACTGAAACCTCAAGCTTCTCCGAACCATCGAGTCGGATCGTGACATCGCGACATCCGTGCAATCAACCCTCCTTTGGAATGGACTATGAAACGTCGGCCACCACACGATCACGATCGATTGTGGGCAAGGTCACCTGCCTTTGCCCTTCAGGCGAAGAATTGATGGCAAGGGCGCGTAGAGCTGGACCTTGTTCTGTATCCAATCAGGGTTATAGCACCGCAACCTGTAAATGTACCTGCGCATCAAGTTACAAGGATGCAGAGGGCACATCGCAGCGCATCAGTGAGACCAGTTCCTCCGAAACCTCTTCTGAGTCAACCCAGGATGATAGCAGCACAGCCCATAAATGTACTTGCGCTTCACATTATCAGGATGCGGAGGGCACGTCGCAGGGCACCTCAGCCAAGATTCAGCACCCATGCAGCTTCTCGCAGTATATTGAATCCGAATGCACGCAGTATGTCAGCAATGTGCAGGGCACAACATCCTGCATCTCGCGGGACACGAAGAGGGTCAGCCTGTCCGATCCCGATGGCGAATTCTGCGACTGCCATTCGCCATCCACGAAGAGTACCACCCCGTCCACTACAACTTGCCGACCTTATATGTCTGAACACATCCTGACCAGCTTGCATTCACACCGTAGCCTCAACGGAGGCTGCATGTGCATGTGTAACCAGGAAGAGGAATCGGAGAACGATAAGGAGGAATGCAGCTGTCACACGCAAAACAGTGCAATGAAATCGCCGGAAGATTCCTGCGGATCCTGCAGGGTGTGTGCCACACGCAAGCAGCGTATACTCCTCTTGGTCGAGGAACTGAGCGCCCCGCGCGGCTGCATTTGTGGCGAAGATCGCACTTCCAAAATCCAGACACTATTCCGAGAACTGACACTCCTCCTGCGCTCAGAGAGCGAGTCGGCTGTTGCTCCGACCGAGGAAGAGCCCTGTTCGGACCCATTGCCATTCGAGGAGTGCTGCGCCGCTCAGCATGAGCGCGGTGGATCTAAGGTGACCGATCGGCACTTGTCCAAGAAGGAGCTGCAGCGCGTCGAGTGTTTCCACGAGCTAGAGGAGTACCTGCGCAAGTGCTTCCTGCCACCTCCTGAGCCCAAGGTGCCAGAGATCGACATATATGGCTTCGAGATGAACCCAGACTTCTCGCCCGATGGCACTTGTGATTGTTCGTCCACCATGAAGAATAACTCCTCTCTCCAGTTTTACGACCTCGGAGATGGTTGTTCGGGAGATGGCTTAGACAATAACCCTCCGACCTGCACCTGCTGCAGGGATGGAGAAGTCTTCCATGATTGCGACGGCGGAACCGAGAGCAGTCATCGTCCTCGTTATGGGAACGAAAAAGATGATGGGAATGATAGAAATGATGAGAATGATGGGCGTAATAGCCTGAGTAGGAATAGTAGAAGTAGTAGGCCTAGTAAGCACAGTTTGCATGGCAGGGAGAGTAGGCAAAGTTTGCCTGGTAGGAAGAGTAATCATAGTTTGATGGGTCGGCAGAGTAAGCAAAGTTTGCATAGTTTGCATACCTGGCTTAGTAGGCATGGTGTGGATGATGGGCTTCCTCCTCCTCCTCCTCCGAGTCATGGTCATGAAAGGCAAAGTGGACATGCTGAGCCAAAGCCAGATGGTGGGGTTGGTGTGCATGGTGTGCTCGTTGTGGAGTATCCGGAGGAAGTGGATGATAGCAAGACAAGACAAGACAAGAAAAAGTCTCCTCTCACAGAAGGGAGTGTGGGTCGAACAATGAGTTGTGCGATCAGCTGAAGACCTTTGTCAAGAAGGAGCTGCATGATATTGAGTCCACTGCAAAGGTAGTGGACAAGACCCCCGATGAGATTCTTAAGGAGCTCTGCGAGGGCTCCACTATTACGGTGCCTTCGGCGAAAGCAGCGGCCCCCGAGAAGGAGGAGAAACCCGAGTGCGTGTGTCCCTTTGCGGGCATGGCGGCCGTTTCACCTTGGACTGATCCCAATAAGGACAAGCCACCCTATCCTTATAACCTTCCCATTGATCCGAGCGTGCAGAAGGAACCGACTGAGGAGTCGAGTGCTGGTGAACCCAGGGGACTCCTGCCCCCAGGACCCTTACCGGACGACGTGAGGGAACTTTGCGAGAAGCTCATTCGTAAGGCTCTCAAGGACTGCGGCTTGTGCCCGAGTACCTGTGACGAATGCTATGAGTGCGAGGGCCCCGAGGAGGACGGTCCATATGAAGAGTGCATTGAGGAGTGCCCGGAGGAGTGCCGAGAGGAATGCCAAGAGAAGTGCCCGGAGAAGTGCCAGGAGGGATGTCTCTGCTGCCACTGTCGCGCCCTCATCTGTGACAACGAGTGCAAAACGGTGTCCAAGACCATGCGCTCGGCCATGTGCGATCCACTATGCGAAATGGTAAGGACCACGGATCTGTGGAATCTATTTTAAGCTAATTGTCTTCTGTTTTCTGCTCCCTTCCAGAAATACTTTATAGATTCGATGATCATCGATCTGCATGCCATGGACTGTGTGCTGGGAACTAAACAAGCAAAGCCCCAGGTAGGCTTCTCATCTAATGAGGGAGTCTCCCAACTGAACTATTCTATTTTTCCAGGATATTAAGGCCAATGATGCCAGCAGGAACCCAAGTGACAGCTTTCCAGTTACGATTACCAATGTCACCAGGTTGGGATGTTCGTCTCTATTTGTCCAGTGGGAAGTGGCAGACTGCCGTGCTATAGCGGGTTACGAGGTGCGTTTAAGCCATCTCAGACGTAGAATATCATTTTAATCATCATTTCGTTATACAGATTTACGTGGATGGACATTTGACCAATAGATTCTATAGCTACCGGCACCAGGCCGGCGTGGTGACCAGTGTGGATGTAAACAGTCCTCACCAGATTGTTTTGCGTGCCCAGGCGGTGGGCCAGGATTTTCCCGGCGAGGGCTCTGGAGGAGCTAATAAGGATGGATGTTGCCAGGCGATGGCACCCGCCCATCCGGAGATGGCGGCCGGGTCTGAGAGGCCATGGTCGCCCTGTTGCTACTATTACGATCCGAATGCCCCGGAGGGAGAGATAAAGTGCTAGTCAAAAATCATTATCATGTCGAATATATATGAGTATCGCAAGAGGAGATACCACATTTATCGGAACAAAGGAGGCCACCCTCCCTCACGTTTTAGCTATGTAAATATAGTGTTTGTTAGAAGTTGTGTGTTGCCTGGGATGCACTTCATCCCGGCCGGACGAAGAAGTTACCTGTATGTAGTGCTTTACATAGTGCCTTAAATTATAGTATAGTTCGTAAGCAGAGATCAATGCATTGTAAAGGAATTGAAGGCGGCAGATTAACCCATTCAAATGGAAATGCACGTGTTAGTTGACAAAAAAAATCAAATTCACTTTGAATAAAACATTAATCTCATTGTTGGAGATACCACAAATAAGCAGCGGTGTATTTATTATTTTCTAGAATTTTTTAGAACTCTCCCATTTGTTGTTTATTAAAGTGTAAATATTTGTGAGCAGATATATATATTTTATATATATTCTCTTTTAAATCTATTCAATACCTATTTATTTTTTATTACAATTTATTTTTGATTTACATATTTTGCTTCAGTCCGAAGTCGAACTTACAATCCCAGTACTTTGCTAAAGTAGTTAGTTTTCTCTTTTTTGTTTGCATGGAATGCCTATTTTTATTTTTTGGAAAACCTACTAATGTCTGGTGGAAAAGGGGGAAGCAAAGGAGGACAAGGAGGAGGAGGAGGTGGTGGAGGAGGTGGCACAAGTGGTGAAAAGGGTGGCGATGGAGGCGGCAAGAATGGAGGCCGTGGTGGAGGAGCCACAAATTCGGAAAAGGAAAATTCAAGTGAAGGCAAAGTCAAAAATAATGAAATACAAGATACCTTTAAGAGTAACAAAACAAACGGAAAAGATGGAGAATCGGGAAGCGGTGGACGTGGTGGTGATGGAGGAACTGGAGGTGGTGGACGTGGTGGTGATGGAGGAGGCAAAAAATCCAGGGTTGGCAATAACAAAAACCCACGAAAAATATAAACTATTTACCGAGCAGCAAATTATATCAAAATCCTCTTTAATTGATCGACAAGACATTAATCTTTCAACTGTTTAAGTAGTAAAGCTTGTGATGATTATTTTATATATATTCCTGAAACATTAAAGTTGCAGATTAAAGAGGCTTTACCCAAATTGTTTCCTGCAAACAGGAAATAAACAAAGAGCCCTGGTCAATGATCAAAAGCTGAATATATTTTTCCTTCCATTTAAATAATATTTCTCAAATTGGAAACTTTAACTATATGGCCCAAAGCGGCTCTCCAAATTTTGGAATATATATGAACATGTCTGGTCATCGTATGCCGGCTCAATCTTATCGCCCTCGATACTGGCCAAAATCAGGAATTTTGTTTGGGGACTCTGCAAATACAAAACCAATACATAATTAGATGATAAGTTAACAAAACTATAATGTTTATTTTGGAATTATAATAAAAAAGAAAATATCTGAGAGCAGTAAACTGCGTCCCATTCTGCTTTAATTGTAATGTAAGTATAATTCAAAAATATATATAGTAGAAACGTAATGAATAATAGTATTACCTCCTTGGGCTCATTGTGCTTCCACAGTTCGTTGGCCTCGAGGTAGGCCTTCAACAGGATGCGCCACTGCCAGTAATTTTGCTTGCCATGCAGCCTGGGAATAGCCCTGAAATCCAACTCCAGGTGACCCATTTCGTTTCACTTCGAGGCGCGGACTGATTAGCGGTGGAAAAATAAAACCCGACAAAACTGATATCGAAAGCTCGAAAGCTCTCGTTATCAGAGAGGGATTTAACATTCGGTCTGCCACATTAACAGCTCTAGTCGGTTGGTTTAGTATTTTAGATCCAAGGGAATGTGAGTCATTAGCCAAACTTTAGCGCCAAGTTTGCTACCCGTTTCTAGGGGGAGTGTTAGCCAATATGTTCTCATGCGGAAAGTGTCAAACTCGAATCGACACCAAATTGTTTGCAATTAAACCATTAAGTTATTAGAATCAAATATAATGGCTTTTAAAAAATGTGGAGCAGCAGTGAAAATTGTTTGTTAACAATGGGAACATTCAGTCAAATGAAATTATCGAACCACAAAGTTGTCAACACAACGCATCCAAAACTAAAAATGATTTAGTACTTTACACAAATACACTTTCCCAGTTTAAGTTTCTGTAACGGGTAGTTGGGCTTAATCGGGTTTCAATAATATTTAGAGGAATACTGAAGCATATATTTATTATTATATTTACTTATAAATAACAGGGTCTGACAAAAATATAGCCCTCAATATCATATACATAGAAAATAGCAAAAACGTTTGATTTTCGATATTAGAAATATCAACAAAATAATATATGGAAAGATATATATATACCAACTGTAAAATATATCTAGATTATTTTCTATCTTGTTGAAACATTTCATAAAAATTAATAGAAGGGCAACTTGACTTCGTTGAAATTTTCCATCGTTTTCCCACTAATTCACTTTTTATGATTGCCTTTTTTTTGCTGCTCTATGCAGCGGCGGGGGAAAATCCCTGAGCTGAGGAGGCCATTCGTCAGGCAATTTATTTGGATGGAAAATTATGGACAGGCCACCGCTATATAGCCCACCGGAACAACGTTGCCTCGATTTAGTTCTCGCTGGTCATGACTCACTATCGGTACGTTCGGATGTGGTGGCTGCCAGTGCTGATGCAGTGCCTCTGCATCGGTGCTCAGACCTGGAGCTTTGGTCCTGTACAGTCGGATACAGGTCAGCAGGCCTCGCAGGAGCCGCAGCCCAGTGACGTGGCAAGTACAGCGAATCACACGAGTAAGTGACTCCACCTTGGCTGTGCCTTCTGGATCTTATGCTCCTCCTGTCAGTACTCACCAGGCAGCTGATTGTGGGCACCTTGGTGCCGCCCCTAGTGCCACCGGGCACGTGGCCACCGGTACCTTCTATTGTTAATCCCGGCACACCCAGCTACTGTCGATGTGTCCCTCCTGGATCCTGTGCTAACCCTATACCTACCGTTCCCAGCGATGGCAGCGGTCAAATCGACATCAGGATTGTCAATACAGGAGCGTATGTAAGCAGACTCTAAAGATTTCCTTGTATCCTTTGATCCTTTGGAATATTCTTACTAATTAATCCCTTACAGCCCTCAATTCCAAGCACAATTGCTCCGCTAACCTGCAGCTACGGGCTGGTGGCCTGCTGCCAGGCAGGAAGCTATCAGTGTGGCCGGAGATTCCCACCGCCTCCAGGTTCCGCCACGGCTGGAGCAGGACAGGCCAGCTTCGGAGCATATCCCTGGCAGGCGGCACTGCTCACCACGGCGGATGTCTATCTTGGCGGAGGAGCACTGATCACCGCCCAGCATGTCCTGACGGCCGCCCACAAGGTGTACAATCTGGCGTAAGTGTTCCTTAGATTTTAGTGATTGCTTTGTTTCCAACCCACTTGGAGTCAGTCTCACCTCCTTCAAGGTTCGTGTGGGAGAATGGGATGCCAGTAGCACCAACGAACCGATTCCTGCCCAGGATGTGTACGTCTCGAATGTTTACGTGAATCCCTCGTTCAATCCCAACAACCTGCAGAACGATGTGGCCATCCTGAAACTATCGACTCCAGTCTCTCTTACCAGCAAATCCACGGTGGGCACCGTCTGTCTGCCTACCACTAGCTTTGTGGGTCAGCGCTGTTGGGTGGCCGGCTGGGGTAAGAACGACTTCGGACCCACTGGAGCCTACCAGGCCATTCAGCGACAGGTGGACGTTCCGCTGATCCCCAATGCCAACTGCCAGGCTGCTCTGCAGGCCACACGCCTGGGCGCATCCTTCGTCCTCAGCCCCACCAGCTTTATATGCGCGGGTGGCGAGGCTGGCAAGGATGCCTGCACAGGAGACGGCGGCTCTCCGTTGGTCTGCACCAACAATGGGGTTTGGTTTGTGGTGGGACTGGTGGCCTGGGGCATTGGCTGCGCCCAGGCTGGAGTACCCGGAGTCTATGTGAATGTGGGAACCTATCTGCCCTGGATTCAGACCACGCTGACCTTGTAATAAAAGGATTTATAGGTTTCGTAGCAATAAAGTTGATTTTTTTGTTACAATAAACATGTAGAAAGATAATACGTAATATACGTATAGAAGATAAAATCGGAAGACACCCCATAAAGTTGATAAAGATTTGCTGTCTACGGAATATTTATTTAGCTTTTCATTTACATATTTGAGGACCGAACATTTTTAAAACTTGAAATGAGGACAAAAACACAACTAATTAGAGAATTTTTGATATAATGAAACTACTGTTCAAATAACCAATCGGATTGTGGTTCATCGGTGCTATTAGTTACAACTGGTTTGCTGAGTCTCGGATGGACACGACGTGGAGGAGGGCTTTGTTTCTGCGGTACTGGTGGTGTCTTAGGTCCTTCATTGGGAAAGTAATTCTTGTGGCTATCCAGCTGGAGAGTTAATGGAGATTTCTTGTACCGAAGCATCTTTTCATCGATCTGATGCCGTTCAGTCATTCGTCTTTGCCAGACCTCCTCAAGACTGGACATGCTAGGTTCTATGTCTAATTGCGATGGAGTCCAGGTGCTTAAAGGATCAGATTGCTTTCTTCCGGTCTTGGGACTGTATTTCTTAATTATTTCGTCATATGAGCGGCTCTTCTCGTTTATTCCTGTGTCAGATGGATTGGATTCGAGATCGATTGAGTCGTCATCTGAGTCGTAACTGCTCTTGTTGGGAAATGACTTCTGTTGAACGCTGCCCGAAGGTAGTTTTAATTTCGAAGCACTGCCTAGCCGCGGAATTGTGCGTGAAACCAAGGGAAGTTTGTTCTTTAGTTCCTTATTAAAAGGTTCCATGGTAAAAGGTTTCTTGTTAAATAGATTCTTGTTAAAAGGTTCCTTGTTAAAAGAATTCTTGTTAAAAGGTTCCTTGTTAAAAGGTTCCTTGTCAAAAGGTTCCTTGTCGGGAAGTTGAAACCTAATTGTTGGCTTGAGCCCACCAGTTAGCCTTCCCACTCGCTGAGAATCCGCAGAGGTGGGTAAAAATCCCTTTCGCATTTCACTGACCGATTCCTCTACTAATCTTATGCGATCTGTAAGATTGTTTAGAGTCTTCTCAAGGGTAACGAGCTTGTCAGCAGTCTCCTGGATTTGCTCAGAGTTTCTTTGAATAATAAACTCGGTTTGCTGAGAAATTAGCTCGTTGACAATACCATTTAGATCCTCCAGTTTTACGTATTCATTATTATGTCCCAACCTTTCTTTGGCCATAGCTTCATTGGCAAGTTCCCTTTTGATGGTGGTTTTCATTAGTGCATCTTCAACTTCCATGCGAACAAATTGTCTGATGGATTGAGTAAGGCTCCACGATTCATTTGTAGCTATCGCAACGTTAGATGGTTTCGTGGATTCCTTTAAAATGGAAGTGGAATCATTGGATTTCTTAGCCTTTGCCTTGCCACCTTTAACAGTTTTAGTGATTCGTTTCTTCTTGGCCTTGTCCGTCGTCGTCGAGGATTTCTTCTTTCCTATTGTCTGTGGTTTGTTCATTTTGTGTAATATTATTCTTTATATTTTTAAGACTGAATTTGTGTTGTTTGTTTCTAGTATGGGTGTCAGTTTACTAGAGTATTTTCTGTAAGTGCCTACTTAGTACAAATATTCGTGCGGGTTTTGCAAACTACTTTACCCGAACATATATAGAGTTTGCTGGTCATCTTATAACAATTTTTCTAAACATTTGTTTTAGTCTAGAAAGAAAAATGGTTTTTTAGTAGTCCTATTTATCATACATCTATGCATCTTCTATCTGAAACAATATAAATATAATCCTCCATCTATCTTCTCTTTAAAACCCTCTAGAGTTGAACTAAAGTTCCCATCGAAATGGGAGCAATCTAGCTTTGTAAATTCCCAAATTAAAAATTTAGAGACCAGTACATGGGTGAAACACATATTTTAATTTGAAGAGTAAACACCACAAGGAACAGAAATTTAATAGCGTAATCCCAGGAGCTCATATAGTGGCACCTCATTCACAGATTCACTGGTGCTGGACTCCTCAAAGTCCCCGCTCTGCAGCAGATACTGAGGCCGTTCCAGGGTAGGATTGGACAGATAGAAGTCAACTAAGGCCGTCGTGCTGCGCAGATGTGTGATGCCCTTGAAGATCTTCTCGCGGGTCAACAGCTCCTCCGGATAGACAGTCCTGATGACAGTATCATTCGCTCTCTTCAGCCAGGGCCGATCCTTCATTGGCACTGTGCGTCCAAAGGCACTTAGTATGGGTTTCTGATTAACACGACTGGCATGGTCGTTGATGTGCTTCTCATACTTCAGCTCAATAGCCATCTGTAGAATAGAAGGTGGTAAATTAATATTATTTCGATACATATATAAGGATTACTTACATGAGGCTTGTTCCACTTGTCGGCAACAGTCTGAGCTATGGCGTTGACCTCCTTGGGATCCGTTTTCACAGATGCCAGCAGCGTGCGATCTCCTTTAATGGAGAAGAGATTCTTGACCTTATCCGGTGTAAGATTGCTCTCCAGAGTGCCAAAGGAGTTAAGCCATTCGACAAATCGTTCTGCCGACTGTGAAAAAGAATTAACCGGATTAAGCGGAGGATGTTATGAATATATACTGACCGCATCCATGAGATTCTCAGCCTGCTCGTCCAGTGTCACCCGAGAGTAATGCTGTCCAGCATGCTCTACTCGTGTCTGCCAGCTGACCCGCTTGTCCCGCGGAGCACAGAGAAACTTGGCATACCAGCTGGTGTTGTCCACCGTGCGATGGGTGTGGCCCACCGGCTCGCCCAGCTTCAGGTCAAATTTCTCGAACTCGTGCTCCATGCGCACAATATCCGAGTGATCCGTCTCGTTGAACTGTTCCTCCACCTTCTTTCGACCTATTTCAAGAAGCTAAGTGAATTAGTCACTCTGATTAGAAGACATTTTTTAATTAAACACTTCAGATTTTCATTACCGGGGCTTCCTCCTCCTCCTCGCTCTTCTCAGTGCTGCTGGCACTCATGTAGTCCTCGGGCCGCTCTAGCTGCATTTCGTCCCGAATGTAGATGTCCTCGTCAGATTTGGAGTAGTCATATTTCTGGATACGTTTCACCCGCTCCCGCAGTTTCTTCGGCAGTACCAGGGAGTAGTCGATTTCCGGGATGCGCGGCTCAAAGCGGCAGGCGGCCGCCCACTCTACGTCCTTGATGGCCGCGTTCCAGTAGTCTGCGCCCTTCAGATTGCCGCGATCGCGCAGCCTAGAGAAGCCGCTCATCCCGCCGCTGGAGGAGAACTCCTGGAACAGGGCCGCCTTCACATCCGTGGCCATCGCCTGCATTTCTGCCTCAAGCTTGGCCGCCTCCTGGGCTGTGGTGAAGTCCAGTGTGGCGGAGCCAATCGGTCGGTTGGACCGCTCCACAATGGTTCTCCGCACCGTCGAGCCATAAGTATGACGCTTCCGGAACGACATTGTCTTGAAATTTAACCAAATGTATTTAACTGGAAAGAGCCACTGGTGGAATGCCGAAGTTTAGGTTCGGTTTTGTTTGTTCGATGCGAGTTATTCGAGTTAATACGGGTCTATGACAACCACAAAGCAGTGGTGACTTAAATACTTCAAATAGGGAAAATAAATGTAAGTGTAAATTTCAGAATTTAAACAAAAGAATTTGTACCAGCAACATCTTATGAAATTGTTTTCTTTTTTAAACTGCAATCAATTTTAAACAGGAAACTAGCTAACAACGCCATTGAAAACAGCTTCGAAGACATTAAGTAGACGCCAAGCGAGTAAGGGGTAATTCTTCTGGAAACCTTGAAGTCTAGCTTAAATATAGTACATAACCTTCTCTATTTACCAATAATGGAGGCTTAGTGTTGCTCTAAATCTAAAGAATCTGAGCAGGATTTGAAGGCCGCAGTAAGGCGGAAACATAGCTCTGTGATTCTTTAAATTTTATACTATTTCTCAATAGTTTAACGATATAATTTAAAAAGAAATAACAAGAATTTTTAATTGAAGTTTAATAAAGGTAATATTTCAAGGTAAATATAGTTAATTCCTTAAATTTAAACAAATAACTTGAACCCTACAAAGGAAATAAAAGATGCCTGGCCCCTTAGGGTTAAGGTTTAAGGGTATTAAATGGCTCACACTTTAAAAACGAACCATCGTCATGGTATAGAGCAGGAAATTGCCATTGCCTACTGGGGTTAAGATTTAAGTGAAGCCATTATGGAAATAATTGCGCATACGACCCGTTGGTGTCCTGCGAACAGGAAGGATTGCTGAACGGATGGCGAGGCAGCAGGACGTAAGTGTGTAAGTATGTAAGCGATGGCAAGTTAAATTTATACGCAAAGCCAACAGGTTGCCCGAGCCATCTGTTCCCGCTGTCAGTGTGTGTGTGTGTGTGTGTGCAGACACAACATACGCTAACGCACACTTACACTCACTCGCACTTCGCACTCGCTGGGAGCAACACCTTTTGGCCATTTGATGCTCTTCGCTTCACTGCGTCCCACTCATAAACAAACCGCTCATTTGCCGCCAATGCCCAAGGGGCTAATCCCCTCCGGCCACTCCAGCCACAAAACGTATCCCAGCAAAGGCGTGAAATTGGCATGCAAATTTTATGATTTTAGGCCAATTTTGTGAAATTTAATAATACAAAAAACGTTAATAAAATATGTATATATGTATATATACCGGGTATAAGGTCTGATGCGATTTAGGGGCATCCGACTCACCTTAGATCCTTTCCGCACGCTAATGCCAAACGGAAAGCGGAAATGTATATCTCGTTGGGCAGCAAAACAAAAAAAAACGAAACTAAAGAGCCAGAAAGGATTTGCATAGGGGAAAAAACGCGCGGAAAAAATGCAGGCGGCAAACGACAGGAAGCCAATGGAGCAGTCCAGTCATAAAACCATAGCCATATCCATGGCAATGCCGAGTGTCCTCACTCGAACGCACGAAGCCCAAGGAGGACTCACTCAAAAAACCGACCGACTGCGAACGACACGAGTCCTCCTCCTCGAGCGGAGTTCAGTCAGTCCGTCCTCGGCTTTCGAGCGTTATAGTCGCGAGTTCGGAACTAAAAAAGGACACTGGGCCCGCGCCAAGCGTTTCAAGTGGTACCAACAACAAAAAGGCCTCAGCCTTATAGCCAATGCTAGAAAGTGTTAGTGTTGTTTGCGCTTGCTTTTAGCCAAGTCGACAGGCAGCAGGCAGAACCCAGTGTTGTGTAATCCAGTGACGGAGTTTCCCCAGCATTTCGATCAGTTTTTGAAATGGCTTTAACTTAAATCATAGCAAATCATTTACAATTCCTATGACACACATTTTGTTGCCAGAGTTGTTAGTAGAGTAGTTGCGTTGGTCCTTTGTGAGTGCGCGCCTAATGGCCTTGATGTCGCCGTCGCCGAGTCTGAGTGCCGCCACCCCCAAACAGTTTGTCGCCAATTAAAATGTGTGCTCTTTGATGTATGTTTTTTATTGCAGAATATAACAACAGCTAAAAAAAATAAAATACCGAACCGAACCACAGGTCAGCGGTTAAATAATGAGAATGAATCAAAAGCAAGGCGAAATGCTCAAATGAACAACAGCCGTCGCAAGAGTCCAAATCGTAAGCGAAAGGCGAACCGAAATTTGTAGCATACTTTTTTGGGTTTACGTCATGTTTGTCTACGCGAACCGCCATTTGTGTTTGTGTGTTTGAGTTCGCTGCTGCCGCCACACGCTCACACACACACTCACACCCCTATATATACATATATACGCATCCGCCATTATTTCGCTTGTATTCGTGCCTGTGTTTGTGCCCGTCTCTGTTCCTGCATCGGTGTCCGTGACCAAGAATGCATGCCAAACCGAGTCCTGAGTCCTGAGTCCCCGAGTCCTCCAATCATCGACTGTCCAATTCCTTAGCCACGGAGCTAATTAGCCGCAGGTAGCAGGTAGCAGGCTGCAGGTGCTTGTGCCGTTCTACGTAAGTGTGTCCCCGCCTTCACATGCATTTTATAACTAACCTAAATACAAAAAAACATAAGTGCCCAATTAGTATTAAATACTTCTAAAGACACTCTCTTTTGTGATGTCTTACAAAAATTCAGTCATTCGAACATAAGCATATCCTTTCACATCCTTTCAAATCCATTCACTGAAATACAGTATCCAACACTTGAGCTTAATTAGGGAATGCAAATGAAATTTAAGTGCATGGTTTTCCTCGTTTAAGTTGAATGTAAGCTTGATATAATCTTTAATTTATTTGCAGCATAGCAAAAGAGCCTTAACAAGTTATAAATATGCAATTTGAATTTAAATAGTCAATTACTTATATAGATGTTTGTTGAAAAGCTTTAACTTTTTGCCATTTTCGATTAGGCTCAATATTTTATAGTCTGTTAATCTAAATATTTCGCTTAATTTGTGGGTCATCTGTGAGTTCTCTTTATAATTTTATTTGTGTTATATATATTCTATACAGTTTAAATCCTTTTTACAATCAAGTCAATAACTATGATTAAAATTTAACTAATTCATAAAAACACAATCAACATTTAATTGTTGAATATTAAAGCTATTGCCATAGAATACGCTCTACAAAAATATTTACAGCCCGCTCAAGTACCAAATTCTATTAAATTCGTTTGCAGAATGCTGTAATTTCCTTCATCTATTTATAAATATGAATATTTAAAACACTTTCCGTTTGCCAAACATTTCGATTTCATTTCGATTTAGCCTTTTCCGCTTCATGTCACTCTGCCAGTGATGGGGCCGACATTAGCGCCTGGTTCTCGGGAGCTCTATAAATAAATGAGGGTTACCAGCAAAGAAGTCGGTGGGTGTGGATGGTGCTGGAACCCTGACGATGGCATTTCCATGTCCTGCATGTCGTTACGCCCCCCCTCCCCTTTACCGCGAGCAAGGATTACTCATACGTCGTTTAATATGAAAATATAATTCGCTTTTTGTTATGCCATGTCGCCTGATTCCCCGCTCTTGGCCGGCATGCGTGTGGCCAAGAGATATGGCCACGCGTGTTGTCCCCCGCTCAGGCATCAGGCATCAGGCTCCTTGCCACAAGCCACAGGGCACAAGGACCGCAATCAGCTAAGCAAACGCGTCAAATGCATGCATTTTCCAGATGGCAAGCGACATGCTCTTGATAAAACAATGACAAAGGAAACATCACGGAAAACCGGATACTCTGAATAACGTAAAGGAAAATAATATTTTTAATAAGCTTTTACTCTGGTTTTAAACATAAAGATTCGCCCCTGTTGGAACTTTTAAACTGCACACTAAGCTATGCTAAAAAATCCTTTCTTTTCCAAACGCATATTAAGCCTGCAATTATCCAGCTCTGTTTTTCCAAATTAATTAGTGATGCTGCCAGAAGAGTATCTTAAAATAGCAAACTGCATTTTCCGGCTCGCCGCTGACAAGCTTGTTAATTTGCATAAATGACACATGAGCTGCACTCGAGTGAGGAGACCGCACACAGGACGATGTGTGCATATGTCAGCTTTCCGCTCTGGAAATGTTTTCCCAGACATAACAAGCATTTGATGCGACATGCATATGAGGGGATACCCAATAAATTTCTTTATCCTATTGCCGGAAGCTTAGTTCATGTCGTCGTGTAGCGATAACATTGATTGGGAATCTCGCATTTCGACATTTCCACATCGAGCTACGTACGACATCGAGTGCCGGGAAATTCCGAGCAGGTGCAATGACTACAATGCAATTGCCTCACACCAACCTCACATCCATGGTATTCTGGGAACAAGCAATGTCAATCTGGCAGGATGTCATACAGTCACCTGCCTCCCACCGATGACTAAGAGTTTTCCTTGGGAAAAAAAGAGAGGAAAAATCGAAGCATTCGACATGTGACCAACATGAGTTGAGGGAGTTGCCGTTGGCCTTAGTTTGTATTTGTGGTAGAGAGTGCGGGGAGCAAGGATTGAATGCAGCCAGGTGGGAAGGAAGGCTGAAGGCCACCACAGACAATGAACCAAGAATTTTTCAAAAACATCATACTGTCGCAATATTCATTTCTTAAATTCAGTTGTTTTTGTGAGAAATTGAGAGAGATGGAGTCACTTTAAAATACTTTCTACGTACAAATTCTATCAAGTTCCAAGGAGGGCAACTACCAAGGTAAGCAGGGGGGCACATATGCATCACTGTAGAGTGGAAATCAATTAAATTAACACCCAAATATATAGTTTTAATCAAATTACCAATCTTTTAAAGACCTTTTCAATTGATTAAATAAACTAATTAATATCCTACAAGATCTGAGGAAGCAGTAAACTTTTCTTCTCGGTGCAGTCACAACTTTGTGCAACTTTGGAAGTGAAATGAAAACCTCTGTTGGAACCAGGGATTCCTTTTATAGACACTCGCATATAGCCAACGGCGAGGCTGCAAGTTCGGGCTATGTGTGTCGTATGTAGAATGCATTGTGTTGGTAGTGCCACACATCTGAAAACTAAAATTGGAGAACTGGGGGAAAGGAGCACCGAGTGGCTGAGTGAGCTGGCAACTTTTGTTGACGGCCTCCCGGCCTCCATTGTCAGCCATTGTTTG